ATGCAAAAAGAAGACCAATGCCGCCATCCATTATCATCCCTCCTTCTTATCACCCCCCCTCATACCTCATTGCTCGGATACAGCACCTCCGTCGTCGGCACAAACTCCTCCTTGATGGACCGGATGTTGACAAACCGCGTCAGCAGGTTCGCGCTGCCCGCCTTGTCGTCGGTGCCGCTCGCCCTCGCGCCGCCAAACGGCTGCTGCCCGACCACGGCCCCCGTGCTCTTGCAGTTGATGTAAAAGTTGCCCGCCGCGTTGCGCAGCTTCTCCTCGGCGAACCGCACCGCCTGCCGGTCGCTCGCAAAGACGGACCCCGTCAGCCCGTACTCGGACGTCGAGTCCACCAGCTCGCACACCTTGGCCAGCGCGTCCGGCGCCGCGTCGTCGTACACGTACGCCGTCAGGATGGGCCCGAAGAACTCGGTCGACAGGAAGCGGTGCGCCGGGTCCGTCGTCTGGTAGATGGTCGGCTGGACAAAGTATCCCCTGGACGAGTCGTACGAGCCGCCAAAGACGAGCTCGAGGCTGCTGTCGCCCTTGGCCTCGTCGATGGCTCCCGCGAGCTTCTTGAATGAGGCCTCGTGGATGACGGGCCCCATGAAGTTGGCGTGGTCCCAGGGGACGCCCTGCGCCAGCTTCTTCGTCTCCGCCACCAGCCGCTCCTTGAAGGCCGGCCACACCGACTTGGCGACGTAGAGGCGCGACGTGGCGCTGCACTTCTGGCCCTGGTACTCAAAGGCGCCGCGCACCGTCTGGATCGCGGCGTTGTCGACGTCGGCCGACTCGTGCACCAGGTGGAAGTTCTTGCCGCCCGTCTCGCCCACGACGCGCGGGTACGACCGGTACCGGCCCTCAGCGACGCCCTGGCCAATGGCCCCAAACAGCTTCCGGAAGACGGCCGTGCTGCCGGTGTAGTGCAGCGCCGCGAACTCCCTGTGCGCCAGCACCGTCTTGGTGATCTCCTCGGGGTTGCCCGGCACGAACTGGATCACGTCCCGGGGCAGGCCGGCCTCGAGCAGGATGTTGTAGACGAGCCAGTTGGAGGCGATGGCGAAGTCGCTGGGCTTCCACACGACGACGTTGCCCATGAGAGCCGGCGCGCCGGGCAGGTTGCCCGCGATGGCGGTGAAGTTGAAGGGGCTGACGGCGTAGACGAAGCCCTCGAGCGGGCGGTACTCGAGCCGGTTCCACACGCCGGGCGAGTGGTGCTCGGGCTGCTGCGCGTACAGCTGCTGCGCGTACTCGACGTTGAAGCGGAAGAAGTCGGCCAGCTCGGCCGCCGCGTCAATCTCCGCCTGCCACGCGTTCTTGCCCTGGCCCAGCATCGTCGCCGCCATGATGTCGTAGCGGTACTTGCCCGACACCAGGTCCGCCGCCTTGAGGAAGACGGCGGCGCGGTCCGCAAAGGGCAGCGCCTCCCAGGCGGGCTTCGCGGCCAGCGCGGCGTCGATGGCCTTGGAGACGTCGGCGGGCGTGGCGGTGTGGTACGAGGCCACCGTCTTGGAGTGGTCGGACGGGTTGAGCTGCCGTGAGAGAGACGAGGTTTTGATCTGTGTACATGGGGATCATCTGCTTAGTCTGCTGATTCTCCCCAACCAATGTGTGTCTCCGAACTTGCCAAAGAGAAGGGAATAGACTCACCTCCTTGCCTCCCACGACAACGGGCACCTCGAGAGGCAGCTTGCTCTGCAGCTTCTCCACCGCCGCCGTCAAGCCCTCTCTCTGCTTGCTGCCCTTGGCATAGTGTTGCTACAAGACGCCCTCCGTATTAGCATGCCTTCCCCATTTCCACAATCCTGTACACATGGCGAATCAAAACAAAACTCACGTTGGGCTCGTTCCTAATGGTAGGAGGTCGAAACGACGCAAGAGTCGCCAACGACGCCCGCGGCACATGCACTCTGCTGCACCGCAGGCCCTTTGCTCCCGCTCGTCTCAGCACCGCAGACTGCATCGTGAACAGCTTCAGCTTGGCTCCTCTGCTTCAAATCGTCTTCTCTTCGCACAGTCAGATCAAACACACACAGCTCTGTGAAAAATAGCGAGTGAGTAAGAGCAAAATTTTGTGTGTGCAATTTGCTTCTTCTTCGTCGTGTTCCCGTTGAAGCAAAATTCCCCGCAAGAAGAAAGCAGCGGGAATCATGAAGCTTCTAATACCCCAACTTTGTATTTATCTGTGTCGCCGCATATCGTTGCAGCTTCGGCTTATCGCGGGTTAATAAAAAAAAGAGGGCGCAAGTTGGAGATGAGGGGCCCGGTGGGGGAGGCGAAAAAGCCATCCGACAAATGGGGGCTCTGGTCCAGTAGTTTAGCAGAGCAGATGGAGCTTCTTTCATCGCGGTTCCCCGGAATGCAGGTGATTGATGGATCGAGTCGTTCTGGGGGATTCGACGGGCTGGGGCCCCCGAAATCGGCCAATGGCTGTTCCGTCGAGAGCCGTTGAAGATTGGATGTCGGTTTGATAAGGTGAATTGAAGCACATGATTTTTGAGGCGGGTTGGATTCAGTGTGGGGTTCGTCTGGGACTTACACAACCTGCGTACTCCCTATCAGTCGACACGACTCAGACGCAACACATGTGGCTGTTTGGGGATCGGACATCACATGAAAGAGATCACTTTCTTCATCCCAACAAGACCACACAAGCATGGCTCAAATCAGCCTCGATTTGCATCTCAACACTTCACACACCATACACAAGCGCTCCTCGGAGACGATTGATGTACGCTGCAACCAAAAGTAGGAATTAGGTATCTATACGGCCCGACATAAGAGACAAGCAGAAGAAACAATGAAAACAGAAAATCAAACAGTTCCATGCAAACAGACTCCGGTTGCCGCTTCGTCCCGCTGGTATCGCTTCGTGGAACTGCATAACGCCAGCTGCTCGCCCATCCTCTTCTCCGCCGTCAAACTACCCAAAACCATGACTGCTTGGGTCACAAGAGTGAAAAAGTCCATCATACGGCAGAAACATAACGAGCCCGAGTTTCGACCTCTGTTGAGCTGTCCTCCTACTGGCTCGTAGCGGTGGACACAGGTCTTGAGGACGCCTCAGTCCTGGGACGGAACGTCAGCAACGGCACCGTCAGGCCGTAGCCCTCTGTTTGGCCCGTTGGGTCGTGCTGGTCAATCTCGACCTTGATGCAAATGTCCAGGCTGCCGTCGTGGAGCTGCCCGTGTCGCACATCGTCGGCCGCCTTATGCATTGTGCCGGCATCGACTTCTCCTTGGTGCAAGTGTGCATGGCCGTCAGCGCCCTCAAAAGACGGCGCCTCGCCGTTCATCTGGGCAATGTGCCCGTTGGTGCGGGTGACGGGCGAATTCTCTGTCAGCAGAGCGTAGTTGCGGCTGGGCATCGTGCAATTGTTGTGGTTAGCAGTCTTGGTCGAGCCGCCGGGATCCTTGTCGAACAAGTCGAGCAGGGTCTCGTCGGTCTTGGAGTTTAGGTGATGGATCTTGTTTCGTCGCGCCAGGAGGTTGGCCACCGCTTGAGGCGGGGGCTTGTTGACAATGGCCGACGAGACGACGTTGACCATGTACCTGCTGTCCTCCTCGACCGGCACATTCAGCTTGGGGTTGGAGTAGAAGCGGCCCAAGGCAGCCAGATGAACGTCGCCTCCCAAGATCGTCGTTCGCACCGAAAACTCCGCCGACAGCTTCTGCAGCTCCACAACCAGCTGGGCTCGCTCGACTTTGTGCGTCTTGGCCGTGTAGTGGTCGTCGAGATCGTCGAGCAGATCTACGCTGCCGTCGAAATGGTTAAAGAAGCCTCCGCCGAGGCCAAATCGTCGATTGAGAAGCTTGACGGGGCCAATGAGAGGGCTTCGAAGAATGTTCTCCAACCAGGTCAAGCGCTGTACGTGATTAGCATCTCCTCCTCTCTCTTCGCCAGAACAGACGTACCGGGTACGCAATCGGAATGCCGAGGAGCAGAATCAAGTGTTTGATCGGCTGGCCAGATCTGGCGGCGGCGGCAAGCTCATCTCGCGCTCTCTGAAAGATTAGATCGTAGGTCTCGGGATAGTTGATTTGGTGTCGAGTACGCTGCAAGCCTGTCAACTAGGTGCTCCGTCCAGTGTGCTATCCCGGGCAGAGCACGCCTTACCTCCGTTCGAGCGTCAATACCGAGCAGGGCAATACGGGCGCCCAATCGGGTGTAGATATTGATCGAGTGCTCCGCAACATAGGGGCCGGGCTTGTTTCCTACAATGTACTGCGGATCGATCTTGGGCGGTGCCACATACGTGTCGATCAGCTGGTTCGGGTCGATACCCTGCGTACCATCGATATCGTTGTCGGCAAAGTCTGTCCGTGGTCGATCCCGGTCAGCATCTGCTCAGATACATACCGGGCAGGGTAGCTTACCGGATGTGTATGTGGACGGCGGAGGAGGGAGGTGATGCTGGAAGAGCATGTAGTACTTGTGGGCGACGCCACCAATGCCGCGGAAGACATCGCATTGCATGAACTTGTGGACGTATGAGCCGAAGCCGTCGATGATCTAGCAAACGCATCATTAGCCTGCAACTTCTTTCCAGTAGCATTGAGGGCAGCACAAACGTCGTGGTCGTCCCAGATGTTGATCTGCGCAATCTGGCCGTTGGCCGTCGAAAAGGGCTCCGTGTTATACCATCGCAGGTAGTTTTGGAGATAGTACTCGTCGCACTCGGCACGCAGCTTCTCCGGAAAAGGGTACTCCTGGCGCTTTTTCGGGTTGCTGATCTCCGTCCAGTTGCGCAGAGGACCATGGACTCTGATGCCATCGTTGTATATCTGGTCGCCGCCGCCCACCATGACGTGGATGGGTCTGGCTGTATGCTTGCGCATCACGTCGTTCCACAGGGCCGGGCCGCTCCAGGCCTCCTCGTCGGTGCCCACACTGAAGCCGTTGCAGGAGTAGAACATGATGCGCATGGACTCGTTCACGGCGGGGATGAAGAAGGTGTTGATCCGCGGCTTGTGGCTGCTGCTGAATCGCAGCCCCGGCACCTCATACTCGTATCTCGTCTCGCTGGGCTCGAGCGGCACCCTGATGTCAAAGGCCCAGAATGTGTTGCGGACGTCTGAGTAGAGGCGCTCACCGTGGACTTCCACTGGCTGTCCTTGACCACCACCTCGTCTCAAGAGCAGCGACGGATGGTGAAGTATGTCCTTGCCGCCGCCCTTAGTCACGATGAGGACGCTCCCATACCAGTAGCCGGCCTCCATTCGGCGATAGTTGAGCAGGGGACCGCACACAATCTCTTTGCCATCGGTCACTTTTTCCTGCACTTCTTCCTGCATGTGGACATTCTCTTCGGCCGCCTGTCCATTGCCAGCAGCCAGGTGGATAGGCTGGTAGTTGCCCGTCGAATGACCTTCGCCCTGGGGTTCGACGCGGTCCGAGTTGAGGAAGTTGGCTAGCTCATCCGTCGTCCCAGTCGTCGTAGCGTCGCGTGCCTGGAGATGCGCCTCGTGGCGGGCATATTTGGACGATTCCTGGTGGCGCCACTTGCTGCTGGACGCGTACGGATTTTGCGAATCGACGTCTGCGCCTTGCTCGCCGTCGGGCTGGGACGCCATGATTGTGCTGTTAAGCTACTGAGCTGCTGTATCGATATACGCGATGGATATTGTTGTCCAGACGAGAGATGCAATGCAATGCCGTGCAATGCAATGCGGTCGTGCTGTATGTATAGCGGCAGTGGGTATTATGTTATTGGATATTTGATTCCGGTTGGCGGCCTCTGCGATAACCTGCAGGTTGGTCGAGCTTACTCTCAGCGCCCGTCTGAATTACTCAGACTCACTCGAGTCGCGCACCTTGATGGCCTGGAGATGCGAAATCAGCAACAGACAACCGTCCGAATAACGCCTGTGCTTGAAGGATGCAAGTTGGTGCTCTCGAGAGTCGACCTTCAGCTACTATGAAAACACGGATTCCGGGAGGTGAAATTACGTGAATCTGGCTAGTGGAGCTGCGGGAGCTTGGGGGAGCTACAGTGGCGCTACAGCGTGCAGAGCGACTGCTGGAGCCGGGATCTGGCGACTCTGCTGGGCTGAGGGCAGGGATGCTGCAGCTGCCACAGGCGTGAAAGGGCAGTAAAACAGGCCGCAAGGGGGGGCTAAGGGGCAGCTACGGGCTAGTGTGGGCGCCAATGACGACAGCCGGCTTTGTTTCTTTTGGGCAGTGCGATTGCGCGCATGAAGTCGTGCAGCGGCCATCTGGGGAGATTGGATGGTGCTGACCTGGAGCTGCGTGACTGATGGGGTTTCATTGCTGGTTTCTTTCATCTGATTTGGGAGAGGGGATGCTCTTTTGCGTCGGTTTCCCATCCCGGCATCCAACCCATCTGATGCGAGAATTTGCGACGAAGTTTGTGGGATGCATCAAGGGAGAGCCAATTCGAGGCACATGCAGTGGGATGATACAAGTCATGCCAAGCAACGCTGCGCCTGCTTGGCCCCCTTCAGGGTCGCCAGAGTGACCTCAGCTTTCTCACGCACACAAGTCACGCACGCAGGGGCGAGGAGGGACGCAAGCCGCGGCGGCATCTGTGAGACGGGGCATGTGATCACTGGGAGCACAGGCGAGAGGAAACACGCTGCATCGTGGCCAATCCATTGGACGGCAGCGTCGAGTACCGGCAGTGGGAGGAACCGAACCCAACATGAAGGCGCCGTGTTGGACGGATTCGTATAGCCAAGGCGACAAAGAACAAGAACAGGCGATGCACGCAACGCATGTGATGCTCGCAGGGCAGACAAAGGACGAAGACGGCTGTGAGCTCTCGAAATTGCAACTGAGACACAGTGAGATTGCGGTGGGGCGCCATGGGATGGTCGATCGGGTCTTGCAGAAGCTGATCTGCTCGGGTTGTCGGAATTATGTAGTGCCGATCGACTTTTCGAAGCCTCCGGATCATCAATTGCTTCGATATTGCTGTTCCATTCACGCAGATCAGGAACCTGGAAATTCATCTCAAGCACTACAGGCAAATAGTCCTGACTTCAGTACTCGTTCGTACTCGCACTGCCGAGGTGCCAACTCGTCTAACATCATTCGAGCGCCAGGCCCTCCGGCGTCACGTTGCACGCACTTGAAAGAATTACAGACTCGAGCCCACGCGTACCTTATGTACATGTATGTACAGGCCCGGGCCCCTGTCGATTACCTAATCACGATGCCCCTCCATATACTCCTGAGAAGAATTTTTTTCCTGTTGTTCCAATCTTCATTTTGTTTTCAGCTCGACAGGCACCGGTGACTTCCCTACGAAAGGACAAACACCAAACGGCCTACGCCCGCAGCCGTCGAGATGCCCCTCATTAGGGGGCTCAACGACATTCGCCATGGATGCACCCTTGTTGCGCGCTCCCGGCCAATGTCTACCGCTTGGGCCTCGCAGGCCTTGTTCAGGGATGAAGTACTATCCGGATCAACGTCCTGCGACTGAAATGGCCCTTGCGGAACCAAGGGTAGGTGAAGGTGACGGAGGTGGACGTGAAGTTGACAAATGTGTGATACCATCAGACGGCATATGTGTGTACAGCAGCGAGCTTTTTCCTGTGCTTGGATTGCTGAAGGATATTATCTACGTGCCAAGATCAAATCATCTCCCTGCTATTACCAAACACCGATGTCTTGATAACCCCAAGGGCATGGTGCATGACGTTAGGGAGACATGTCTCTTCATTTTCTTTGTCCTCTTCTTTTCTTTTCTTCATTGTTCGCCTCTGAGATGTTTTTGTGGCGTAGTCGTGTGAATGGGGTCTCTTTCGGCTGCTTGCTTTGTGCGAGGGGTACAGAACCGCTGCCAAGATAGAGATCGCCGCCTCCTTTTGAGGGCGTCGTATTTCCAACTTGCCGATATTGTTCTTGAGTTCCTCGATGCATGTCTGGTATCTTGTACACCCGAATGATGTCGAGATGCATGATTCGCTCGGGTATATCGACAGAGGACGAAACACGGTATCGGGAAGAAAGAATCAACTCGTCGCCTGAAAGTTTCGGTCCCAAGCACACAAACCAGCAATAAAACGCCTACAAGAAAAGCCACAGGCGTTCTTCAGAGGGCGCAACCTGTGCTTGCCAAGAGCTGCTACTTTCAGCTATTGCTCCATGTCCCTTCGCGAGCAGAACGCCCAGCGCTGAGCCGCTCCAAGACCGGAGTCTTGTGGGCAGGTCAAGCCCCTCTTGCGGCTCAGCTTGTTGGGCCGGCCTCTCCTTCATTCAAGTTACCCCATAGAACACGCAGGATGGTTGTCCAGCATGAGCCATGTTCCCCTTGCTTATCGCTCTGCTCTTCTTACCTACCTGTTGTCCAGTACAAGTACGTCTTCGCAGAGTCTGGCCGCTCAGAAGAGAGCTGAGGCGTGAGACAGCAGAGATCTGAAACCGGCTTGCATGTGGCTTGACTTTGACTGATAGCAGTCGGTTGCACGACACACCGCTCAGAGAGGCATGAGGTTGGGATTACCAATATGCTTGAGGACGTGGCTTTCAGAGGGCTTTTGTATTCAGACAGGGAGCGCTCTCACAATCATGCGAATCGCGATTCAATGAGAACAAGGCAGCGTAATGGACTAGCTGACCTCCTCAAGTTGATATGGAGCATTCGGACAAAAGAGCCCGTCGCCTCACAGCCGGCACTTGCACGTGGGTTTCCAAACGGTTCATCCAGCATAATAATAGCGACTGCAGGGCGTCGCATACAGCCATCTCACTGCATGTACCTTTGATGGGGGGCCCTTTTAATTACTACGCTCAACCGATCCCTACAGTATCCGTACTGATGGCACGATACATATCCGTGGAACCATTTCCCGTAAGATGCAATTCTCTACTTCTCGAGGCTGATGCGTGTGCGAGTCACGTACCTGCACCAAGAACCAACAACAATCTCCCCTCAAAGCCACTCGGCAGCAGCGATCCCTCATAACCTCAGTACGTTCTGTGAGGTCGTCTGGAAAGAAGAGGCAGCCAACGAAAGGCGACTCAAGCGCCACATTGGTTGCTCAAAGTAAATACACTTGAAAGGGTGACGGAACTGATCTGCGCTTTTCTGGACAGTAATGGCAGTGGCGTCCAGAAGTTGCGGAGGTCCACGGAGTTTGGAGACTCGCGTCTGCCCATGCTTGGATGACGGCACGACGCACCAAGTTCGCCTAGTTGGCTTGTTGGCCTAGGTAGGGGCATTGAGATGCGTGTTGTCGGAGTCCGAATGCCGTAGTACGATATGATGATGGTGATTTGGTGCCTTGTTCGCATGGGGGAGAGAAGAAATCCGCGATTCGCTGCCTTGTGCTCGTGCAGCTTTTGTCCTGTGGGGGTTGTTGGAGTGAATAACGAGTTGTGCTCTGCTGGTGTTTTGGTTTATCCAGCTTTGACGTTTCAGCACAAAAGGCGAGACGAGATGATGGGCAAAGTGGTCGCGGATTTCATCCCCCTCGAGGCCCCAGTTCTGTTTCTGCATCCTGGGCACGATCGAGATGGTCAATGTAGTACTACTACTCGGTAGGTAGTAGTAGTAGTATGTAGTAAGGTTAGTACTAGCAGTCTTCTCAAACAGGACTATAGACTCAAGAAGCCAACGAATAGTCGTTGCAAGTTGGGCTCCGTCAGTTGTCAATTAGCCATCCAGCTACTACCAAGATGGGCAAATGACCGATCAACGGGCGATGCGACTTGTTGACATTCGGATGAGGTGCCTTGGATTGGGATGGATGGACGGATGGGACTTGGCGAGACGGCAGCTAGCCCACCGGCGCTAATAGACGAAGCCACCAAGCTTGGAACATCTCGCAGAAGCATGCGGAACGAATCTCCTTTTTTCTCTTCTGTGGCTGTTCCCCCTTGTGTCCTTTCGCTTCCTGTGTTGATTCATTTGCAAGGAGTAAAAGACGAGAGAAGAGAAAAGGAAGTATAATAGTAGAAGAAAACAGCAAATCATGCTGACACTGTGCCGTCAAGGTTGCTTGTTCCGTCCATGTCTGTGTGGACGTGCACCCGGATTCGTCGCGCATGAATTTGCACGGAATTGGCCGCGAACATGACGGCAGCTCCAGCGCATCAGCCCCGTCCATTGGCTGTGGCGCGACGTCTCCAGATGGCAGATCTGCACTCTTGCACGCGGGCAAATAGCCTGAATGAATAAATGGATGAAGCGGGAAAGAAGAAAAGACAAGAATAGCCCAAGCAGTTGGTTTGTTTTGTCTCGTCCAGGCGCAAACACGTCAGTCAACCAAGGAGCGCACTGGATGTTTAATCATGTCCGCCTCATGTGTGAACGGAAGCCTAGCTAGCGCTCCAACCTGGACAGAACGGGCTCTAGTGCCAGGCCCCGATCCCCTGAATGGAGCCTCCATCTGCAGCTCGCACGCCTTGATGCTGTAATATTACATTGGATGGATGGACAGTACTACTTGGCCATGGCCCGGAGCATCTCGCCAGCAGGACGACAGACCACAAAAGCGAACAGCTGTAGGGATTGCTGCACTAGCCGACGCCACCGGCAGCCGCATCCAATCTGCCCATCTCCGTCGTTCCGCTCTCCTGGGCGCAATCGGCAGCTGGTTTGTGCAGAGCAGAGAGCAGAGCAGAGCAGCTCCAGTATATCGATCGTCTCGACTGTCTGTAGCAGCAGTAGTGGTATTTTTTTCTCCAACCCCCAGCGGCCAGGCTGCCGTGGCAATCCCATTCTCTCGATGCGGCCGCAGACCGTTCCCGGAAGCCTTGTCACTCTATCGTTATCGTGATTTTTTCTCATGTTCCAATTTTCCCTTCCTTTTTCGCTTCACCTCCTTCTTCTGCAGCTCGGCGGCCAATCTCGTTGCATCGGCCACACCCTGCTGCTTCTGCCCCCTTGCCCTCTCATGCGGCATTGAGTCTGGCACTCGCTCATATCTCGCAGTCCCAGCGAACAAGCAGCCATCTACATACCATATCGACCGCCTTCTTCGACTCTCGCGACTGTACATGGAGATGCTGAATTAACTCGCGGCAGCATCACGGGTCGACACAGGCGCTCTGGACAGCGACAGCGTCAGCGTCTCGCCGCAACTTTGCAACCGCACCACACGCCTGAGCCTGCCACTGCCGCGGTGCTGGTCATGCAATGAGCGGAACGACAGTCATGGCCCCGGCCGTGGATATCTCCTCCATTTCCTCCTTCTCTCGACGATCCCATTCCACCCCCGACCTCCCGTCTCTTCCATCGCGAAGCAAGTCGCCCTCGCTGGGCCAGCCGGCCTTGACCGAGCAGGCGGGCAAGAGCCTGGCCGAGTTCGCGACCTTTGAAATCCCCTCCTTCAGCACCGATCTCGATCTCAAGCTCGACATCTCTCTTCCTCCTCTCGCCCTCGAGAGCCAGCCGCCCCCTTCCACCCCCTCCGAAAATGACGACCCAAAACCCCCTTCTTCACCGACAGCCCTGCAGCATCTGCGCACTAGGTCTGCAGCTTCTAACAACGACGGGCCTCGCTCGTGGCTGCGCAGCTTGACGACGATTCGAGATGCGCCGTTCGAGGACGACTTCCAGGCTGCTGCTCCTCCTGCTCCTCCGTCTGGCGAGCAGAGGCGGCCCGCCACAGCCAACGAGTTCCCGATCGCCGTCGAAGACGCGGATGGCCGAGCTGCCCGGGACCGCTCGCAGTCAAGCGCCAGCTTCGCCAGCTTCAAGAGGTCGTGGATGCCGCTGTCGCGCGCGCATGCCAAAACCCAATCAGAGGCGCCGGCGGCTACAAACATGAAGCCGGAAGCGAAATCGAGCCTCGACAAGCTGAAACGGGCTGCGACGGCCAGCATCACGGAAATTGCGACCAATCAGACGAGCCAGGGCCGCTTAGTCGACGCGGGTGCTAAGCCGGCGACAAAGGGCTTCGCTCGTGCCACCAGCTACTTCTCCCGAATCAAGCAGAAGCCCGCGACCGCCTTGTCTAAAACAGGCGACAGCATCGGCTCCGACTTTAGCTGCGCCTCGTCTGCCACCAGCCTGGCCCAGCCGGGCTCCAGCAGCATCGACACGCATGTCTCGCAGTCGGCCTCTTCTGCCGAGACAAACTCCACGGCCCTGACCGCTGATGAGTCGGCCAGCGAAATGCCCGCGCGCATCCCCGATCCGCTGTGGTCGCACTTCAAGAACCTCGACCTCGAGATTCGCGGCTTCGCCTCCAAGCCCGTCGCCCAGCAGTGCGCCCTGGTCAAGACGCTGCTTCTGCCCTTTCTCAAGAGCGCCACCAGCCAGCAGCCGCTGGGCGGTCTGCGGCCCGAGGATGTCGACTGCAGGGCTTCCGTGCTCAACAAGTGGTGGAGCGCCGTGCTCGACATGCTCGAGGTGCAGCACCAGCAGCCGGTCCCGGGCCTTGACCGCCAGCTGCTCTTCGAGACGGCCACCACCGTCATGATGCGCATGGAGTGGCGCCAGACGACGCCGTACTTTCTGCCCCTGGCGGACCGCTCTCCTCAAGACCGCGACCGCGTGCGCGCGAGGTCGTCCACCAACTCGTCCAACTCGTCGCAGACCTCTGACCAGTCCGCGCTGCTGGCAGAGTCGGCAGAGCACAACATCAGGACCATGTTCGTGTCGAACCTGGTGAGGCAGATGGCCTTTGTCGTCGAGAAGATGTCGCTCCGCCACGTGCCCCCGAGCTTGATCGAATTCGCCGGCAAGACGTGCGCATACGCCTTCTTCTTCGCGCCTGGTGTGGCTGACATCTTGGTGCGACTCTGGGGGCTAACGCCCGACTTGATCCGCCGTGTCTCCGAGAGCATGGGCCTTGGCCGCAACTCCAACGAGCCCGTCGACGAAGAAATCGTAGCCTCGTTCCCGCCAAAGCTGAGCTCCCTAGCCTGGTCCTCGCCTCGGACGCTGTGGACCACTCTGAAGCGCATCCCCAAGATGCCTCTGCTTGTGGCCAGGGTGCCGTGGACAGGGCCCTGGGTTATGCGATGGAAAGGACGCGACACCGACCTTCTCTTCATCTTTTGCCGATATTTCCACTTGTTATCCGACCAGTTTATGCCGGAAGGACGTTCGTTGACGGAGAAGGCACAGTCGCCAGCCTTTGTTCTTGTCCACGCACAGCTCTTGTCGATTCTCGACGGCACCATCCACCGCCAGGCTGCTCTGGAGCCTCCGCAGGCAGCGCTCCTGGCCAAAGGAGCGGAAGCAGCAGCCCTACAGATGCCCATGCCACCAAACAACATGATGAAGAGCATGGCGGAAAACAGACTGGTAGTATTGCTAAAAGACATTCTAGCAGACGGAACTCTTGAGTATGCGGGAGCGAGACACACATTTGCGCAGGCGTTTTCTGCGCTCTTGAAAGCCGCCACGAGCAGGACATCACGATACAACAGCACCGCGTGCTCAATGCTGTGTGACTTGCTGGAGGAGGTTCTGCTCATCTACCACCGGGCCGAGACCGATGAGTATCCAACGTGCTACATCGACTGGCCCTTCTGGATTGATGTCTGCAAGATTGCTCTATCCTCTCTCAACACTCTGTCGGAGATCCGGATGATTTCTTTCATCTTTACGGTGTGGGACGCTATTGCAAAAGACCCCGAACAGAAGCTGCTGGTGTGTCGTGATTGGCTGTTGACGGAAGAGACCTTCAACGCTTTCTTCAACAACTGGTGCCCAATGGTGCGGGCGTACTACATGCGGCTGCTCTGCTGGAGAATATGCCGCGACAGGGGCAGCCAGAACGAGATTGACATGTAAGTTGGAACCATAGCCTGCTCCTGGAACGGAATCAGGGGAGCTGACCGCAACTCATAGGGAAATCTTTATGCTGGCGTCAAAGAGGCTCAAGAGCGTTTGGTCACACTATCTATACCTGAAGCAGGCTGCCGAAGAGGCTCACCAGGCGGGCCCTGCCACGGCGCCAATGTCGCCTACCTTGGGAAAACGATTCATCATCATCAAGCACGAAGTCGCAGTGCCTCAGCCAGGCCTGTTTGCGACCTTTGATACGTTCACCAAGGCATCGAGCATCATCTCACTTGCAAACGACACCAACTCCGACCCAACCGTCGTAACCAAGAGTGACCCCAAGAGAAAGTGGTCGTTTCTCAAGTTATTGTCGTTTGGCTCAACGGCTTCCACCGCCCAAAACAACACGGAGGCGTCTGCAAGCAAGCCTTCTGCGGACGAGGGGCTCCAGAACGCGCGCCGGGAGGTTGCAAACTCTCGGGCGCGGCAAATTACTCCGGCCACCCCGCCCAAGACGGCAGGCTCCGACAACAGCGCAGACTCTGATGGCTCCAATCCGGTTTATGAGGAGCCCAAGTTTACCTTCAAGTTTGTCCTGGGCTGGCCGCAGCCGCAGCAGCAGGCGCCTTCCCTCGACCGCACACTCGCGTGCCCGAGACTCCCAACGCCAGCGCAATCAAGACTTGGCTTCAAGCCAAAGCGAGGAGGCGGTCCGACGCTGCCTCCACTCATGATACCTACAAGGAAGTTTTCCGGCAGTTCTCAGAGCGGCCTGGTACAGGCAGCAAGGAATGCGAATGCAAGCCCGCTTGGGTCGCCCGTCTTGGAAGCTCATCGACAGCCATTCGCGAGCGGCGGGGCCATCCCGGAAGAGGAAGCCTCCATGAGCGGCTCGGAGGCCGACAGTGGCATCTCGATCCCTAGCGACTTGAAACTTTTCCCTTCCCCTAATGTCCAGCCGACGCCGAGTGAGGAATGGACCGGAGAAGCTAGAGTAGGGCCCGTTAAGCCCGCCGGCGCTTTTTTGAAGAACCTGGTCTACTCAGGACGGGCACTGTCCGAATGGAGTCTCGTGGTGGCGGAGTGCAACAACTTTGTTGAGCGACGCCGCGACGAGGGTGTCGCTTCGCTCGACGATGTTGAGGTGCCACTTTTGGGCGTCGAAGGCTTCCGCAAGATGGCCGGTTGAGCTTCTCGGTTAAACACTACAATCCCTGGATTAATTCTGGGCCGTTAGAACAAGGGCACCTCGGGCTTCTTGGGCCTTGCCTTTCCGCTTCTTCTTCTATCTTTTCTCATGTACGGATTTCACGAGCGAGCGGCATATATGATGAGCGATTTACATTTTATATGACCTTGAACTCAGCAGGCGTTGGCGAAACACACATCTTTCGATAAAGCGTATCTTTCTTTCTCTCCTTTTTGGGTACATTAGCATGAACCTTTTCCTTGAATGCGCGCATACGTTGGCACTGGATCCTTTTGGTCGAATATCAAGACGATATATGAACAGAAAAAAAAGACAAAGATGGCAGACATTAACCTTTCTTTTTTTGGCACGCGTTACACAACCCATGCTTCACAGCAGAGGAACAACAAACATAATTATCATACACCATATAAAAAAGACGTCGAGATATTTTTTTTGGGATAAATCAGAGAGTTTTCATTGCTGGAATATATTTCACTGCAAGATTTGGGCAGTGGGTTTTGTTTGATGCTTTCTATGGTTTCTGAGGCTTGTCGATTTTATCTTGCCTTTTGTGGTTTTTTCTGCCTTGTTCTGGCGGAATGACTTGTTGTTCTCATTCGATGGCGGTATCTATGAGCGGAGAAAGAAGATGGGATGAATTGCAGCTGCAGGAGATGGATGAATACCCCGATTTCTTTAGAGCATGAGTTGTCGACACGTTTGGAGATTCGATTCTAATAGTAAAGTAATGAACAAGATTACTCAACTCACTCAACTCCCTATGTGTGCGCAAGCAAGTAACAGTGTCACTTTGAAGCCGTTATTCATTTCACATGTATATCCTACCAACATTCTGCTTTCTTCGGGAAATGAAGAGACGGAGACAACAATCATACACACCCAACTAGATCTTGGCCTTTGCAAACCGGGCCTTATACGCAGCCCTGATCATCTGCCTCCACTCCTTCTGCTTCTCCGCCAACCGCTCAGCCCTCTCCTTGACCTCGGGCCTGTAAAACGCAGCCCGATCCGGGTACTGCCCCTCGAACTGGGGCTTCCCGTCCGTGAGGGCGACGAGATCCCTGCGGCTGCTGCGGACGAAGATGTGCACGTCCGGAGGCAGTTCCCAGGGCGCGTCGAGGGTGCCGACGAGGAGGTAGATGCCGTGGGGGCCGAGGTCGGCGTAGGCGTTCCAGAGGGGGGCGTGGCAGCGGGGGCACTGGGATTGGGTTTGGCCGATGGTGGATTGGGTTGGGAGGGTTATCTTTATGGGGTTTGGGATTGAATTCGATGATGGGGGAGATGATGATGATGTTTGCGGTGGTGCGGTTGGGTTTGTGGCTTCGGCGAAGGCGGGGAGGATGCCGCATGGCGAGGATGATGATGATGAGGAGGATGATGCTTGTTGCGCATCGGCCTTGCTGAGGGGCGCGGCGGGAGGAGCGGCGGCGGACGGGAGGAGGGAGATGGCGGAGGATTCGACGATGGCGTTGACGGCAAAGGCGGAGCCGGTCTGGCGCTGGCAGAGGGTGCAGTGGCAGGTCTGGACGAGGAGGGGCGGCAGGGCGAGCTGGTAGCGGATGTGGCCGCAGGGGCAGCCGCCTTGCATGGGGAAGAGGTCTTTTCGTTGGGTGTAGTGAGGAGGCGTTGCCATGGTTTCGTTGTGGTGGGATGTAATGAGGCGTGTATTAAGTGAAGGTTGATGTAAGAGAAGAGAAAAAGGGCACAGATGAGAAGGGGATACTAGCAAGAACTGTCTTAAGATCTGTCCCGAGGGTTTGTCAGGAGTGTGGGGTTAGATTGTGTTCATGTTGAGACGCCAGCCATTCAGATGCGAGGGGATGGCCGAATTAGGAAACTGGTGGCTGGAGCAGGCAAAAGGGGTACGGTGTTTGTTTCGCTCTTCGTGAGAAAAGGTGAGGTGTTGGGGGGCGTGTTTTTTTCGTATGGCGGGATGGGCTTGAGGCTTGTTGTGTGGCTGATTGGAGGGACTGGGAGATTTGGGGTTTGAGGTGCTTGATAGGTAGGGTGGGATGAGATGCTGCGGCTGGGGGAGGGGTTTGGTTGCGTATTGACGGGCTGGGGATGTTGGGCCGTGTGTCTGTAGACGCGTCGTCTGATGAAGAAGAAGAAAGTGATGGTTCGAAAGTACTGTACAGATAAACAGTACAAGAGGATGTTGATGTCGGATAGATACATCAGATCCAATGTCCAAGGATGGCGTACCCTCGCATTCATCATCCTCCAGAGGCTGCGCGGCCCCTCACGTGCCTTCCCCCGCGGCACCGGCGTCTGTGATTGGTCTGATTGGCCCTCTAGACCGCCTGTTTCGTCACCGGCGGGCCGCTCGAATGGCTTTTCCTCTTTCTGTCACGACTCTTCGAAAGAGATTCCAGACGAGGCCTCCCAGGCGACAATTGCCTAAAACTTGCAGCCGGGCTTCCATCCTTTTCGTTGTGTTCCCCTTGTTCGTGACCTGTTGATGCCGATGCTGTGAGCGACTCAGCGCGAGAGTGAGACGTGAGAGCCATGCCCAACACAGGCAGACCGAGCCGGGATTGTCACTTGTGCCGCCAGCGGCGAGTCAAGGTCAGTTGGAGCTGATGTGATGTGCCATGAGATGAGATGGGATGAGATGAGATGGGATGTACTCTGCGCCAACTCGATATACTTGCTTGAAGCACGCATGACACACACGAGCGTCTTATATAAAGTGTCCGTGTCCAACGCAGCATTGGAGTGGGTCTACGGCCCTTCTGGAAGATCTGTCGATGCGATGCTGTTGGTCTCTTCTCTGTCTGTCTCTTCTGTGTGTGTGTGTGTGTGTCACCAGGTGGCCCGTCCATACATGCTCTTGGCAGTCTAGCAGAGCTGAACAAACCAACAGCCTCCGTCTGCTTGGCCCGTCCCGTCCCGTCCCATGGCAATCCATCTCACAACGTATTGCGTGCTGACTCCGTCCCCTGCAGTGCGACCTCGCCCGTCCCGCCTGCCAGCGATGCACCAAGTACGGCGCCCAGTGCCCGGGCTATCGGGACCAGCAGGAGCTCGTCTTCCGCAACGCCGATCCCACCGTCGTCAGGAAGCGCAAGAAGCGCCAGGCCTTGACGCAGCCGCAGATTCAGTCCCCCGGCCCCGGTGAGACACCGTCCTCGTCCTCGTCTTCTTCCTCTTCCTCTTCGCTGGCCGACTCGGATCCGCTGCCGGAGCTCGCCCCCAATGGAGACTTTATCATCAACACCTCGACGGGCCTCGTCCTGGTCGACGGCGTCAACTACCATGCGGCGCCGAGGCTCACCCTGCCCGTGTTTGAGCACTGGACGTCTCACTCGGTGCCCATCGTGCTCAATGTCTACTCCAATCTCGACTTCATCAAGAACATGTACCTCAACTTTGCGGACGACGGGCCGCTCATCTGGGCCGCGCATCTCTTCTCCCGCACATACGTGACCAACCTGCAGTACCCGACGTCGCTGTACAGGGACGCCCATCTGGAGACGCAGCGCGAGTTGGGAACCTACCTGGGCAAGACGCTGAAGTTGGTGAGCGAGGCGCTCAAGACGCCCGAGGGCCCTCAGCGAGATGACATTCTCGCCACCGTGTGGCTTCTCACCAATTACGAGGTAAACAGCAGCCCAGTCCCCAGCCATACGAAATGAAGTACTTGAGATCAGGACCTTACACGCGATAGTTGCTCGTTGGCTCCCTTTCTCGCACTGAAACTCTCAGTCCATGGCATCTACATGCCCGAGGTCTGTACAGCATCCTCAAAGCGAGAGGCACCGCGCCTCTATCTACAAACCATGGCCGCATGGCTTTCTGGCCTGCCTACAGCATGGTGGTATGTCTACATAAGCCCATCATAAAAGTGTCCTCGCATTTCTGACTTCGAAATCGCGTACAGCAAATCCAGGCGCTCATCAGTAACACAGAGTGCCCCGCAGAGTCAGAAGAATGGCTCAGCGCAATAAAAGCAGCGCTGCCAGCGCACCCAGGAGAGGGCCTGGGGGTGGCCATTTCACAGTTCATCATCAAGGTCTGCAGTGTGCAAGCTCGCATCTTCAATTTCCTCCGACGTCGCGACTTTCCGGCCGCTTCTAGAGAATATCCCGATCTTTTTGGTCAGATGAGGGCTGCTGAAAAAGAGTTTGAAGACTGGCGAGAATCGAATCCCATCGGAAATCACGTCCTGGAGGTGTACGCAATCAGCCTGTACCAGTCCGCCATCGTCAAGGGGTACCAAGGCATACATCTCCTCATCAACTTCCTCACCCACTACGCCCCGTGTCAGGTCCCCCTCGAGCAGCTCAAGGAGGATCGAAAGTACTGCTTCCGGACGGCGCAGAACGCGGCGCAGGGCATCTTGGAGAGCGTGCCTCGCGTGCTTGGGCCTCTGTCCAATAGCAAGGAGAAATCGCCCAAGGACGTCTTTGATGCATTGCGGGTCATATGGCCGCTGATTGCCGTGTACATCATGAGCATCTGCCGGCCGGAGCAGCGACTCGCCGCGGAGGGCCTCCTCTTTTACATTGGCCGGGAGTTGGGCGTGCGGCAGGCGCTAAACACGTACCCGGACGGGTTGAAGCTGCCGCAGGAGGCGAGGGAACCGCTGGAAGTATCAGTTTTTGAGTCTCATTGAGCAGTTTACATATGATGGGGGAAGTTGAGAATGGGGAGGTGGAAAGACTGTTGTCGTTTGATGATGACGAGGAAAGCCATTTATTTATGTTGGGTATTACATCTGTGTCCCCTTTGCATTTATCCGATACCAAGAAGGCAATTAATGTGAAATGGATATGCAAGATAAGTTGCCGTTGGTATAGAGATGCCACGATGCTGAAGCTCTGTGAATGTGGTGTGATTAGACTTTGCTACTGTTGGTGTTATGGAGGTATTAAATGCGTATTTGAAAGTAGCTATAGAATCATCGCATTGCCTCGTAATTTGACGCGCCGAGGACGTTCGTTAATAAGTCGTATAAAACATGATCCAAGAAAACAGTGACAGAAATCACGCCATAATAAACAACCGAAGCCAACAATCACCACCACAAATCCAAAATGTCCCCCCCGAAAATCTACAGCGGCGTCTCGGAATGCGCAACGAGCAGCCACTCCCCATCGGCGCCCTGGTTCCACGTCGACGACGCGGTGGCGCGGTACTTCTCCTTGCCCCTAGACGCGCGGATCTTGTAGGTGACGACGCCGCCCATGAGGCCGATGAAGTGGGCGCGCATGTCCTCGACCTGGTAGTCGTCGAAGCGGTGGAAGGGCGGCTGCATGGCGTCGTGGAAGGCCTCCTCGTCCTCGGGCGAGATGATGTCCTTGTGGGGGAACATGAGGGCGGCGTCCGGGGCGCAGAGCTTGAGGACGGCGGGGGCCGGGTTGGCCGACGTGAGGGCCGTGCAGAGGTCGTTTTCCTTGCCGAGGAGGTCGTCGCGGAGCCAGTCGTTCATTGCGGGCATGTTGGGCGGTTTTTTGTGTTTTAAAGACAAAAGATTGTTGTTGTTGGCTGTGTTTTGAGGGCCGTGTTAGTTAGGTGATATGGTGATTGTTGCTTGGGTTTATACCGGGGGGAAACGACATACGCACTTTGTGAGTTGTGATGGGAGGCGGGAGATGAAGATTGTTACGGGGGGAGCTAGTTGGTTATTCAGGGTACTGGCACTGGCAATTGCACAAAAGGGAAAGGAAAAGAAGCCATCGCGAGTTGAAATCCGGTCTTCATAACCAGCTGAAAGGATCAAGCAAAAGAGGCCATCTCATGACGTCACGCCCACGGTTTCCAGAAATGACGTTGAGGCTCTCATCTATTTAAAACAGCTGAGCAGTAATAGGGCAGTCACTGTATGTATGCCATCGACCGATGCACTACTGCAAGTAGGAATAGAGCACACTGGGGCACACTGCAATCTAATTGCATGCTGATTGCGGAATTAGCACAAGTTCCCTTCGACAGGGGGGTGGTGACATTGGGATGTCCCTTGGTTTGTGTGGGCAAAGGAACCAAGTTGTATGTATGTACAGTGAGGCTTGTGAGAAGGGGCTTGGCTTTCCCATCTCGGAGGCCGGCAACAAGTAGTCCAAAACCTGGAAATAGTGGCTTGAAAAGCCGTACATACCAAGTTTTGCTTCAACGGGTTCTCCACCACTCATGACAGCCTCCAGGCGTCATTCGCTGATCAGTTGCCGGTTCTAGTTGGAGGGCTGACGCGTGGCAACTGAGGCTTCTCTTGTTGTTGTGCCATCGCATTGTTTGGCGGGAATAGCTGATGGATAGATGCTTCTAGTACTGGGAAGCTGGGTTACAGCTGGCCTGGGAAACAAGCAGTCGAGGGGCTTCATTGTTCATGCATGTTATATGATTCTTACGAGTCTTGACCCATAGGGCAATGAACATCGTGTTGTTTACTTGACCGACTCTATCTTGAATACACCTAACGTGCCTTCGTTGTCGCTCTTGCGTACGACTTCTCTCCGCCGCGCCTCGGCAAGGCGGGTTTGCGCAACGAACACTGTAAGCAATCAGCACCAACGGGTAGGCGGGCATCTATAGGTAGCATCGAGCACAGAAGGATCTGCAATCGCAGTAAAACACCAGGAACACAAGTGAAGAACACAAGAGGATGAAGAAAGACCAAAAAGAACACACAGGACGAAGGAAGTGAAAGAGAGAAAGAGAGGGAAAAAAAGAAAAAAAGGAACGATCGGATGGCACTAGAGCTTTGCTCCCGGCAGGGCTTGAACCTGCGACCTTCGCATTACCAACACTGAGCTTGGAAGCTTGAGTATTAGTACGAAGCTCTAACCAACTGAGCTACGGAAGCCACCTCGCTTCGAGTTGTTGGACTTGTCCCTTATTGACTGCTATAAGCTTACTGGCAAGTGCCGTTCCAAAGCAGAACTCGCGACTTTCCGGTGATGAACTCCTTGTTTCAATCAATAGCCGTTGACTGCAGATGGATCATCTTTCATGAAGTTCTTTCATGGGCATCTTGAACATCCGATGCTTAGCATAAGGGTAACTGCTCAACTGCGCATTAGCGCATTGAAATCTGGAAGCGCAACCTTTCATGCTCTGCCTCTTTTCCATGCCTTGCATACATGATCTCGATTTGCGAACCACTTCAATAACCACTTGATTGGGCGCTTCGCTTTTCAGGCGCGCGGATGCACAGACATCGAAGTGCAGTAACCTGGCTTGAGTTTACCACGAGAGATGACTCTGGTTTCGGAGATATGCAACTCTTGGACGAGAGCTAAGTGAACTCTGTTTCAGCTCGGCGTCTAGATAGCGAGGAGCTGCATCGGTCATCGATGGATTAGGAAAAGGAATTGTAGAAAGGTATGACAGAACTTTGGAGTTTTCTCGTGATTGTTGAACTGAAAGCCTGGGAAGTCTAGATGGATTGATTCCTCGTGAATAGTCTGAGTCGTCCTAAGCCTCGAGACGATCTCATTATGTATTCTCGCATACCATTAATGTCTGTATGTTGGAAAGGACAAGTCTTATCGCTGACGCTCATCAGGCAATGTATAACCCTCGGTTACTATTCTATTCGGAGCCTGTATGAGAGTTTAATGTTCGCCATTCCTAATATTATTCTGTGTTATGTTACTGACCTTGCGAGAGAGCCAAAACAATGCCTGACTTGGGCGTATCGGGGAAACTAATTTGATAGCTGCGGCAGCCACGAAATCGGCCCATCGGCGGATGTGATAGATTGAGTTATGAAGAGACGTTAGACTTTAAGCCCCGGCCTAGACAGCACTCAGCCCATATGGTTTGCACTACAGTACGGGGTTTCACATGGAAATGGTATGTTGAACTCGACATCTCATCCGTCGTTTGCTGACTCGCCCGAAACCCTCGACATCCGAAACTACACATTTGACACTGGCAGTGCATGCCAGCAGAATCAGCTGTTGCTGGCCATTCTGATCCAAGGCATGCACTATGGCACAATCCCACGAAAGGCATTGGCTCTTTGACGCGGGCAGGGCTGGTAGCAATAACCTCTGACGAAAGAATTGAGGAGACTAAGGAGATGGAGACAAGTGCTGGATTCTCCTAAGCTCGGGCATTCCAGGCCAAGATGCAGATATGCAAAAAGATGCTCCTAATCTGACTGCAAATGGGATGACTAAAATGGGAGCGTCTACAGGTATAAATGGCAATTACAGAAGGGGCATGGACGAAGCGGTGTGGCCTCAGTTCTTCTCAGTCTGTGTTCTTGACATCAAGGACTCTCAAAGATATCTATACACACTCAGTGCAATCAATTCACGACACCATGGGTCCATCAATCAAGTGCCTACTTATCCTCTTATCCGCCGTTGCAACGCTTATACAGGCGCAACCGCAAGCAAAGCCATCGCCAAAACTGCTTCCTTACTGCGACATGAACCAGATCCACACCATGGACGTTGCAGGCTGCCGCTGCCGACCTCATTACAACGGCTGCTTCACGCAAGCCAAGACCTGCCACTTGGACGTTCCAAACAGGCATACCAACAGCTACTTCCCCGGATGCACCGACAATGACAAGCTCTGCCAAGGATGTGGGCTTTGGTTCCATACGCTGTGCGACTGCATCAAGGGCCCGTCCGGCTGCGTTCACGAGGGAACGGTGCAGCCAAACGGCAAGCAGGTGTGGTTCCTGACGCCCAAGGACGAGAAGCTCGTCACCACGACGGATATCCTCCCTGGTATCCTAGAGATGGCCAACGATCCGGCAAGATACGAGGAAGGGTGGCTGTTTGCGCAAAAGAACTACAGCCCTGGCAGCGAGGCGCTGGCGCTCAACTCGGTCCGGTCGAGGACGCACGAGCAGTTCCACATTCACGTCTGCAAGAGACCCGATGTCAAAAAGGACCCCCGGGTCTTGAAGATTCTCGACACTGCGCAGCACAACACGGGGCCGACGCTGGAGCGGGTCGGTAACAATGACCTCTGGTGCAGGACGGTGACCAAGGGCAATGGGCCGGTGAAGGACTTCGCCGCGGCCATACAGGCTTTTTTGAAGACGGGGGCGCTCTGTCAAGGGCTTGTTGGGGCGGCGGTTATACGGGATTCGCATGAGAACTTGTGGGCGTGTGTGACTGGGAATCAGCATGGGCCGTTGGCTGAGTTCTGTGCTGCCAAATAAAAGGGGCTGGCTGGGCTGACAGAAACTGAGAGATGTGGTTCAGCACAGGGATATTGCTCTTGTAAGAATGCTGTATGTCGTGGCTTAAGACTGGATCCTGGGAAGAGGCGGTATGGTTGTACTTGATTGTAAACCAGTGCCCTTCATCATGTGTAATTTGACTTCAATAACATGAATCATCTGTTCTCTCTCTAAACAATCACAATGCTAGCAGCACGAAATACCACAACTGCCGGTCTACTTGCCACAGGCCCCAGCCCTACCTACGCGTGTAAGTGAGGAGAGAAATGTTGTATGCGAGCACATGCATGTGAAACCGACCTCGGAGCCCCAACCTGCAGCCCCCGCATCAGCCTCAACCAATGTCTGAGACTCGAGATAACCCCAGATTCCCCAGATTCTGACATTCCATCTCCACTCCTCGCTGCTTTACTCTTTCTCTCAATAGGCATCAAAGTTGTAGTCTCTACGTGTAGTCGTGATAGTCATGGAGATAGTATCCTCCCCACGGCGACATGGCCCGCTTCGGCTAGCTTCGCGGATCTCGTCTCCGGCCCCGCGTCTCTCTTCGCTCTTATCTCCCCGGCTTCGAATCGGTATTCAGTTAGGTCTTACACGTCGTCGTTGACGAATGCTAATACGATTTCGGTCGGAATCAACAAAACACCGTGATAAGGTTTCGAGAGATGTTGTTGAACAGTCTACGCATCTACTTATTGCCCGACCGCCGGCTTTGCGTCAGGCCTGGAAACCATCTAGAAGCACCGTCTGACCTCGGCTCAAGCCACTCTCTCATCATATCTCACATATAGGCGGGAGAATACGCGTAGCTGAGTCTGTCTCTCGTGTCTCGTGTTTTGTGTTTCGCGTACCGTGAGAGAGAGTGCTCTTTGGAAGCGTCACATACCAGAGAAACATGGCTGCAAACGTCGGCAGCAAAAGCAACGGCATATCGCGTCGTGATGAACTGGAGCTCATCCGCAAGTATGTCTACGGATGCCACATCCTGCACCGCTACAACGTCGTGGACGCGTATGGCCACCTGTCCGTGCGCCTGAGCGAGACAGTCTTCATGATGGCGCGGTACATGGCGCCGGCCCTCGTGTCGTCGACGGAGGACATGGTATTGTACAATGTCGAGAGCGGCGAAGCCCTGCAGAAAGACGCACCCAAAGGTCGGTTCCATTCGTCTGTCGGGATACAAGTCCACGGCATAGCGGCTGACTGGATACCATCACAGGCTTCTCTGAGCGCTTCATCCACTCAGAAATCTACAAGGCATACCCCAAGGTCCAGGCAGTTGTGCACTCGCACTCACTCGAAGTCATCCCGTTCTCCATATCGTCGGTCGCCCTGCGGGCGTGCTTCCACATGGCCGGCTTCCTGGGGACCGCCGTGCCCGTATTCGACGCCGCAACAGTGTATCGCGAGAACCCATCGGTCTCAGCAAGTCACGACATGCTCGTCCGGAGCACGGAGATGGGCGCAGCGCTGGCCAAGACGCTGGGACCGGCTGACGGCGAGGGGCTGCCCAAGTATCCGGCTGCGCTGATGCGTGGGCACGGCTTCGTGGTGACGGCGGACAGCATCGAGATGGCGGTGTGCAAGAGCATATACACGATCCAGAACGCGCAGGTGCAGAGGGCGGCGATTGGGCTGGCGGAGGAGGTGCGCTTCTTCAGCGAGAGGGAGGCTCACGATGCGGGCAAGACGGCGATGGCGGGGGCTGCGAAGCCGTGGCCGCTGTGGGTGGCCGAGGTGAAGAACAACAAGCTGTACAAGAACTCCGTGTGAGCGAGACGAGAGCGTAGCATCGTAGTTGAGCCTGATATCGCAGCATAAAGCATGCAACGGTGGCATTGACGCTCAACTGCATCTTGAGATTTGATTCCTGCACGGCGTGCATGAGTGCATCTCGGCAGATGCGGCCTGACGGCCGCGCCTTGGCGTAGACCCTCAATGGCCAAGACCGATCTCGCTATAGCGCTGCAACCCCCCTGTAGCGCGCAGCCCAGCAGAAGGGCTGAGCGCTAATTTGCCACTGAAGAATGCCCGCTAGCCCAGCGTGCAAGCCCCAGCAGCTCCCCCGCACCGCCTGTTCTTTTAGCGCGGCCTGGGGAATTAGGTCGCCCCGTCACCGCGTCTTGCCATTTATAACCCTCGACTCCGTACTCCGATCGAGAAGCTCCCCGGATCTCCTGTCCGCTCACCTCACCCTTTCCCTCTCCCTGTCTGCTTCTGCCCAGAAATTGCGCAGTGGAGAGCGTCCGCGTCTCCCTGCTGACCTGAATGGCTGCATCGCCCGCCGCCGCGTTTCCCACGCCTTCCGTCGAGGCCGGGAGGGGCCAGCATCAGCACGTGTCGCACGTGCCGGCATATGGCCCGCCCCAGCCACAGCCGCCGTCTCACACTCAGTCCCAACACCAGCCACAGCCGCAACCACCGAAATCACAGCCACATCCAGACCTCGGCTTGCACTCTTCATCATCAGCCTCGTCTTCTCACAACCAGCAAAAGCAAAAGGAACAGCAGCAGCAGCAGCAGCCTCCTCCTAAGCGACGCCGGATTGGATATGCCTGCAACCTCTGTCGCACGAAGAAGAACCGCTGCGATGGCGAGCGGCCGTCTTGTGGGCCCTGCAAGGAGCGGCGCCAGGAGTGCGTCTACAGCCCTCAGCGCACCAAGATCTCTGTGACGCAAGAGTATGTCTGTTGTGTCAATTGTTCATGCTCGCTATCTCGAACCGTTTATGCGTATCTGTCTTTCATAACAAGCAGCAAGACACCATGGCCATTGCTTGGCTGTCTCCTGTCGTGGCCCCTTTCTTACTCTTCTCAGGTACATTGAGAATCTGCGAGCGCGGAACCGTATGCTCGAGGAGCATCTGGCCACCCAGCAATCTCAGGGCTCTCACTCGCCGTAAGTCTGACAGCATTCTCCTAGATGGAACCATCAAGCTAAGTGCACAATCCACAGTCTCGAAAGCACATACTCGAAAGAGTCGCCCTTTGCTCCCCGTCTATCCCTAGATCGGCAACCGGGTGATGGTGCAAGGCAACAGCAATATCCAAACCTTTCCTCACCTACATCTACGGCAGAGGGTTCTTCGGCCTATCCTCGTCAGCAACATGATAGGATGGCATCATTCAGTGACCGCTCAACGGCAGCTGTACAGCGGCAGCATCAGTCTGACAGTAATCAACGTGGCGATCAACCAAGGAGTAGTCATTCCGCCCTGCCGGGGGAGTATTTTGGAGAGTCATCAGCTTTCGACTTCATTACGAAGGTGACATCGCCAAACACCACAGATGCTACAGCAGGCAGTTCGGCAGCTGCTGCGACTCCGGCAACCGGCGCCAGCAGTGGTGGTACCGCCACTACCAGCACGACAGCAACGACGGGGAAGTCGGCAACGGCTATCACTGCGAGGAGAAGCATTGCCGAGGCATCTGGGCTCAGTGCCGGCCTGAATTCCGAATCACTGGCAGAGTCGTCCCCGTCAACAGTCGTGTTCGAGGAACTTCTGGGCATCGGCGGGGGTATAGGGGACAATCATGGGAGCAGTGATTTGTTCGAACTGCCTCAACGATCCTTGGCCGACCGCCTGGTGACGTCGTATTTTAAACATCGACACCCCCTGAATCCGTATATACACGAGGGCACATTCCGCCAGCGTTATGCACGGCTGTGGCTCAGCAGAGATGTGGGCGGCGAGGAGGCGGCCCCCAACAACTTGGCCTGGCTGGCGGTCGTCAACATGGTATTTGCGTTTGGTAGCGAGCATGCGCAGGTTCGGCCGCCTTACAATGGAAGCCCAGCCGGCTCAGCCTCAGCAAAGCCAGACCGCGCCCGCTTCTTCAAACGAGCCAAGGTGCTGGCCTTTTCAAGCATATTGCAGGCCAGGATCGAACTCGTCCAGGCGTTGCTGCTGATGAGTCACTATCTGCACGGCTCGCTGGAGCTCAATCATTGCTGGACCGTCATCGGGCTGGCCATCCGCACAGCGCAGGAGCTGGGGCTCTATCTTGACTCTACCAACTTTACAAATGACACTGTCGAGCAGGAGATTCGCAAGCGAGTGTGGTGGGGTTGCTTCGTCATCGACCGCCTCGTCAGCATCAAGGTTGGGCGACCCCCTACGATTCACGACATTCCTGCCATTCGCGTCGGTCTGCCTCTTGCGGTGGATGACGAGTTTCTCGACGAGGCGTCCAATTACACTCAGCCGAGCCATATCCCGTCCAAGATTGAGTTCTTCAACCACATTGTGACACAATGCCGCTTGCTCGCCAAGGTGCTCGACACGTTGTATGACAACACGCCCAGTAGCAGCGGTAGCATTGGAGGCAGCAGTAGCTCATCATCAGCAAGTCGCGAGAACAGAGTTCGCATCAAGATTGACTTGCCGGATCTTCTGGCCATGTCGATCCAGCTGGACGGCGAGCTGGTAGTTTGGCAGAGCCTGCTGCCTCCACATTTGCGCGCGGACTCGGATAACCCAGAATGGCACTTTGAGCGACAGCGAAGTGTCTTGCTCATGCGGTATGTCATGGCTTTTCATCTGGTTCAAGATGTTGTTGGCTGACCGAGCAATTTCACACTTAGCTTTCTTCATATTCGACTCCTTATCCACCGTCAGACACTGCTTTACCACATTTTACGCCGCATATCTGATCCCTTCCAGCTGGATCTTGCGCATCTGTGCATCCGCCGATGTGTCATGGCGGCATACGATGCCATCACCCAGGTGCATCTCTTGCAGCAACACAACCTGCTGTCGTCCTCATGGCACAACTCACATTGTATGTCCCTCTCCCTCAAAGCCAACGCCAATTGCTCATAATCGTTAACCCGGGATAGACGTCTTCACAGCCTTGAGCGTCCTGCTGGTCTACCAGCACCTGGACCCTTATTCGCGCGCAAAGATTGACATACCGCCGTCGTCGGACATCGATAGCGTCATTGGCCAAGGCTTGGAGCATTTGCAACGTGTTGGTGGGGAAATGCATCCCCTTGCTTCACGTTATGTCCGCTCCTTTCAGCAGCTGCAAGCACGGTTGCAGGCGATTGGAACGCTCTCCGCGAATGCACCGCCATTAGCTGTCCGCGGTAAGCAGCCACTGTCAACGAAGGAGGATGGCGCATCAGGATACGGCCCAGCGCGTACGGCGAGCTCTGCGACCGATTCCGACCAGAGCAGTAGCAACATTGATTCGACTACGAGCGGAAGCACCGGTAAAGGATCTGTAGCCATGACAGATCAAGGCCAGGAACACGGCGGAGTAAACTATGATGGCGGGGATGGATACCAGGAGCAGACGGTTGAGTATGGGGCCGATGGCTTCATGTGGGCCGGGTTTGATGACGAGTTTGCGGTGATCCAGAGCGCCTTGCTGGATAGCAGCGGGTGGGGGCCTGGGTTTCTGGATCCTTGGGCGCAGGGATGAATGGGTTGTATGTGTAACGTGGACGCTGAACGTTTGATGTTGGTCATAGTGATCAGGTTATTTGACAGAGTCGAGATGCTCTTCGAGATGATTATATACATGTGATGATCTTCGTGACTGCTCATCCAGTCTCATGGAATATCATCATGTAAGTCGTATTCTTATATTTCGCTCTATATACAATGCCACTACTGTATAAGTAAGTAATACAAGTCGACAGCAGAACTACACCCAAATGATATCATGTACAAGCAACTCAATACGCCAAATATCAACAACCAGAAATGTCACACTGTTCCCGCCCCCCCCCCCTCCACCATCAAATCCCCAGTCGCGTCCTCGTTGCGTTAAAGTCGGCCTCAAGGTCATGGCCCCACACCCACTTCATGCGGTCCTTGAACTTGTCGTGGATGACCTGCAGGCGCTGCTCAAAGACGAGGCCGGCGAACTCGGGCCCCTGCATCTCGTAGACGTCGCCGGCCTGGCGGGAGGTCAGCTGGGCCTTTTGGGCGCGCGGCAGGCGCGTCTCCTGGTAGAGCTTCATGTACGTCTCGAGGCCCGGGGCGGGGTTCTCGAAGAAGGCCTTGACGGCTTGGCCCATGACGAAGGAGTCTTCGATGGCGTGGCCGGCGCCGGAGCCTGTGAAGATGCCCGGGGGTTAGCTTCAGTCACACAAACATCTTTGACGGAATGATGGATTCTACTAAGAGGTAGGGGCTCAGGTTTCATCCTTACCCTGGTGAGGAAGCATGGCGTGGGCAGCATCGCCGCTCAGGACGACTCTCCCGCCGAGATACACCCACTGGTCCAGCAGCTCGCGGTCGTTGAGCTTCCACTTGCCCGGGTTGGGCTCCATGGCGCGGACGATGCGCTGCACCGTCTCCTCCCAGCCGGCGAACTCGGCCTCGACCTCTGCGCGGGGCGCGGTGCTGGACCAGCTCTCGCGCAGGTCGCCGAGCTCCTCCTCGGGCTTGGTGACGAAGGCGACGACGTTGAGCGTCTTGTTGCGGGAGATGGGGAACACGAGGAAGTGGCGGTCGGGGCCGAGCCAGGAGACGGCGAAGGAGTCGTAGGGCCAGTCGCGCTCGACGGCGGCCATGGGCAGCAGGCCGCGGTAGCAGACGCGGCCCGAGTAGCGCGGGTGCAGGTCGTTTGCGCCCTTGGAGAGCTGGCGGCGGACGTTGGAGTGGATGCCGTCGCAGGCGATGACGAGGTCGGCCGAGGCGCTGGAGCCGTCGGCGAAGCGCACCGTCGTCTTGCCCAGCTTGGGGTCGTCGTCGACGATCTCGACGGCGCGCTTGTTGGTCTCGAGGCGGGCCTCGGACGTGGCCCGCAGGTGGTCGTACAAGACCTGCAAGAACTCTGCCCGATGGACGCTCAGCTGGCGCACGCCGTCGCTCGAGTCATCGTCCATGGCGCCGACGGAGACAATCTCCTCGCCATTGTCCCACCGGCGGAGGCTCCTGTGGATGCCGTTGCGGTCGCCCGAGATGGCGTTGGCGGCGGCGTAGACGCCGTAGCGCTTGAGGATGCGGCTCGCGTTGACGCCGATGCCGATGCCGGCGCCGATCTCCTTGTACGCGGGGGCCTGCTCGTAGACGGTGATGTTCTTGCCGAGCGAGGGGATCTGGGTCGACAGGGAGAGGGCCATGGAGAGGCCGCCGATGCCACCGCCGATGATGGCGATGGAGAAGGTTGAGGGGGAGGGGGTTGGTTTGCTGACTATTGCCATGGTTGTTGTTGTTGTTGCTGCCGGCATGTACGTTTGTTCTGTTGTTTGTATTATATATGTGTGTGATGAGTGTGTATGTATATATATATGTGGTGTATTATGCTGAGAAAGATGAGATGTAGGAGGCGCGAGAGCTGGCTCGTTCTATATAGTTGTTGCTGGAAAGTGAGCTTGAGAACAAGCTCGTGTAGAAAGAATGAAAGAAAGATGTGGCAAGAGATGAAAAAAGACGAGGAGGAAGATGAGAGAAGAGATAGGAGACAAGGGGGGAGGGGGGAGGAAAGATGGGAGCTCCGCAGAGGAGAAACAGTCAGATGAGATTTTGTCTAGGGCAGCTCCATCTTTCCGGATCACGGTTATCCTATTCACTCAAGCCGTCGGAAATGGCGGGATATAGTCATCATCGAGCTGAGTCTGAAAGAAAAGAACACATTAGTTTATTTGCTCTTGCGGATCTTTGTTTGATTTTCGTTCAAGGCTAGTAGTATCGTCTTTCCGCGGGGTGAGGGGAGGAAGAGGGTTCGTGTGATTTAGCGGCGTGGGGGGAAACACGTTGGAGGGCGGATCTGGATTCCGGGGGTGTGGAGTGTGGGGTTACAAGATTTGGGCGTTCCGGAGATGGTTTCCGGAGAGGGGAAGTTTGAGATGAACGATGGGGTGTGGGAAGCCATTGGTTCCGGAAGATGGGGCCGCAGCATTCGTGGCTGGGTGATGTATCGTGTGCTAGTATAGTTCCGGGGAGATTGCGAAAGAAGAGAAAACGAGATCCGCAGAATAGATGCTGGGCTTCATTGGGGGAAACGCGGTCACTTGAGCGGTGTCTGACCACCACGATGGGATTTGGAGCTGCTGGGTTTGGTACTAGGTTGAATCTGGAGCCATCGTGGGTCAGGAGCTGGCAGTCGTACAGATCTCGAAGATGGCATGATCCGTGGTCTGATAGCTGTATGATCCATGGTACGAGCTGTAGGCTTCATGATACGATTCACGAAAGAAATTCATCAAGATATGAAGCATATAACAGAGCAATGCACCTTCTTATTATTAAGTCTGCCAACTAGAAGCATATACGTAAACCACACATTTCCATGTACATGCTCATCCCACGAAACCAAACCCCCATCATCAACCACCGCAAAAAAAAGGCATCATGAGAACTGCCCACTACAAGTCCTTGTGGATAGCGGGCACGCCCTGCGCCTTGCGAATCTGCTCGCCCCGGTAAATCAGCAGGATCAAGGGACACCACGTCACAAAGTTGGCCACGGCAAACACCCCCCAGGCGACATCGAAGCCAGCGGAATCGCCAAACGGCAGCGCGTAGAAGCCAATGGTGAAGGCAAAGATCTGCCGGAACAGGTTGATAATGGTCGACACCTCGGCGGCCTGCGGCTTGTAGCAGTCGGAGATGTACGAGTAGGTCAGCGTGGTGCCGGCCTGGACGCCGATGGAGGCGACGGTCATGCCGACGGCGAGGGCGATCCAGGGCGCGTGGTTGGCGACGGAGACGCCGTGGATGATGAGGCCGGCGGGCAGGAACAGGCCCAGGGGCGCGAGGTGCAGGCGGGCCTCGGGCTTGCGGTAGCCGTCGTGGCGGCGGGCGTAGCGGTTGATGAGCCAGTCCGAGATCCAGCCCGTGCAGCACTCGCCGATGATGCAGCCGAGGGTCAGCGGCACGCCGAGCAGGAGCCCGTTCTGCGCCGTGTCGAAGTGGTACAGCCGCTCCGAGATGCTCGACGCCGTCAGCACGAAGACGATGGAGCCGTACGTGTTGGTCGTCATGTAGTAGACGCAGGGGAGCACCACGGCCAGGTACTTGAGCATCTTGAAGTTGGCGAGGAAGTCGGAGCCCTTGAGCTTGCGGTCGATGACCTTGCCGCGGAAGGCGAGCCGCTGCCAGTAGCTGCGGTTCTCGAGCGTGCTGAACTCGGTGCGCGAGAAGAGCGTCTCGGGGAAGGAGACGAGGTAGATGGCGAGGACGGCGCCCATCATGATGGCGTTGATCTTGAAGATCCAGCGCCAGCCTTGGTCCTTGGCGATGAAGCCGCCGGCAATGGGACCGAAGTGAGGCTGCGCAACACACACATGTTAGTTCTGGGGGTTTGATAGACTGGGTTTTGATGAGGCACAGCAGTGAAGGGGAACGTACGCCGTTGGTGAGGGCCAGGGCGTAGAAGCCAATGTACTTTCCACGCTCTCCCTGGAAGAACATGTCACAGATCTAATGACACATTAGCTGACGATTCCACAGGTATGATACGAGGAGCGAGCCTTACCGTGGCACCTCCAATGGCGAGAGCAACACTGGCACCGATACCGACGATGCATCGGGTGAGGATCTGCGTGCCGTACGACGGCGCGTATGCCGAACCAATGTTGGCGCCAATGGCAATCAGGGTGAAGATCTAAAATTTCATCCCGCGCCGACTGTCAGAAAAAAGCACAGACAACACGATTTCAACATGAAAAGGAGCAAGCAGGATGGCCTACCAGATAGGCAGGGCGTCTGCCGTAGAGGTTGACAAAGGGGGTGATGAGCAGGGGCGTCACGCCGCCGAGGAGCGTGTACGAGGTGGTGAGGTAGCTGGCCTGCTGGTGCGTGACGCCGTAGCTGGCGGCAATGGGGCCGAATGCAGCTGGGACCATGCCGGCGCCGACTAATGATATCGCGACGTCATGTTAGTTGCGGTTCAAAGTTTGGCATGGGAAGCGGGAGGTGCTTACACTGCACGACAAAGGCGAGTAGGCAGAGAAGACTGAGGACATAGTACTTGTACCAGTACGGCCAGTTCTAAGGGAATCGGAGTAGCAACGCGTCAGCAACCCGGTTCCAAGGTCCGACGGCGATGTCAAGGAGCAGAGGGAGAGAGCCACGACATACCAGAGGATCATCCTTGTGGTCGCTGGGCTGCGGCACCAGGGGCAGACCACTGGCATCGAGCTTCAGGCCCGAGATGGGCTCCTTGCCTTCCGGATCGGATCCCGTCTCAAAGGGAGACGCGCTCTCCTCGATGTGTGCCGCGGAGGGAGCCGCACGGGTGGTTTTGAAGGCTTTAAAGGCCATTGTGCAAACAACAAGGTTCTTGACCAAGTTGGACGACGGTATGTGATACTGGAAGAGAACAGAATCTGTCTCCTCAGAGGTCAAAGTGCTGACGATGAAGAACAGCCGAAGAAGAAGAAGAAAAGAAAAGAGGGAGGCAAAGCCGGGTATATAAAAAAAGGCCGGAAGCGTTTATTGAACCCTCGACAGACGGTGAGGCTGCTTCACGCTCATCGCGGCCTTCTTATTGTTGGAGTGGTTGAAGCGAAAACGGCGGGAAAGCCAGCTACACTAATAAAGCGGGCGTTTAAGGAGACAAAGAAGAGTTCGAGCAAGTTTATACCATCCGGCGCGTCTAATGCCCCGCGCACAGCTCGCGGGGATTTGGGGGACATCCGGGGTAATAAGCGCTTGGCAAGGTAGTATTTTCCAATTTGGCAAAAAGCTGCCAGGCTCCCGTGGTTGGTGACAGATCGCAATGGAACGCCGGCTGGGGAAACATGACCGATTGGAGCTACTACTACTGGGTACTGTAGTGCTTGATTGAGGGGAATGGGAGGAGGAGAGAGAGAGAGGATACTGTCGTGGAGGGATGTGGCATCCGGGGGATGGTTGGGGAAGAAGGTTGACCGAAGACAGGGCAGGCATGACCACGTGGTGATCCAATAGTCTGGAAAAAGAAGACTGCAAAACTCTGTCCGATTAAAGTTGTGACAGCTTACGCTTGAAACTATTGACGGAGCTTCTGTTCGCGCGGGATGGATTGAATCTACGATTAGTTCTGTCAGTTCTGGACTAGAAGAAGTCCGGAGAGCGTCTCCGAAGAGATGGAGCTTGAACTGGGTGCAGGTACATTGACCTTGTACCCCTTTAGCCTGGTGGGACATCTCCGCCTTTAGTGGACCAGATGGCATCTTGGTGGGGCCGACTTCAGATTGCGGGGGGATTGGGGGGGTACGCTAGCTGTATTGGGACGAGAACGGGGTGTACTTGTGCGGAGGCGTGATCCGGAGTGCTGGGACGGGGAGCCGGAGGTGACGATGCACGGAGATTTGACAGGTTGGACAGCATTGGTGGTGTTTGAGATGTCGTATCTGAAGCCATTCGGTATCTGCCCAGTATGGCAGTTCTATCAGGAAAGAGAATACGGAATAATACATGCAAGGCTAGGCCAAACGCAGCTGTCTACCTACTCTGTACCTACCATGTCCTCACAAGTACACAAGAATCAAGCATCGAAACCAAACATCGACTCTATCCTACCCAATGCGAAAATTGATTCGTCGCACAGGCGCAAACAGCTCCTCAATCGGCACCGTCCGCTCAATCATGTTCTGCTCGTGCAGAAACTGCACCAGCGCCTCCAGCGTCTTGCGGTTCTCCTCCACCCCATACGGCCAGCAGTCCCCGCCAAACGTCTCCTTGATCTCGTCAAGATCGCGCCCCAGCCAGGGCAGCATGTACCGCAGCGCCCCAAGCGACTCCATCCTCTTCCTCGCAATCTCCTTACTGTCCTCGAGCGCGTTGAACAGCGCCGACGCCACGAAGCGGTTCGCCTCGTAGAACTCGCGCCGAAAGGCCACGAGGTGCATGATGGGGAAGATGCCCGTCCGCTTGAAGTAGTCGCTCTCCACGTCCTTGAAGTTGGGGAACAGCCGCTGCACGTGCGGCGCCCGGCCCAGGCACTCGGGGATGTCGGCGCCAATCGTCGCCGCGACCTCGCCGCTCTCGAGCAGGTCCGAGAGGCTCTTTGTCGGATCCGTGTTGCGCGTGATGTTGACGGGCTTGAGCAGCGGCAGCACCGACGGCTGGCCGTGCGAGCCCGGCGTCTCCATCTTGCCCTCGACCCACTCGATGCTCGACAGGTCGACCCCGTACTCGTGCTGCAGGATGCCGCGGATGTACACGGCGGCCGTCATGTGGTACAGCTGCACGCCGATGCGCTTCCCGTTGAGGTCCTCTGGTTTCTTGATCAGGTTGGTGTTGACGCAGATGAAGGAGTGCCGGAAGACGCGCGACGCGAAGACGGGGATGGCGACGAAGCTGCGGTCGCCGGCGACGTGGCGCGTGATGTACTCGGACGCGGACAGCTCCGAGACGTCAAACTCCTTGTGGGCGACCATGCGGTCGAAGATGTCGCGCGGGTGCTGGACCTCGATGAAGTTGACGTCGAGCCCGGGCGTGGGGACTTCGCCCGTGGCGAGGGGGACCATGCGGTCGTAGAGGGCGCAGGCGAAGTTTACGCCGAGGGGGGCCATGCTGTTTCTGCTTTCTTTGACTTGAGAGATTGAAGATGAGTTCCTAGGTTTCGTGATTTCAATGAACTTGTAAGCAGGCGTCAGTAGGATGAGAGCTATCTATTATCTAGAGCTCCGAGAGCTTCTCGAGCTACTATGAGCTTCAACGACGGCCGGCAATGGATTCCGGTCTTGACATGGTTAGACTAGGTACATAGCAACAACTGGATATAAGACGGAAAAGAAACGTTGCTTGTCCCGGCTATTCGCTCCGGAACTAGTCTCTACGAATGCCACCCCAAGGCCGTAAAGCGGCAGTGCCATCTTCAACAACACTTTGCAAAACCCGGCTGGACATGAAGTTGTTCCGCTCGAAATGTAGGGTAGTCCATCATCAAGAGCTCCAGGATGAAAAGGAGTCTGAGAAGAAGAACAATAGTATCCCGGAAAATCCAAGGAACAGCCCCGGATCTCGATGTCGCGCACAGCTCATTCTCCCATGATATCATTCCCAAGCACGGACAGAAAATCTCCCGAGCAACTGCCCATCGAATCACAGCAACGCATATGTACTCCAACATTGTCCCAAGCTGCGGAGGTTTGTCCTAAACCGAGCAACGCACCAGCCACAGCTGAATCCGAGTTGCCTCATCCCTCCCCTTTTACAGCTATACCTATCATGCACTTCTGCATCACACAATCTGGCAGAATCCCATCTCCCATCTGACGCTTGCTCGATGTCATTCTGCGCCACACCCCCCAAAGCCGCCCAGAGCTCAATCTTTTCTTTCTCACCCCAATCCAATCAAACTTGCTGCACAATATCCATCTTTGCCATCTTCATATCCCCAGCGCATGAGATTCCCCATTGAATAGGGCATAGTTCAGTCCTTAAGGCATGAACCATTTCCTTGTCTTGCCCGTCCAAATCCATGGCCGCCCAGCAATCAAACATGACGTCACGTATGAAAACACCAACAACACACAATGTCTCAAAACTTTCGTCCCATCTTTTACTTACACAGATTTTCCAGAGAAATTGATCGTTTCATTTTGTTTTTTTTTTCAGCTCGGCGGTTCAACGTCTCCATAGAACCCCGACCAAGTGGCTTTTGCGTAATGCGAAACCGTCGATCGCCATGTGCCAAAAAGTTGCAGCGGGATTTTCTCAAAAACTGCGTTGCCCTGGAGGTTCCACATTCAATTTCGAAATCGCGATCTCTCCGTCTTGCATATACTGTACATACGTCTTGTCGTGTGTAACAGTACCTTACCTAGGCAGCATGTGAAACCTATTGCAATCTCGAGTGCAACCATACTATCGATACGGTACAACCTCCAAACAAGTCCCATCTCTGGGTCCTCTTAGATCAGGAACTCTGCGTGCATCGTGTGGAATCTATGGGAACCACCATGGAGAGTACCGCCTCGTCACTCGAAAAGTAAAACTTCGATTCCATCACTCGCAGACCGCCAATCCACAAGGCATCAAGGTAGTACTCGTAGTACTAGTAGGAAGAAAAACAAATAAAATGAAACAAAAGATGCCATCATCTTGCTTCTCAGCTAGTTCAGGGCCCCCCCCTGCCCAGTGAAGTCACCATCTCGACGCCCTCGTCCAGTCAAACCGCCCCCCCTCCCTCCTCCCCCCCTCCCGCTTCAGCCAAACCCGCGTTTTAGCGACGGCTAATTCCCAGTCCAAGACAACAACCACAACCTTGACACTCTCCACAGAACCAGTGTAACTGCCAGACCATTTTCACAAAGACGGTAACACGCCCGGCACCGCACCCACACCGATCCAGAGCACACTTCCCTAATTCGTCTCGATTGACCTCAGCCCAGACCCAAGGCTTGTTGTTGTGGAGCTGCCTCCTCTCAATAGAAGGATCGTAGGCAAACATGAAAAAGATGAGATTTCGATCGAGGGCTTGTCCTCCCACTCGGCCGTATATTTCTTTCCCCTCCATCTTCCTCTCATCTTCGTCTGGCGTCTCAGTTGTCTGGGCTAAACACATACATACTACTACATGTACAGACAACGCATCTTCGCCTCCCTTGCGTCAAAAGCCACTGATTGCATGTCTCACAAATCTCGCTTCTATTAAAGAGCCGCTTCCTCTTGTTCCAGCCTCCTCTTGTTCAGTCAGCAAGCCGTCCATCCAGTCCATATATACCCAATAGTCCCATCCATTGCACCCATCCGCTGAACTCAGATCTCAATTCAAACCCATAACCCTCCTCCGAAAAGCAACCACTTCTCACCAACCTCCAAGCCACAATGACCACCTCAGCCACATCAACAACAACAACGACAACGTCCACATCCAATATGCTCTCCCTCCCCTCCCCCCCAGCATCATCCTCCTCCTCATCACCCTCCTCTTCCACACCAAGCCGCCCCAGCTTCAACTCCCACCGAACCCAAGACCGCCTCCGCGAGGGCGAGACCCCCTACGTCCTCTTCCGCACAGAAACGAGCAACCTCCAGCGCGGCCGGAAATCCGTCTTCAAAGAGACGGGCCTCCTCGACGACACCGACATCAACCTCAACATTGTCGCTTCCAGCGCCGCAGTCACCATCAACGTAAGCGACGAGGACGACAGCAGCGCCAGCGGCGTATCCCTTCTCCAGTCGCCGATTGCTTCGCCTGCGTCTGAGGCAGAGGCAGAGGCCCAGCAGACTGCGCCATTTCCGCCTCTGCAGGACGTGCACGTGTCGGTGCAGCGGCCCGTGCAGGCGAGGAGTGCCCTGGATTCATGGTATGTCTGGGCTCTATTTCTTGCGCGTTGCCGCTCGCGATGATGGATGCTAATGACATTGTAAAAGACAATCTATTATCCGCAAAGATCTCATACAAAATCATGAGGCAACACGCTCGCTAGTCGATATGATTGCACTCACTTTCTTTCAATCTTTACATTTCATCTCCGTGGGGAATGGTGGTAGGAAGATCGTACGAGCAGGGATCGACCATGGACATCCTGATATGACATCATTGCATGAAAGCTGGAATATGCGAAACATACCGCATTTGTATACACATAATAGAACCTTGAAATACAGGAATCAGTTGAACAGAACATGAAGTACTGAACACAATCCATTCCGTGAAACTACCTAATAGTCCAAAGAGGGGTATAATTTTGCAATCTAACATGTAAAGATGCTCCAGGAGGGTACCGGCCGTAATGATACCATGATGTGCGCAACCCAAAACATCGCTTCAAGAATCCTCCAGGCCACAAAGCAGCCGCCGGCCCATCACCAAATACTCAATAAATATGCATATCCCAAACGCCATCCATGCACCATCCAAGCTCATCAATCATCCAGAACATCATACACAGAAAACTCAAATGAACAAAATATCCATCACATCTTTTCCAGCTCCTCCTTGGGAACCGTGCTGACAAAGGCGTGCTTCAAAAAGTGCAGCCAAGCCTTGTTCTTCTCCTTCTTGCTCTTCTTCTTGTCCTTGCTCTTCTTGCCCTTGCCCTTCTTGAGCTCTGACGCGGGCGCATTGTCTGTGTACTCGTCTGCTTCGTCTGTTTCGTCTAGGTCTTCTTCATCGTCGTAAACCTCGAGCGTCTTGCTCTTGCTGCCCTCCTTCTTGCCCATTCTGTAAGCCAGCTTCAGGAGACTCTTAACCGTCAAGTCGGGCAGCTTGTAGATGTTGTCGTCAAAGGTGCTATACTCTACTTCGTAGCGAAACTCGCGAGGATTCGGCTCTCCGTGCTTGGGCTCCTTGTGGTCGTGTTTGCCCTTGCGCCACTTGCTGGTGTCAGCCTCGATGCCGGGGAGATCATCGTTGATGTGGGTGAGGTTGGCAAAGTACTGCGTGTACCCCGTCAAGGTGAGCAGCTGGGGGGAATAAGCCGGGCCGGGCAGCGCATCCTCAGGAGGGTCCAGGGGGACAATCAGGTCGTGGTCCTTAGGCGGCTTGCGAGGCTTGCCCTTGTTCTTATCCTTCTTGCCCTTCTTGCCCTTTTTCTTGTCTTTTTTCATCTTCTTGATTTCCGCCATGATTGCTTCCCTGTCCTCGTAATCGCGGTTGTCCTCTGGCAGCGACAGTGGCGCTGGTGGGTTTGTCTGATCGTACGTATCTCGCCACACAGGTGTGTCTTCGATGCCGGTAATGTTGTACTCGAAAATGCGAAGCGTGGGGAAAAAGTTGGGCACGACGCTTGGGCTAATGAGCGACAGCTGGTAACGCTCAGCATATTTACCGCCGATCTTGCCCAGCTTCTTCTTCTTCTTGTGCTTGTTTCCTTTCTTCTTCCCCTCTTCCGACTCATCATCAAGATCACGGACAACAGACTTGGGCAAGTCGGACCACTTGTCCCGCAATTCCTGCAGATAGTCTTCCTTGGACGAGATGGTTATTGTCTCGTCTGGAGAGTCGCGTTCAATGAAATCTCCGGCCCCGAGCTCCGGAGTCAGCTCCTTGACATCCTGAAGCAGAAAGTGATCAATGTTCATGTGTCCGAAGACAGAGCCGACGACAACGTCGCGGTACTGCTTGAGCCACAGCGTGTACTTTTGCCAGCAGGTCTCGTCCCAGAGCTGCTTGCTATCCGTCCGAGCAGGTGGTACGTGGCCCATGAGAATGGCCTTGACGCCCCGCTCTCTTAGGATCTGCAGCTGCACGCGCAGCCAGTCCATGTGCTTGTAACCGGGCTCCGAGGGATGGGCGCAGCCGTCGACACCGGCGTTGCGATCGAAAAAGTACATAGTGTTGAGGCTGAAGACGGCGAGCTGATTGGGAATGACCTCGACGTAGAACCAGCCGCCAAAGGCGAATGAGTGGCGCTGCGCCTCGGGGATGAAGCGGCGCCAGATGTCGCTGTAGGTCGCGAACCACTTGTTGGGCCCCGGCAGCATAATGTTGTGCGGGAGGAAGTCATTGTTGCCAAAGTTGGGCACAATGGGGATGTCGAGCCCATTGCCAGGCGATGAAAAGGTCTCGACGAACTTGTCGGCGATGAAGCGGTTCGTCCGCAGGATCTCGGGCTCGTGCCGCGGGTGCTCCTCGTCGCTGTCGTGCCTGGCCGAGTCGCCGGTCCAGATGACGAAATCGATGTCGTCCCTGATGTTCTCCATGATCCAGGCAAAGGTGGCGTTGACGAGCGAAAAGGGCGAGTCGCAGTCTGTCTTTTCGGCGCCGTAGGATCCGGCCAGTCCTTTTCCGCGGTGGCATGCGATGCCTTCCTCGGTGGAGGAGTGCACGCGATAGAGCTCGTCAGGGTGGAAGTCTGCATCAATTGCCACGGTCAGCCCAACTGCAAGATCTGCCAATCATCCCCAGATTGATGCAATGCGATGCGATGCGATGTAGCATCAACTAGTTGGAGAGACGAGGTCGATTGATGGTGGGTGGTACCGAGACATCGGGATGAGATAAGGAAGAGATGCAGGGTTCAAGTCCAGCGTCGCACTGCAGATTGCGCTGACAGCTGGAAACGCAGAAGATAAGGCAGGGAAGCATGCTTGGAAGCAGCATAATCCATTCTGCCCTCTTCCTTTCTTCCTGGTGGTGTGCATGTGTGCCAATAGCAGACGGATAATCGAGAATTCAATTTGAACGCACCTGTGATATGCAGGAACCGGCCGCTGAGCTTCCGCTGCTGCTGCAGTGGTAGCGCATCGAAATTGGGCTCGATGGGGCGCAGGATTTTCTGGTCGACGGCTGGTGAGGGCAAGGCGAGGACATTCGCGCTGCATAAGGCGAGCGCCAGCAGCATCAGCTGGGATCGCGGGAGACGAGCGCCGCCGCCGCGTTGGCGAGGCATCGTGACGATGTGTTGATGCAGGATGTGAGTAGCAAGGTGGTGACGATCGATATTCTCTTCGTTTTCGCTTCAGATTTCGTAGGGATGCGGGTCGTGATGCTGCACGTGTAGGAGAGCGCAGCGATGAGGAGTTGTGTGAGATGAGGTGAAGCAAAGATGTAAGAAAACAGAAGAGACAACAAACAACAAGGGTAGGTAAACAAAAGGTAAACCCAAAGAAGAGGCGCCGCAAACTCAAAGATGCATCGCTCGCACGAGGCTTTTGCTCAGCCTGTCGCCCGCAAAACTTTTCCCCCAGGGGTCCAAAGGGGCTGAATGCCGTTTAATTGGCGTGGCGGACGCTGCAGCTATGAGGTCATCGGTGCCAGTCCGATCTGCTGGCGATTGCGTTCCGGATTGCCGGTCGGGCTTCTTCTGCCTGGTTGAGACAAGAGAGAGACTTGTTTCAAAGACGAGGGATGTGATGAAGTAGGTGACAATGAAGGATGAGAAACTGAGGTGTCGTGTATTACTGAGTAGGTGCTCGGTATGGCGGAAGAATGTGTGTAGGTATTAGGTGCACCTTGATGGTTCGGTGTGAGGAGTGAGGGGGAGGAAGAAGAAGAAGAAGAGAGAAAGGAGAGAGACGGAGACAGACGAGGCTAACAGAAGAGCATCAACGCTATTAATAACGGCCCCAGAGCCGGCTGCTGCCTCGTCAGCCCGCCATGATGATCCCATCCCCAGCCCAGCCCGGAACTAATTGCTCTCCGTGATCCATCCGCTTCTCTCCCCATGTTCTGAGAGCTGCGATGGTCCAGTCCAGGCTTGCCAGGCCCTGCTGATGATCCCCCCTCCCCCGTCACCAATTGTCCGAAATGCTGTGCATCCCGTCTCCACCGACATCAGAGGCCTGTCGTCCAACCAAGCAGCCGCATCTCCAGAACCTCATCGCCATCAGACCAACAATGAGGGGCTGCTGAGCCGTTTGTCTAACTCTGGCGGCTGTCTCGATCACTCTTCTCCCCCACCACCGCGATGCTAGCGACAGTACCAACGTCCGTCTCTCTCCCTCAGTAAATCCAGCAGCCTTTCTCTCACTAGCTCCCGCCCAGCATTCTGACCTGCCGGACCCTTTTTCTGTGATACCCTGACCGTTATTCTTCCTTCTTCCATCCCCGTCCGAGCCAATCTCGCGTCCGGCCCGGCTCCACGTGCGGCGACGAGACGCCATCGATCAAACTTGCTGGTGCCACCACACGCAGCGAACAAGCTGCCAGAGCTTGAGCACGCGACTTGTGATTTTGTGTATGAGGGAGCCCCTTTCCATCTCACGTTTACCATCTTGTTTTTCCTTGTCTCTTTTTCTCATCCATCACTCTTATTACTGACCATCAGCCACCCCGCTCTCTTTCTCAACCTGTTCGTTTCGCGTCTTTCTGACCATGTCGTCCGATCTCTTTCTCATTAGAACCTAGCTTGCATTCGCTCACCTGAGCAGTAATTTTTGGTTGTGGGCAGATGACGCCTGCGCCATGGGGTAGCTGCCGTTGCAGTCGCGTGCGCCAAGAGGACATACATCGATAGATGGCCTAGCCCTGCATATGATCTCTGTCGGTTGCAATAGGCTTTGATGCAGTCAAGAGTAGCTGCTTGGTTTGAATGCAACTGTCTACGTCATCTTATAAGATTGGCAAGATGCTGCTTGGGCGATGTCATTTCACCAGCAGTAATATTTATATCTGCGGCTACAAGCGCTGTCAAACTCGCATCTGCTCTAAGACATGCACCAGCTCATGCTACCCTAACCCGCACCGAGAGCAAATTAGTATCGCCAACCAAACAACTTCGCCACTGTGTTACCCTCAGCTGCCTCTCTCACTGCAACCCTCTGCTCACCCGCGTGCTATGTAATGTCTGCTGAATCAATTACTACCACCCGACTACGGCCAGCCATGGTGATCTGGATTCCGAATGTCACTTCCATGCTACGAATCACAGCTTGCGGGCGGAATATAAACATCGTGATACCATCTTGCCGGCATCGTTTACATCCGAAGAGCCTCACAAAGACAAAATGACAATGGTGAAAACCATGCAGCGTCCAGCTTGTAAGCCCTCCATTACTGTACTGCGTTCTCCATCCCCTGGACTTCCAGTTGTCCATTCAACATCCAGCGTTCTCAATACCTTTCCCAGTCCCGCTGCAAACTCATGTACAAAGAAGCCCGTACCTCGACCATCACGAGTCACGCTAGTCCCAAAACAGATGTCTCCAACCCGTCCACTTTTCTTCGCGTTTTTCTCAACGCCAATTTTTCTCTTTTCTTCTTCTCTTCATCATGCAACACCCTCAACAGGAGCACCTGATCCAAGGTGCGAGGCCTTCTCTTTTCGCGTAGATACGTCGCAGTTGCAGGCTCTACGTTGCTAGACGAACTTTTGCCGCTCGTTTGAGGGGGGTCATAGATGCTTCTTCTGTGATGGCTCCCCATGGTTTTCGTGGCTACATGAATCTGTCCTGAACTGATACCGTTTGACGCGATGGTCAAACAATGAGGGCTATCGAAAGGGCATAGCGAGCTGCCTTTGTCTCTGTCCTCTGCATTTCCTTCTGTGCTCGCCACCTTATTTCGGGATCGGTTCAACGCCGCTCTGGACGGTGAACTCTGAAGATGCTAGTCAGCCACAGCACGCTTTCCATTACCCGTTTTTTGCTTCCCAGAGGCATCATGTCGGCATCCAGCTTGTACCACAGGACAGCTGGTCTGCAATATGTATAGAGCCTGCGACTGTCTTCCACTTTTTGTTCGCTGTCCAGTAGAAGAAAGTCGACCACGATATCTATGGCCTAGGAAAGCGGTTTGAGCAAGCTCTTGACGCGTCCATTCTTGCTTTGCTCAATGGTGTTGTAGCTGTCAACTAAGGTTGTACCGTTCACCTCAAACTGCACGTGCTCGTTGGCTTAAAGAATCGCACACGAGTCGACACTTGGTATATATCATAAGTTCTTGCTCAACATGATCTTATAGTAATACAATGTGAAGCTGGGGCAACGGGTAGTTAGCGACGAGCTGGAGTCAGGACTCGGTCAGTGAATCTACTGGCTCCGAACAAGGCAAGACTGAACGTGCTACTGTCGAGAGCGTTCCCGTTGTTCAGCGGAGGCCTTAGACTTTATCGACGCTGCGTCTTGGGCGGCCTTCGTAGACGAGAGCTCTAGGGTGTTTCCGATTTTGGAGTGAAGGTTGTGTTCTCGGCCGAGAAGGAAGGGGTTCGGCGCCGGTCAATGTGACGTCCGCTCGTGGGACAATTCTGCCAGGCTGATGCGCATAGGTGAAGTGCCACAGAGCTTGGGTCGGGTATATCTGGGCTAAACCGTCTGGTGGAACGGGTTGCAAGGGGCGGTTATGTCGACGATGCAATGCATCATGCCCTGCACATTCCTATGTATAGCCGTGATCGATCCTGCTCGTCTGGAGACGTCACTATGTGGTTCGAAGATCATCCCGAGTATATGGGACGATTTTCAAGTTTCGAGATATCCTTCTACGAGCACAGATGTATAATTTGAACTCAATCAGCTTGTCTGCGTCTGTCGACGTAAGTCCTGCTCATGCATATTGTCGACCGCTTCTCGCCAGAGGTCTATAAGAAGACTCGGCTTTCAAACCTTGCAATTGGCGTTGTCGAGAGAAAGGAGCGATGATGCTGAACTCTCTGGCAGCCGCAGAAACCCCAGAAACTGACTGAAGCTGTCTGCCGTCTGAAGATGTTCCGAACTAGTGAGTCGCTGGTCGCAGCTGATACGGATGATTTGTCAAGAAGCGTTGCATCAGCTGAGGAACGAATCTATAAGGGGTCATCGAGGGTGAAATTGCGAAAATACTTGCCAGAGATGCAGTTATCAAGCGGAAAGTCATCGACAACAAACTTGGGAGGCTGTCATATCCTTTGTCCACGGAAGGGTTCGTCCTCCCCAGTGCATGACGGTGACAAGAGAGTGATTTCGAAGGGTTTGCACGTGTAGATAGTCTGTCGAAGCAAGAGGTTGGACTTTCTCTGCTGTCCAAATTCCCAAGATTAGTTGATACGTTCATGTGCCCATATAAGATCTCCTCTCCAATGATAGGAAAGCTGTTAACATTACCCTCGCCAAGTAAGTTGAACTCATCTCGTGTCGATCCTGGCTAAATAAACTACTTTGGCGTCGATTAAGCTTCTGGACGGACACCAGAAGTGTCACCTTGGTTGTTGGCATTCTACTGCAAGGTGTTGATACTTGAAAGGCGAGGGGGTATTGGGCGGTGGAGTCTTCAAGCGGATGAGAGCAGTCCAAGGGAGATTCCTAGAGCTCATTCTGGCCAGATCGGTTAGGTTATAGTGTTGATGCTTGATGCGGCCTTGTAATTAAGCAAAGCTGCGAAGCAGCTTTGCGAATTAGTGCAACCAAGAGGAGAGCGGCTTCCAGCTTTGCTCTAGAGTCCTCCTATTTGAACAGATAAAAATCTCTATTTGAACAGATAGCCCCATTATTTTATTATACAGTCACCCCTCTACAGCAAAATACAGTATCACACACTGGCAATTCAGATTATCAGGAAGGCATAAGTGATACATCTCAACAGCGGCGGCCAAAAGCACTATCCTGTACCAGTCTTTTTGTGTTCCCTATGAATATGCAATCTACGGCCTCAGAGTGCCTCTTTATGAGCAGTTCCCTTCAATTCTGCTCTTGCAGTAGCTGCAGCAGCTTTCAGTACTTGAGTGCGGGAGGCGCCAGGAATCGGCACTGTATTTGGGTGTGGCCGGCTGGCGTTGCTGGTGTATGCATACTAAAACAATGGGGCTATCTGTTCAAATACTAGAGATTTTTATCTGTTCAAATAGGAGGACTCTTGCTCTATTAATAGGAAGAAAAATCACGCTAAAGTAGCTAGAAAAAAAATCTCATGTAGCAACTGGCTCATTTTGCCATTCTCACCGCCCTGCAAAGTAAATAAAGGGACCTGCTATCAAGCCTCCATGGTCTCCCTATCAAGCCTCCATGGTTTTGTGGCTTATGTGGCTGGAAGTCCGATTACGGCGGCGCCATACGAATCCAGCTGTAACATACGTATCTACCCAGTCACGGTTTACACAATCCAAACGCTATCATGAATTAAAGCTCGCGATACTATAAGGTCAGCTATTTCCTGGCGTTGTAATATGCTGCATCTCGGTGCCTGGCTTGTACAGATTGCAGGTCGCTGAGGCTGTATTCATGATTGCATGCCTATCTCTTTGACGGTCCTAAGGCACGTCCGAAGTAGACCCGACAGCATTAGCCAATTGCATTACAGCTTCAAAAGGGGTACATTAGCAGCACGCAAGATTAGGTGTAAGCAGAAGTACATACAGCTACCCTATTTACTTTTGTATATCTTTTTCAGCGCTAATCACACAGCAACAACTATATAAAAAGGTAATTAAAAAACAAATATAGTAACTTTACTTTATAAAGACTAGAAAATACTAAGTTGCACCTTATTATAGCCAGAATTAGAGGTGTTCTATCTTATAGAATGATTCTTATTAGGTATTCTTTAACAGCAGGGGAAAGTGCGGGGCAGATACCTGAGAGGTGCCTTCGGACCGTCAAAGAGATAGTCATGTGCACTGTTACGTGACTAGATTAGTCAGGACTGTGGCCTTGACTAGATTAGTTAGGACTGTGGCCTTGACTCTCAATTCCGCAGCTTTGCGATAGTTACCTATACAGCGCTATAGCTTAAGCCATGATGGCTGATGCTGTCGGTCGCAGCGGCGGCTGCTGATTTATGACTGAGGCTATTGATGCTGTGGTAATTTGTAAATGAAGAACTGATGAAGATGGTGTGTCTTGAACTTTGTGTAAATTGCAAGCAACAGCTGGCATCGGCCATCCTCGTCAGTTAGTGCAAATACCCAGCCACACCATGGAGGCTTGATAGGGAGACCATGGAGGCTTAATAGCAGGTCCCTAAATAAACTTCGCTGTTATAGTAATTTAGGTGCTATAAAAAGGTATTGCAATGTTACTATCTTAGCGCCATTTCAGCCCACAAAAAGAATATATAGACCTTGCCATTACAATCGCCAATTGCTGCATAATGCTCTGCTAGAATTACATGCAACTTGCATAAGAAAAAAGAGCGATGCTTAAGCTTTTAAATGATATATATATTAATTGCTCTAGGATAAAGCGCCGCAGGCAAAAAGCGCCGCAGGCAAGCCCCCGGCAGGGACCCCCAGTAGGGCCCCCGGAGGGCCCCCAGAGGGTAGGCATCAAATCAATCCTATCTTCCAGTAATAAATAGCAGCAGCAGAAGCCAGCAGCAGAAGCCAGCAGCAGAAGCCAAGCAGCAGCAGTAGCAGCAGCAGAAGGCAGCAGCAGCAGTAGCAGCAGCAGAAGCCTAGCAGCAGCAGTAGCAGCAGCAGAAGCCAAGCAGCAGACGCCAGCAGCAGAAGCCCAGCAGCAGCAGCAGAAGCCAAGCAGCAGCAGTAGCAGCAGCAGAAGCCAAGCAGCAGACGCCGGCAGCAGAAGCCGGCAGCAGCAAGCATCTTTGCTCACCGTATAAACGCCTTTAGCGGGCATCAAGCTTGTACTTACATCAGGTAGACTCAACCAAACGGCGAAAATCTTCCGTCTTGAAGCTTGTCCTGGTGCTGTGCTTGCTATCGACTCTATTAGGTTTGGTTATTAGGCACCTCACTTCCGGTTAGCGGGCACCTCAAAGGTACACTTTTGTATAGGAGGTACAAGGTAAGGCATAACTCACTACAGTGAATCTATTCAGTGTGCTGATATGTTGGGCTCATTTGGCGAAACGCATGTGAGGTTGGTATAGTAACCGGTTCGCGGCCCAAGTGCTGTGGCCTTCGATTCATGTATCTGGTTCAGATTTCCTCCCGTCCTGAATCACGTTGTCATCCATGGAGGCAGGTGGATGTGACTTTCCAGAAGCCCCCACCCACTGCACACCACGCCGACTGCGGAGCATTGTCTCGCGACAGAAACGCTTCCCAATTGTACCATCAAGTGTTCGGCGATCAAAGGGAGTTTTGCTTCACAACAAATATTTGCGCTGGCATGCCGCGTAGTCTACTCGGTAGACTGTCAAAGTGGGTTGCAAAAAACACCGCCGGTCTACCATATAAAATTGTATGTCAACCCGCATGACTGTCAACTTTTCGGCGCCACAGCTCGGGCTGCATTTAGTAGTTAAATACAGCGGCCCACTAGACTCATTACTTCGTACCTGGTAGTACATACATATATGTAGTGTACTTGTAGTAGCATGTTAAATATTCTCGCATTAGCTTAGGTAAGCTAATGCGATAATATTCAGTATGCGGGATCCTGGTGCGGTGCGCAACCCCAGGAGTGTATTTTAGTTACATGTATAGCAATCGAAGTCGCTAATAGGAGAATGATAGTTAACCATACTAATAATTAGTGGATGCGTGGTACCGCCTGGAACCTCTGGAACCTCTAGAACGGTACTAAATTCTCACAACTAAATTTATACCGTCCTATCACATAGTATAGTTCTAAGAGCTGGAACGGTACCAGCATGGTACTAGTATGGTGCCTGGATGGTTCCAGCGAGGTGCCAGCGAGGTGCCAGCCGGTTCTAAACTCCGCCCGCAACCCCAAAAAGGAAATGCCGCTGCAGTATATCTGCGGCGTCGCTTTTATAACTTAATACCTTGCATCTTAATCACAAAGTACTTTTTTATATTATGCGCTGGATGGGAATTGAATTACGGACTTTAAAAAGCAAGCTCTGTATTATCTATTTACTTATCTAACCACTATGGCATGTCTACTCTATCTATTACTGTAAGGGCAAGTGGTCTTCCTCCTTATATAGGTAGGTGCAGGCGTCTTAGCTGCTGTTACGACCTGGAACCTGGAACCCTTTAGCACCTTGCTGGAACCCTTTGGCACCTTGCTGGAACCGTGCTGGCACCTCGCTGGAACCAGTATAGCTAGGCGCTAGTACCGCATTGGAACCAGACCAGCTTCTGGAACCTAGTTGGTATGGTGCTGGTACTGTTACAGGGCTTGGAACCGTACCAGGGCCATCCCATCAGATGGTCCGGTTCAGGCACCTTTGGTACCGTACCAGTACCATACATGCACCATAACATGACGGCACCAGGTTCTACTACGGGAATGATAGCCCGCTTATGTAACTTACTGCCTGAATGAGTTCTGTAAATGATAGGCCATTATCTACTGCTTGACGCCGGGCCCCGGTTCAGGTGTAACTACGTGGAATGGTCCGGGCGCTCCTCGACCAGTTTGAAGTGTAGTATGCAGTTCCCTGTGGCGTATCTGTCTACCCAGCGTCTGGAGAGCGACTCAAGAGCCAGCCATCCATAAGCCATCTTTCAGATGCAATTTTTTGTTAATACAATGCATGTTGCGTTCTATATGACGATCAGCTGGTGCTCTTGTGTGTGCTTTATGTGCATGTATATAGCCTCATGCCTCTTTTTCTCACTTCTCTAGCCTCAAGTACCTGGGTGTTTAAAGGATGCTCTATACAGCAACGCCAGACAATTGGATGACAACTGGTAAGAACACAGCCCACTGAAGGTGCCACCCAGCATTTTGCGGGTTAACTGTCGCGCTAACGCCTTGACGCAGGCGACATGGGCAAGGTGTTGATGTGCACATCCCCCTCCTTGCACTAACCGCATTTGTTTGCTGCACACCCCTTCTCTACGTGTAAGTCCAAGTGCACCGATCTGGTCAGCTCACTTCTTCTATCAACTGCAGTAGCATTCTAATGTATGACTTTTCCCTGAATGCTCCTTGATCTTCGATGAGGTGGCTATTCAGAGCCCAGCAACAAGCAAAGTGGTGTCGTAATGCTTGTATGCGTACATGCCGTATGCAGTAATCTGGCTTCACGGGAATCAATGACTGGCCAGCGTCCTCCGCATGTATGTAGACATGAGGGACCAAGAGCCAGATCGCGGGAGGTGTGGGTGAGTTTTACCCAGGCGCGTGCGCTGATTGGCCCGACGCCAGCCGGACGTCACCGAATAAGAGCTAAGTGGGCCTCCCATTTTGAGATCCCTCACGCAAGGCATAGAGTACTACTATAGCTGATGTGTGAGCTCAAGGGCAATTTACAAGGGGAGAAGATGGTGTGGGTGTGGGCTGAAGGGGCTTATACCGCCTCGTGGGACATGCGGACTGGCTCCGCTTCAGGTTAGCTACAGAGCAGTTGAGACAAGTATACCGGCCTCGACCGCCTTAATTCTTTGCGCATCTGGCTCACCACCATCTGACGCCAGCAAACCCGGTGTTCTCTGACGATTGATTCTGATTGAATTCGCCAGGATGTCTTCGTCTACCGGATTTCTTGATACATGATACATAGACAAGTTCGTGAAGCACAATTAACTGGCGCTCTATAAAACAGTGCCATCACTTATATGCATAGGTACGTATACTTCAGGATGTCGCCTTCTGCTTCCGATGCTCGGTTGCCTTTCCGTCTGCCTGGTAGTACCTAGGTACCAAGGGGACATATCAGCCATTATTACCAGCGCCCTTGTCATGGCATACCTATGTTCGTATGGAGCTCATTGGGCTTCCATCCAGGTACCTGCACACCCCCGAGTACGACATGATCTCCTTCATTCTCGTCGTGTGAGCCACCCCCCCTCTCTCTGCATCTCCCTACTTGATTTTGGAAGACATATATAAACTCGTCGTTTCGCTCCTACCATTTCACCTTATCATCTCCTAGCTTCACACATAAGTGTAATCTTATGGACAGTCTCAGACAGCCTGAGCACCCCCCTGGAGAGCCACTTTCTCCTTTCACGATGCCTTACCTCGAAATGAAAAGCCAAAGCTCCATTGGAGCGAGCTCTACGTGAGTCAAGTAGAAACCACTTTGCTGTCCAAGATCATGAACCCTTATGTCCTCTCGTAATCCCAAGCATCTTCCAGTTGTTTTGTTTTACTTCTCACTGAGCTCAACATATTGAGCCCTCCTCTTCACTACCTCACTACACTTCGGGCTCTATTTTGCAACACTACGTGGAGCAGTATAACCCGGACTTTTGATCAACAGCAGCTTCGCTGTTAGCGAGCCTGCCACCTACAACTCTCTTTCCCAACCTCATGATCCAAACCACTCCTACAATCCGACGCATAGGTCAGACAAGAACACATACGCTCGTCATTGGTCACTTTGTGCCTCATAATGCTACTTATGCCACTCTTGGGCTCTTCCGGCCTTGACATTCCTTCCATGCCGTCTCCCTCGATTTCGGCACATCGTCTCACCCATCGTCACACATAACACTGAGCTCACTCATTTCAACTTCACTTGTCTGACTGCCGTTTTTCTTCTTAGTGGTGATACCGAAGACACCTGGAGCACCGCAGCCAGGAGCGGTTCACCTCCGCCGCTAACACGCGTGGACCGCCCTGTTGTCACGCCGACAACTAACACGAGCACCGCCGAGCAGTCGCAGACCCACACCGGCGAAAGAGACCAGAATGATGTTCTTGTTGGAGTTGGTTCGCAATTTCCTGCCATTGGTAAGCCCTTTCAACTATGACTACATCCCCATATACGGGCTTATACTTATTCTCCTTCACATATATCAGACGATTCTATCCTAAATGCGGATATTCTTCCCAATCTTTGACGATTCCCATGACCTCTCATAGATCCGTCAGCGTGGCGTACTGGTCAAAATATTTTGGAGCATGCTTGTGTAAAGTTGTGCGTTGCCATGTCTGGTTTCTGGTCAAAGGATATATGGGCGTCTAGCATAAACCTTGACAATTCAACTTGATGTAGCGTTATGTTTATGCAACGATTTACTGAATATAACATGGGAAGATAGTATAGGCTACTATAAGCAGAAGAATCTTGCTTGAGAATCAATTATTAAATCTTCTATCTCCTTAGATGCTTTTAAAGTCGAGTGGTCTTCCGGATTCCTCTATACTCCCTGTGTAGAGATTTCTTTTTTTCTTCAAACTCGTGGCGAAATAATTCACTGATAGGAGTAGAGAGAATGAGTCCGTGAATGAGGGCTTGGATGGCAGTCAGTGTAAATAGTCCTCAACTGGCTTGCAATGACATTAAGTCTTTCATTACCTTTATACCAAACTTCCAAATATTTCGGTGCCTGTGGCTGAGCCTCGTCTAGTTGTAGCATATGGTGCATGCTATGTTCAACTCCAGCAGCCCCTTTCATTGATCCTGCGCATGCAAGTTGGCCAAACCTGGAGTCCCTCCGAGATCAGCCTCCGTAGCCTCATGAGGACGTTCGACTGATGCAAAGCATTCAATCGGCACTTGGTGTAATAGAAGAGCTGCTGAAGAGCGTTCGGCCGACCCAATATAGCAAGGTGGTGATACAGTCGCCCGGTGGTCGGAGCCTTATCTGATAGTACCAGCATCGAGAGACACCAGACTAGGTATCCCCGACGGCAGATATCATCATCCTTAATGGCCATTCGATACCTAGAAAGGTCTATAAGGCACTCTGTCCAAGTGTCCTCAATAGACATTGAATATTCATCCAGCCAGGTCTCCTAGGCACTTGATCCATGTGGTCTTTAAAGGCCGATACAGTCTTCAAAAGCAGAGCTATTATGTAGTAGTCTAGATAGATAAATGCAAGCATATGCTTTATTAAAGCAGGCAGGCTTTATTAAAGTAGCTTAAGAAAAGAATAAATGCTATGTTGCCTTACTTATGCCAGCATTAGTATAATAGTCTTAAGAAAAGTCTAGAATTTAGAATTAGAGTAATAAGCAGTATTATAAGGATGCTTTTTTTAAGTTCTATATTATAACTTAATCTTAAGATAAGGCAGCTTACTATACTTTAAGTATCGCATATGCCATTATAAGCTTTTTTAAATATATTTGCTATAAAAAAGATCTTACACTCCTAATTTTCTTAGTATTAGAGGATGAATTATGTATTCCCTATCGAAAGTGGTCTATTTATGCCCCGAGGTATAAAAGAATTTGGCATCCTGGCTCAGACTTCCCTGGCTGGTCATTTAGTAGCCAAAGAGGCAATTACTGACGCCGTGGTCAGGCCTTCGACCAGAGGCCGAAGCACGTCGTGCGACGTTCCGCCCCGCAAAGAGTTCTCAACTGTGCGATATAGTTTGGCTACGTCCACTCAAACTAAATGTCTATAGAGCCATGGTCGCACAGAATTAGCATCAACACCAGCAACTCTTTCTCCCTCATCTTCCGTCTTCATGTTCGTCCCTTTTCCTTGCTCACTATAAAGGAGTGTATCTCGACCATCTTCATTCGAGATGTCAAGTTCTTTCAAACGTTGCCATAAAATTTACTGCCGTCCTAAAATCTCCAATCTGACTGTTTCTGAACGTCTTAGGAAAGCTTCGGTTAGGTGGAGCATTCAAGCAAAGATGAAGTTTCCCTGACCCAGCCCTGGAACAAAGGACGCTCGAAACACCAAAGCACCCCACAGCAGCACAACAAAGCATAAGTAGGACGGTGCTCTCTATGAATAGGTTCGCAGTTCTCTGCCTTTCTGACGGTATCAATAGTTTAGTATGACTAATGCATAGTCTTGATTGAGAATATAACTATGTTTCCAAGCTCCAAGGCCTCGAGAGTGGCATGCACATACAGTCATGACTTGGCATCTGTTTTTGTACCATTCAATCGCTTTTAACTGCGGTGTAAGAGCATGAAGTTTGGCAGTTCCTTCCTTTATTGCCACCATGGCACATATAGGTGCTTGTGCTGACCGTCGGCGTACGCGACAATCCAGGTTTCTTGGGTAATCTAATGTGAAGCTATCGCCAACTTGACTAGGTATCTTAGCGTTTTCGAGCCCTCGGACACTAGCACTGAGACCCCTGGGGATCGCTGCCTTGCAGGGGTTCAGCGCATTCACCTAACGCAATATAGACTAGGTGCTGCCTTACCTACATGAGGTAGCTCCCATCAACCTAATCTGGCTCAAGTGATCGCGACTCCATGCCCCTCGGCTTCAACTCATGTTCTTCCACTCCTGCGTGCGATAGGTACAATACATCTTATAAGCACAGTCAACCAACAGCATAAGAAGCTGCAGCCTTGCCATGACACATCGGCCTCCTTCTCCGTCTGCAATGCGAATAACTTGATCGATGTGTTCGCTCGCACGCAATGGCCGTCACTTCCATCCCTTCCCACGTCTTCCCACCGAGCTTCGCCTCCGGATCTGGGCCCTTGCGGCAACTCCACGCCTCGTCCACATCAGCGTGAGGCAAACAGAACTGGACCGCTGGAAGCGTATCGCCCTGAACGACTTCTCTTTGCCGATGCCGTCGCCTGCCGTGATGCACGTATGCCGCAAGTCCCGTCTGTGCGCGCCGTACCAGAAGGCCTTCTTCACCATTGTGCCCGGCGAGCCTGAGCATCGGTACGTCTGGGTCGACTTCGAACGAGACATGGTCTGGCTCGCAAACAGCCAATTGGAACGGCTTGAGCCGTATGAGACCAAAATTCGGCGACTCAGGTTTACCGTCGAACCCGGCGCCCGCGGTGACTTGATGTTCGAGGCCTTTGGCGGCTGTAGTCACGAGTTCATGGCGCCGTTTACTGTCCTGCGGGAGCTGCATGTGGCCATATCTGATTGTTTCTGTGCCTGGGGCTCAACATGGGCCGGCTCTGGTTACGGAAAATGTCCCCGGGAAAATGTCAGGTTCCTTGACCTCACCACAGGGCTCTTGTTGACTGGTCCTCAGCTGGAGATGGCATGCGAGTGGGAGTGGCAGAAAGGGGGAAGAGTGATTGATATGGATGATTTTGATTACGAGCTTTGGTTTATGCTCGCCAATTACACTGGCTCAAATTTACCGGAGCTTGCAAAGATAGAATGAGTCATTTTCGACCTGCCCTGTATATGAGCTTCTCACGAAATGCCATTTTGCTGGCCAATCTTTGAAGCATCCACTACAACAAGCTGTTCTAATAAGCACAAGGCACCAATAGATCGCTGGACCTGAGCCCAATTTGCGTCTATCCTATCTGCCCACTACCAATCCTGGGGCTGTTTCTACCCCCTGCGTTGTGAAGATAGTCTTTTCGGACTCCCTCCTTCTCATGCTTATCCTAGTACTTCTCTCAAATGCACGGCTTAACCTTCAGCTCTGCCATCTCAAAGAACTGTATCACTGCTCCGTGCCTTTGGGTCACGCTATCGCTGTAAAAGTTCTCTCTCGTTTCATCCATCATTAGCAGAGTCCCTAAATCGCCATGCTCACCGCCAACCCTCACCCCTACCATCGTGTGATCCCAAACCACCGTCTCCCATACCTGTGATGGGTCAGCCGGATTATGCCCTACGCCGACCCTCTTCCTTCTCGACAGGAAATCCTTTGGGATTCAGACGTTGTTCCATTGCAGCAATGAGATGTGGCCCATGATCGCCCACTCTAGCTGCCTTGATCTGGGCGGTGGTCTCAACGAAACGGTCGAACAGTTTCTTGTTGTCTCCCGTGTTTTTGCCAGCCTTTGCGGCTTTTTCTACCTCATCTCCAATCATGTCGATGTTATGACTGTACTCTTTTCAACCTTGGTATATAAATATGTAACCTGGCCAGTCGGTGACTTTCTTCTTGACCTGCGAGAGATAGTATGCCTACAGCCTCTTGGCAGTCTATTCGGGGTCTGGATCTGTCGTCTGGGAGTCCAAGAGTCTTCCAGGCTTGTTTGCGGCAAACAGGTCCTTTGACGATGACCCGCCGAGGAAGTTGACAAGTTCGCTGAAATTGCATCGTCGCCCATCCATGGTACCTTCACACTCCACTCACCATTCCTGCTTGGTTCTTCTATGGATCCTGCACTTCTTCACGATACTGTCCCAGCTTAGGAATTTCCATCCAAGCCTACGTTGTGCTGGATCATTCAGCCCGTCGATCTGGTAGGCGTAATACAACCACGCCCGATCTAATGCACCGGCGAAACCGCCGGTCAGGACCTCGGCGATGAGGAGGAAGACGCTCACGAGAAGCTTGAGCTGCATGATCGATGATTTTTAGTAAGGTGGTGATGGACATCCAATGTCGAAAACTTGATTTGGGGCAACAATCAGGAGGCTAGCAGAATAAGGGAGACGGAGGTAAAGGGCAACCTAGAGAAATGAACAGCTCCAGCTTCTTGCAGAGAGACACGGAAGACAGCGCTACATGTACACTGACTCTGCCTTGCTACAGGACGAGAAATCCACCCGAGAGACGGCTATGCGTCTCCTTGTTGCTTCATATGTTGTTTGCCGGCCAAATTTGTCGACATGTTCTATGCCGATACAGTGAATCTGTCCCATGCCAAATAAACATGCTTTCGGTGGATCTCCAAGCCTTACATCGACCAAAGTACTGCATTGTCCTTCTTCTCAAGGAGGTAAATATAGTTATCAACCGAGGCCTTCGTGCTCTCCGCCACTTTCCGTTACCTAGTTTTCCAGACGTCCTGTTTCCCTTTACGCCAATATATCTCCCAGGTGTTCTAGGAAGTCTTCATATTGGTACAATTTCACTCCTCTCCACCCGTTCGCGGCTTGAGATTCTACTGGATTTAGTCCTTGCCCTAGTCGTCATGGCTGTTCCTATACTGTCCTACTTGACTACCATCTTCCTCATATATGGGGCCGTAGCCCAAGCGGATGGCTTCAAGCGTGATCATGCTTCAGGCACAGGGTTAGACGCTTGGCGTGCGGCGACCAATCGCACTACACGGCCACAGGCATGTCCATCATCGTGTCAAGGTGGTGATTCCTGGCGTCCGCGACCTGTCACCATGGTCCCTCTTTCTGGATGCTGCCGGACATGGAACTTGCAATGAGACACTACTGCTCGAGTTCAATATTCGGGAGGCCGTTGTTAGCGGGCAAGTCGCACCTATCGCGGCCATCGGAGTGACTATGCGATTGGAATCATTGCAGCTCCCGTACAGGACTTGGCTCTGGTTCAGGAGGCTCTGCAGACCTGGGCAAGTGGGCAATGCGTGTCGGGGAGCTTCAAGGCCATTATGACCATCCCTCTACGAGTGCCCAAGCAGGCGGAGGCCACTAGTAGCTCGATGAGGCCATCTTCTCTCACAAGTAGGCCATCTGAAGAGGTTCACACCCGGGCCATGCCGAGACTTGCCTCAAGGGCTTTGTGTAGAACCACAACAGTCCCTTCTGGCGTTGGCTGCTCTGCCGTCGCGCAGCGGTGCGGCATCAGCCAAAGAGACTTGCAGCAGTTCAACCCTGTAAAGATTTTTGCAAAACACTCGTCGCTGACCAGAAAGTCTGCTGCTCTGTTGGCGCCTTGCCAGACTCCATGCCCCCTGCCAAGTCCGGCGGCATTTGCGATACCAAGTCGGTCTTTGGCTTGGATTCCTGCTCTTCTATGGCGCAGAAGTGCGGACTCAAGGTGGCAGATTTCACAAGTCTGCACAGCCATGACAAGAGGTTTTGTTCGTCTTTGGCGGTTGGCCAACCTGTGTGCTGCACTCACGGAAGGCTGCCTGACATTAGTCCCAAGCCTGGCAAAGACGGCTCCTGCTTTGTCTATACCATCAAGAAGGACAACGGCTGTTCTTCCATTGCTGCCTCACACGGCATCACCGTGGCAAACATTGAGAAGTATAACAAGAAGACGTGGGGCTGGAACGGATGCAAGTTGCTGGACGAAAAGGCGCAAATCTGCCTCAGCAACGGGACGCCCCCCCTTTCCAATGTCAGTCTCCAACGCTGTCTGTGGGCCGCAGGTCGTCGGTACCAATAGACCGCATTCTTGAAGCAGCGACGACTGGGCCAAGTTGAATCCATGTCCCTTGAATGTCTGCTGCAACATCTGGGGGGCAGTGCGGCACTACGGACGATTTCTGCGCCATCTCGAACTCAACAACCGGTGCTCCGGGCACATCGGCGCCTGGCAAGAATGGATGTGAGTCACGGCGGGAGTAACGCATCTCCAGGTGATCGAATGCCGCTGTACTGACTCTGTTGTCTAGGCATCTCTGATTGCGGAAGAGACATCGTCAAAGGCTCATCCCCAGCCAAGGCAATGAGAGTTGTCTACTACGAATCCTGGAACCCGAACCGCAAGTGCCTACATATGGATGTCGATTAGATCGACGCCACCAAGTATACGCACATTTATTTCGCCTTTGCCAACGTCACGTCCAACTTTGGCATTGACAGTAGCGGCGCCCAAGTTCAGTTCAATTGCTTCAAGGCCATGCCAGGCAGCGTCAAGAGGATTATATCTCTTGGTGGCTGGGACTTTGGCACCAAGCCAGGCACCTTCAACATCCTTCGCGAGGCCACCAAAGCTGAGATCAAGAACCACTATGAAGATTGCGACTCTGAGTTTAGCACTCTGGACCAGCTCAACAAAGTAAGGGGCGAGATTCCCTTTTACTGCGTGGACCTGTATATCGTCGACATGGAAATCCAACTTCTAAGCACTGCACTAGACAGGTACAAGGACCTCATCGATAACGGCTATGATGAGAAGTTCAAGACCTTCGAGGAGTACACCGTCGAGCAGATCCCGTCTCAGATCAACGCTGTCATGGGCAACGGACATGTCGGCGATTTCTTCACGTGCGAAGAGGCGGCGCTCCGCACTTGCTGCTCCAGTTGCCAATTTGCCTCCTGTATTGGCAATTGCGACAATTCAGACGACTGCAAGGATGGCTATGGCACGCATGAGGTGACCTGTCCCACCATTTATAAGGATGGAACTGATGGTATCGACTGGTACAACACCGTCGTGCCTAACGTGACGTACACTTTGCGTGACTCTGACGGCTTCTACGAGGCTATCAATAAGGACCATGGGGTTGGAAAGGACTGGATCAGATTCGGCGATACGTCCGTGAGAGTGTCAAACGGATGCCAGTGGGCCCAGGGTAATATCAGGGATTGCCAGAAGAGACAAGACGCCTGGTTCTGGCATTATCCGCAAGCCGCTGACAATATTCAAGTGTTTAATCCGAAGGACGTCATTGGCAGATCGTACGAGAAGTCCAAGGACCTGCTTTTCAACCTCAAAATGCTTAGGGCCATTGGCAGCCTCGACTCTCAGCTCAGCATGGCGGATTTGGCCGACGCAGCATCCCTCCCGGCCATGACGATGGCGTTCGCCGTGGACAGTATGAACAAGGTTGTCAAGCAAGCCAGGAGCATCAAGAAGCGGGAGAGGGAGGACATGATTGCCAACTTTGTCGGTGCTATCCTATTCTTCATTCCCTTGGCTGGGGAGGCCGTCGACGCCAGCATGGCTGCTGTTCGCTCCGCGTTGGCTGTGGTGGACGAATTCTACGGAGCACAAGACTTGGATATGGCACCCAGGTCATGGAGTAGACCACATAACGGGTGCGTGCATGACAGCCCAACCCCTTATGCCACCTGATCCATTATACGTTGAGCACTACAAATACACTGCGTAAGATTTGCGCGGAGCTTGCAGGGATGCGGATGAGCCTGGTTCCTTATGTTCGACTGGAGAGAGTAGTACCTCGAGAGGGGAGAAGCGGCGGCATGCATTTTGACTGCTAGTTGCGAATACTTGGAATGATGGCCAAAGGCGGTAAGGGGCTATCATTGAGGACGATTGTGATTACTGCCGAAAGAACTGGGTGGGGATAGCATATTTGACATGTTTGACACGGGTACTGCTGAGATTCTGTTCAAGTTTGACTCGAAATACAAAGTTGTTGGCTACACGGATGTCGAAGAGTTACTGAGAACACAATGCTATGCATCTCGAAGGTAATGTATGTATATTGCGGCACCAAGAGCGATGGTCATAGGAGGAGAGCCACCCCATACAGTGACTGAGGAGGAATCAACAGACTCGATTTCGAGGACGTTGTGACCATTGTTTTATGGAATGATTGGGGTGATTGTGCTGTAGACTGTTGAATTGCTAATCTTTTGCTGCTACTCGAGGCATTGCCACAATGTTGTGTAAGACCGCCACAGATGAAGATGACATCAAAACTTGAAGATAGATAATGGTACACTATGATACATATACTGATTCAACCTGTCCAACCTTTGGATCAACGGCCCAAGCCTCCACTACCCGTCCTATCATAAGCGCCAGTCCTCTCATTAGTACCAACCCTATCGTTGGCACCAACTCTTTCATTGACACCAGTCCTCTCATTAACACCAGTCCTATCGTTGGTACCAGTCCTCTCGTTAAACCCAGTCCTTTCATTGCCACCAACCCTGTTACCCTCCAAGTCCTTGCCATCGAATGTCGGACAGCCCTCATACTGATCCTTCATCCGATGACCTCTGCTCTCAGGCACTCCCTGACCCCCCGTGAACTCATTCAAAGTCTTCGTAGGCAAGACCTTGGTTCCATGATGCACGGCCGCAGCCTGATGGGTTTCGTGGATGGGAGCAGTGGTGTGGATGACTTCCGGTGCCACAGTCTCCTTGTGGATGACGGGCTGGACGTGTTCATGGACGTGGTGGTGGACGCGCTCGCCGGCGACGACGGGCGCTTCGGCATGGGTCTCGTGGGTCTTGTCGTGGGTGACGGAGGCGTCCTGGTATTTGGCGGCGTCACGCTCGAGGAAGTTACTCACGTCCCTGTCGCTGCCGTGCTCAAAGGAGCGGTGTTCGGTGGGAAGGACTCTCTCATGGTGTTTTTCAGGGCTGTAAACATTCTGGTTAGAATAAGATACCTTCACATGTCGACAGATTGGAATGGGCAGAACACATACAGAACTTCTTTATGCTCAAGAGGCTGGACGGTAGTGTGGTGGTGATCCTGGTGGATGTCCTTTTCCACAGCCGTCCTCACCTTCTCCTGCTCGTGCGGACGAACGTGTTCGTTGGTGACGGGGCGTCGGACTTCTTCGTCCACGGTGGTGTCGTGCTTCCCGTCGCGGGAGACGAGATCGCCAACGGCCTTCTTAACCTTGTTCATGTTGATGCGAGCTTGTTTGGTTATAAGTTGTAGCTTGATAGAGTATGTTGAGGATAGTGCTTGGTTGAGTGAGGTTCAGTCCAAACGTCTTCCTACGTCCTATACTTATACCTCGCCCTCCTCCGCCATTCCATGCCAGTATACGTCATCTCTTGGATGTAACCAAGCATCTCGGACCGCAAACTCTAATCAAGCTCCTTATTTTCCATTCAGCTCCCCAATGGACGCGTACCCCAGATCGGCAGGAGAACGCAAGGGCGAATCCCATAACGCCGTGATTTGGTCATTGTCGATGCCGGGTCATACATGCATAGTGTGGCTTGCCCACATGCATGTTGAGAATAGCAACAGGATAAGCTGCCAGCCTCCCAACAAACAAGCTACCCTCTTGCATCGCCACCTTCTATGACACAACGACTATACGGTGGCAGATCGGATGGTTATACCGAGATAGATGAGGTGCAAGCCATTGGCTGGGAATAAGAGAAGAGGCTCGATGAGGAGAATTGGCATTCAGGTGGATCTGGAAGCTGTGAAGCTAGATTGGACTAGGGCATTTGGTGTAAGTTAGATCGCCTCGATCGCATAGTATAGCACGTCATCCAGCGCACCGTCTGGCCCGGGTTACAGGTTTTGCGGCAGTTTGAGTCTTTCAGCTGAACGGCCGGAGTCCCACCTCCTACCAATCACGGCCTGTCTCACCGCAGTTCCGGATTCGAGACAAGTTCGTGATGCGAAACGCGTCCTGAGGTCCCGTCGCCACAACTGAACACGCAGCTGAAGAGAAACAATCGGCAGTGATGCCCCTCGGACCTGTTCCACCAGAAGCTCCAGCTGCCCGCGTCCATTTCATCATCATTCGCGATTGCGCGATTGCTATGTTGGTGGAATGTGATTATGGACGGTGACGCTTTGGTCGCACTCAATTGTGCATAGTTGTCGCTATGCTTAAATTCCATGTCGAACGCCTCTTACGAAACGGCGGCGAAACGTATAGACATGGATTCTGTGCCCACCTTATCGAACAACAGTCAACCCGTTGCAAGTTGGCCATTCATTACAAAGGCCTTGCGGAAGCCTCGAGATTACATGATCTGGTGCAACAGGCTTTTGACTTTGGCATCGTACGAAAAAATCAAGATTTGCGCAATCACCAGCCCTCTTCGATCAAGTTATTCTCTAGTCCCGTACGACTCAGAATGCCAATTGCATCACAAAAGGACCCGTTCTGAGATCTTCTTAAGCGAGTGGCTAACCAGGACCCGACGTGGCCGTCCATCGTCCCAGCGAGTCAATATCATGATCCTACCATGATTGCTGCTACTGCTAGAAGTGGCAAAGACGGCTTTCAGGTTTAATGATAGGCTTCTATTTCTCCTAGATAGGATACCTATGAAGACGATATGCTGTTCTCTCTTGTCTCAATGAGCCTGAAATGCTGTACAGCTCAGTGAACATGCTGGTGAGCCACTCCGCTTTTCAGCTGCCCATTTTCAGCAGGCTGCTCCCCTGGCTAACCCCATCTCGACAATCTCGCCTTGGTCGTGACACAGCAGCAATTAAGCTTGGAAACCGTGGTCAGCCGGTACACAAAAGGCACGACGTGGTCGGATAATTCAGAGTCCAGAGCTTTGATCACCACATTCCTCGTATGATGAATCATCGTACTGACAGCCTCGTCCAGAAGGAAAAGTTCGCCGTCTTCCCTTCTGACTATGGCGCGTACCAAATAGAGGAGCTACATATTTCTGGCCACACGACAGAGCCAAGTCTGCAACGTCGGTGTGGAGAGAGCCACTCTAGCAAATGGGGCCCCATACTCCCAACCTCTCAAGAAAAGCAATAACGTCAGATGTCTGTAGGAATTCAACCTCGGTCATCTGGGTTCCAGAGAAGCCTTCAGCGTGGCGATCCTGAGACCCGCACAGAACGTCGAGGAACCACAATGAAATTACACCGTAGAGCTTGCTTGATATTCAAGAGATGTCTAGCCCATCAACCAGAATGGTGCCAGTGTAATCCAAGAGCCCAAACAACATTAAAAGGGAGTAGACTATCCACTCTTCGCTCCTCCCACACATAGCCACTTCCTAACCAAGCTTTATTTGAACCGAGATGATCTGAGGTCAGGTAAGGCAGGATTTCCGCTTCCCTTCTTTCTGCTTGATTTAACTCAATATTCCGCCACTTGATTCTTCCTCTACAAGGCCACGATGCCCGAAGCTCCCGAAGCAAATCATGCCGTGGCTTGACTCCTTGCGGGTTGGTCTCGCTGACTCTTCTCGGCGCATGAGAGCTCTAAGCGACGTTACCAAGCGATTTCCAATTGGAGTGGCTATTCCAGTTTCCCAGCTTGAATATCCAGCGTCCTGAGTTTACACATACAGAGTCAAAATGCTGCTATACATTGAACAAATATCTACCTTTGTACCATTTCATCAATGCGAAAACGCTGAGCGATGAGACATCAAGTTGAAACGCACCAACTGTCGATGCCAAAAGCTAAATATCTAGGGTAGAGAGGCACGGTATATATGCCAAGGTACATGCTCGGGATGCTGCGAGAGCCAGCTTCCAGCTATTGATCCAAAGTATACACTATAGAGAGACTTTCAGGCATCCTCTTAACCATTTCTTGGGCTCATCAGTCTCGGTGCGCCGTTTCCGAACCACAGGCAGCTTCTTCTCAACCTCGTCGCGCAAACCTCAAAAGTTGAATCAGCCTGGCTACGGTCACGACGAGTAGAAGTGCCAAATATAGACGCACGCTCCGATCCCTACGACTGATACTTTACATCAACTCTAGGTTACCATTAGAGAGACCTTCTTCAACATCAGCTTGCTTGTTCTGTATTGAGGAACAGAGACTACTTCAGAATGCCTCGACCGCATAAGCATGGACCATGATAAGACGGCGGCGTAATCTCAACGATTTTGTGATAGATTACTATCAGACACACTTACACTCTGTAGACCTTGAGTTAGTAATGGAAGAAGCGCAGCGATGGAACCCTCTAACTCTTTCTTCGTATAGACGCTTCTATGCATCCGCAGCTCAATGTCAGGTCGTCTCAGACCTCATCAACGTGCCAGTTATAACGTCGTTATACTTGGCTTTCTAAAAATAAAGCAGCCACATTTGTGACCTATGAGAATTAATCTCAATCTATCCGTTAGAAGACGTCTGGACGGCTTTTGACTACATGTCAAGGACGGCTCTTGTACTAGGTGATTGTTGAATTTCATATCCAGGTCGTCCAGCCTTCATTCCACAAGCCACATAATAAGCTTCTACGAGGACTCAAAATCGAAGTTTCAACCAGCAGCTTTCTCTACGCAAATGTGGCTTCCTAATGTACATAGGAAGTTCATGATATTGCCGAGAGAGAAACGCCATTGGCACACAACGACGCGCAAGTTGTGAGTTTTCGGTAGCTTTAACAAACCATTGCATGTACAAATTGAGTCGCACCGCCCTTGGATCTCTCCTGAAATGCTCCTTGGCTGTAACCGCTTCTTCAGCACACTGGTGAGAATCTCAACATGCGTCGTCTACATGTCCTATTCCTACTCCGGCTGCAACGTATTTTCAAAAGCCGCCGCCGTCACCAAAAACACCTTCAAGTCATCTTGCACCTTCAACAGGACATTCTCCTTCTCATTATTGACAATCTAGCCCTCCATGATAGATTCCTTCTTTCGCACACCTGCAAAGCCTTCCGGCACATTACACTTCAAGACTGGCGCGCCGTCGTTCCACGAGTTTCCTTGGAGGACAAGGTTGGCTTCTTGGCAGGGCTGGCTTACACGTTACCCAGTTACTGGATCTGTTCGAAGTGCTGCAAACTTCACCCTATTCATACCCCAAACTTCCCAATGTCCTGAGTGACTGTCCGGTTGCGCGGTTGACAGCTCCCAGAGATATGGCACATATATGTTTCAAATTGAACATCACCATATACAGTTTGCATTCAAGCTATCTCGCCAAGGGAACAAGCATCGATAATACCTTGCGGAACTGATGAGCACATATGTATTTCGGCCACAGCGTTTGGAACATTTTGGACAGTCTTACGAAGCGGAGCCAAAGATCAATAACAGACAATTTTTGTTACGCGAGACGTGGAATCTCAGCAAGAGGCAGATTATGGGTTATAAGAAACAGATGAGCGAGATCACGCAGCTCGAGCATATGGCTCTCCTCACGGACGCCACTGTAGTCGAGGATGAGATTGAGTTGGCTCTCCAATCACCGGGCCGATGGAGATACAACTCCTGCATGCGCTGCCACACAGATTCCGGCGTCATGATATCCCCGGACGAGAAAACGGCGACAATCCAGGCCTGGCACAATTTTGGCGGGGAAGAGTCACCAATGGATGCGAATTGGAGGGCATTTGCGGACAATGAGTACGATACAGTCTTTGACTGCTTCACGCGCAATGCGCACCTCCATCAGCGCCATGGTGGTGTTCGGGAGTTGTGGTTCGAGGACACCCCCGAACAGTTGCCCCAGAGAGTACGATATTTGCTCTACATGTGGTAAGGCACCCTATAAGCTCACGGCGATTTTGGACAATGGTTGAAGAACCTTTCAACAATTTGATTATTTCACCCTCGTAAGAGACCTCGAATATCGACATGGGCAGCATTCGGGAGCTGTGGCGGGGGAATATCGGGGAGGACTTGATGTGCTATCGTAGATAGAGGCGAAATAGGTACTCACAATTAAACATGCTAAAGATATTACCATCAAAATAATGATATAATCAAGTAAATGTATATGATCTATCTCGAGGCAACTTTATTATATATCAAGATCTACCAAGATAATTCTACTCTATTTACCCAGCTAAACCAATATCTATTCATTTACTATCTAGATAAACTACGTCTACCAGTTGACAGCCAGGGAAGTCAATGAATTGATCTCAATGTCTTATTCTTTAGTTTTCTGGGATAAGGATCAGGTGTGGACGCAGGCTGGAGGATCTGGAGGACACGATGGGGGTTGTTATCGAGAAATGTTGGTCAAAGCAAGCACTGACTGGCAATTCCTGAAGTTGTTGCTTAGTTGCCAACAGTCGTAGGATGTGTAACTGGATGCAAGCGGTCGTTCCTCCTTTCAAAGGTCAAACTTCATATCAGTCATGACGGCACCACCTGCGGCCGTACAGTGGGAGGCGTGGCTCATGTCGTCTTTATCGTCTTTACTATTTCCATTTTACGTCTTTTTGATGTTATAGTACAGGCAGCTATATACCGTGTCCATGTATATATGCTGGGTGATAGATGATACACATTTGCCTTGCAACGTCGTGACAGTGTTCATCAGAGCTTTTGGCTTCGGTCTTCTTTTACTCCGTCACGCTCTCCATTCGTATGTCCTCCCCCTCCAGCGGCTGCCCACGATCATGATGAAGCTTCTATCTCATCCAGACTCTTAATGTTCAACTCCGAAATGCGCAAGATGGTATATCGATGCTTGCTCTTCGCCTGGCGCTTTCTCCTCTGCCTCCTCTTCGTCTTGATCTTGATCCTCATTGGTTCCGACTCCGTCCCCAACACCGTCGCTCGGCATTCAAACACCCTCTCATCGATACTCGGCGCACCCTTCATAGTGTAGTCCCGGCTACCAAGGACGCTGGCGCGATTCAGTCGCAGCACATCTCCGGGGAGAACGCCCGGCATCTTGAAGGGCAGCCGGATCTGGTCGCCCTCCTGGACCAGGTAGGGAAAGCCGTGGATGTGGACGGTGATGTAGTGGCCGGGCTGGGCGGCGAGGAGGGGCAGGAGGGTCTTGACGGAGTCGGGAATGGGAGCGGGAGGTTCGGCAGGGTGGCTCTTCTTGAAGGCGAGTGGTCGGACTTGGGAGTCGGTCGGATTTGGGGCGTTGTTGGGGTGGTGAATTGGCGAGATGGGCTCGACGATGGGAGCCGTGGTGTTGAAGGCGCATCGAGGCTGGATTTGCTGGAGTGGTGCGATTCGAGGCAAGATGCGAGAGCTGGGAGCCCTCAGCTCCAGCACGGAGCGAAGGAGTGCTCTGCTCATGTTGATGCAATCAACTGCAGCGCCGCAATTCTGCTGCTTTGTTGAGAAGTGATTGAGAGGTTCTCCCAAATATGCCTGGCAAATTCAACGGTTCGATGAAGTTGAAGCTTTGCGATTTTGCGGGCTTGGCCGGATTAGTGTGGCGCCGGGGTCCGATGAAATCTTGGCGCTACTCCGGCTTGGTGCGGCCAGTGTAACTTTTTTTTCCTCCTTCTTCGAGACTGGGAATTTTTCTGCCGTTATCTGAACCAGGCTCGGTTCTCCACTGGATTTATAGAATCAGAGTCGACAACAAAACGCAGCCAACATGGTATGTTTCTCTGATACTGAATCGGATTGAACTTGATTTGCAAGAAGATGGAAACGGCTCGGCTAACTCCCTGCAGCCTCAGAACGAGTATATGGAGCGGTGGCGCAAGCTGCACGGCCGCCGCCTCGACCACGAAGAACGAACCCGCAAGCGCATCGCCCGTGAAGGCCACAAGGCCTCGCAGGACGCCCAGAACCTGCGCGGCCTGCGAGCCAAGCTGTACCAGAAGAAGCGCCACAATGAGAAGATCCAGATGAAGAAGGCCATCAAGGCCCACGAGGAGCGCAACGTCAAGACGGCCGACGAGAAGGAGCCCTCGCAGCCGCTGCCCTCGTACCTGCTCGACCGGTCCAACCCCTCGACGGCAAAGGCCCTCAGCAGCGCCATCAAGAACAAGCGCGCCGAGAAGGCGGCCAAGTTCAGCGTGCCGCTGCCCAAGGTGCGCGGCATCAGCGAGGAGGAGATGTTCAAGGTGGTCAAGACGGGCAAGAAGACGCACAAGAAGGGCTGGAAGCGAGTCATCACGAAGCCGACGTTTGTGGGGCCCGACTTCACCCGACGCAACCCCAAGTACGAGCGCTTCATCCGGCCCATGGGTCTGCGATACAAGAAGGCCAACGTCACCCATCCCGAGCTGGGCGTCACCGTGCAGCTGCCCATCATCAGCGTCAAGAAGAACCCCCAGAACCCTCTGTACACGCAGCTGGGCGTCCTGACCAAGGGAACCATTCTCGAGGTCAACGTCAGCGAGCTGGGCCTGGTGACTGCGGGAGGAAAGGTCGTCTGGGGCCGATATGCCCAGGTCACGAACGAGCCCGAGAACGAGGGCTGTGTCAACAGTGTGCTCTTGGTCTAAGAATCTTCGGGAACGGTGCTGGCATAAGGATGGAATTCTGCAAAAATCTGCTTTGACAGGGGGGCTCTGGCTGTCCAGTTGCATGTATTGGCGTTTACGGCGTTTGGTCCCCATGAGTGCTTGATGCGGAAAGAAAGAAAGAAAGAGATGAGAGGGTAGATCCAGATTAGGAGGCACGGGGCTTTCGAGAATATCACTGCTTTGAGCTTTTTAAATCAATGGAGATGGTGATATAGCAAATATATAATCAAGCAGACTCTGCTATTTGTTTCCCTTCTTATGATGGAGAGCATGATAGAGAACTTGCAGCATTGGCATATCAAGTGTCAGTAGAACCATTAGCAGCCCAGCAACTCCGCAATGTCTAGCCTATTACACATTTTCTAATTAGTATCCTTGATCTCTCTGTGCGTACTGTAGTCGCATCATCTCGTGTTTTTCTCGGTAGAGTCTCGACATCAATCTCGATAAGCCTCTTGTAGTCAATGCAGCGATTTTTTTTTCAGTGGCTCAACCGCCACCAAACCAGCCAAAGGGACCGGACCCTCCCCAAGCCCAAAGCGGATGGATAGCGGGGTGCCACCCCGTTTCAAAGGCGGTGACAGCGATGAACCCAATTTTCTGCCCGACCAAACGAACTGAAGGCCTGCCTTTTTTTTTTTTTTGCCGCTCCGCCTTTGGAAAGCCTTCCCGCAAGCCAGAAAAAAAAAAGAGCAGAAAACGGAACAACCGAAGGCGCCTTCGTCTTTTTCTCTTTTACAAAACTTCTCTCTTTTGAAGTTATTTACATCCTCCTTCCTCCTTCTTGTTCTCTTGCGCTCTTTGCAAGACAGAATCATAGACCTCGCGGCGGAATAGACGAACTTCTCTTTTTATTCATCCTTCTTTTACGAAAGTTACTTGCCCAAGATGAGCGGCGACAACATGGAAGTCGAGTTGGCGGAGCAGAAGCTCAAGACGATGGAGCACAGCGAGCAGCACTACTTCAAGAGGTATGTATCAAGCAAATATGTGTAGGGGAGACAGGGGAACAACGCTGTGTCCATGTCTTCTTCTTCTTATCCGTTCCCGTTCTAGTTGGGAATTTGCGATCCTGCGAGAGTCAGCTGCTGATAAATATCCTTGTGTCCAGTTACGATCATCACGGTACGAATAATTCCCAGTGAAAAGAGAACCAGGGCAGTCTTATAGGAGAATACGCTTTCTGACATTGATTTCTTCGGCGCGCGCAGGAATCCACGAGGAAATGCTGGTGAGCAATTGTTCCCCTCCCCCTCCCTGCTACATGTTATTGCCCCTCCTTTGCTGCGAATTGGAAGTGGTAGCGCATCGTTATCACCATTCATACCTACCTTTCAAGTCCAGTCACAAATCACGACGAAACAAGGCAACAAAGTACGCAGACTGACGGTTTAATATTTTGCAGAAAGATGAAGTGCGCACACGGTCGTACATGAACGCCATCATCCAGAACAAGCACATCTTCAAGGACAAGGTTGTTCTCGACGTTGGATGCGGTACTGCGATCCTTTCCATGTACGTCGTAGCAAGCCTCTCCATCTATCACGATTGCGCTCCGCCATCGAGACTTTGACAAACGGGTCGAATCGACTCCGCACATGATAAAGTCTAGGAGAAAAGACCATGGAAGGGTGATATTGACCTGGTATCTATTCTAGGTTCGCCGCCAAGGCCGGCGCCAAGCATGTTATCGGCGTGGACATGTCCACCATCATCTTCAAGGCCCGAGAGATCGTCAAGGTCAACGGCCTGTCAGACAAGATCACCCTGATCCAGGGCAAGATGGAGGAGATTGAGCTGCCGTTCCCTCAGGTTGATATCATCATCTCCGAGTGGATGGGTTACTTCCTCCTCTACGAGAGCATGCTGGACACGGTCCTGTACGCCCGAGACAAGTACCTGGTTAAGGACGGCTTGATCTTCCCCGACAAGGCCACCATCTTCTTTGCCGGTATCGAGGACGGCGACTACAAGGAGGAGAAGATTGGATGTGAGTTTTTTTTCCCTACCGTTATTTCTTACCTCCGTTCTGACAAAAGGAAAAGTCTGGGACAACGTGTACGGCTTCGACTACTCTCCTCTTAAGTCCACCGCTTTGTCAGAGCCTCTCGTCGACACCGTCGACCTCAAGGCCGTCGTCACCGACCCTGTCCCCGTCCTCACCCTCGATCTCTACACCTGCACCACCGCCGACCTCGCCTTCAACACCACCTTCACCCTGACGGCCAAGCGAGACGACTTCATCCACGCCCTCGTCTCGTGGTTCGACATTGACTTCACCGCCTGCCACAAGCCCATCCGCTTCTCCACCGGCCCTCACACCAAGTACACCCACTGGAAGCAGACCGTCTTCTACATCAAGGACGTCCTCACCGTGCAGGACGGCGAGGAGATTCAGTGCAAGCTCGACGTCAAGCCCAACGACAAGAACCGCCGCGACCTCGACATTGAGATTGACTACAACTTCCAGACCAGCGATGCCAACAGGACCGCTGCCGGCCACAGCACCTACAGGATGTGCTAAAGCGGCCGCATCCGATTCAATTCTTTTTCGACACACATACACACACTCACTCTCTTTCTTGAACCGGCGTGCTTGGTGAAGAGCAGTAAACATGTAAGCGGGAAACTTCAAAAGGGCAAAGTAAGGGCATGGCAAGGAAAGATGACAACAGGGAGCTTCTTGACGGCGTATATATCTGGCTTTTTTGTTTTGCGTGTGTAGGCGGGGAGGGGAGAGAATTCAAAAGTAGATAGACCAAGAGGGGGCGAGTGCTATAACTCGATATGAAGTGGTTGGTAGAAAAGAATGAGAGAATGAAAGATACCACTGTCTAGATCTACGGAGCATATTGATGACAAGAGACTCAAGAGACTATTCCTTCAGCTCGGTTCTTCAGCTTCCATATTTTTCAGCTTGTTCCCTCGGTTTGCTCCAGAGGATTCCTCCGTCTAGGCATGACGTTCTTGAGGCACTACTGGATCTGATTGATACCTGACGTATCATTTCCATTTAAGTTCTCAAACAGGCACAAATGGCAAGTAAAATGTACATGGACATCTATATATTGTCGAGTCGCGAGTTGTCTCTATCAGTCGCTATGTTTTTTTCTCAACTTATCTTTCAACCCCCTTTTCATGTGGTGTCGAACTAAGGCAATCTTTTGCCCAACCCAGATGTTCATAAAGGCATCATTCAATTTCGTCAACCCGTTTTTTTCTACCTTTTCTAGTTTTACTGTTTTTCAGACGTGGAATTGGCCTGTATTCAGCCTTGCACTACTTGGCATGGTATCTTTACGAGCCGTATTGCTTGATAATGCTGGCCACCTTGGTAGCCAGCTCGTCGGCCTCGTGCCTCGTCGCAGCCTCGGCATACACGCGGCACGCATTCTCGGTGCCGCTGGCGCGCGCAAAGGAGCGAGCCGTCGTGTACTTCCTAACGCACTGGTCGATCTCGTCCTGGGCGCCGGGCGGGTGGCTGAGGCGGCGCTCGGCGTCGGTGGTCTCGAAGATGTCCTTGTTGGCGACCTCGACGCGGACGAGGCGGTTGGGCAGGTCGGTGTAGGTGGTGGCCCAGTCCTGGAGGGACCAGGCCTTGTGGGCCAGGATCACCTCCACCATGAGCATGTCGGAGATGGCGTCGCCGACGGTCTGGGTGAAGACGACGGGGAGCTGCAGGTTCTTCTCAATGTACGTGGTGCTGGCGCCGTTGGCGTAGGCCGTCTGGACGACGCCGATCCGGAGGTCCTCCTGCAGGCCGGCGGAGCGGACGAGGTCGCTGATGAAGGAGGCGTTGAGGGACGAGATGCGGTCGCCGTCCAGCATGAAGAAGCCGGAGTCGGGGTCGGCCCAGTAGTAGATCAGACGGTCTGCGTCGCCGTCGAGCGAGCAGCATCGGGCCTCGGGGGCCGGCTTCAGGGTGGGGGGAGCTCGCTGCTTTGTCTTGACAAAGTCGGCACCGCACTAGAAGAATTGTCTGTTAGCTTAGCTCGACTCCTGGAGTTGGTATGCAGGGCTACTCACGTCGAGGTTGAGAACCTCGGGTCGCAGCACGTCGTCGTTGACAATCTTGACGTTGAAGCCGGTGACGTCCTTGGGGATGAACTTGAGCAGCTCGGCGAGCTTGGGGCCTCCGACGCCGTTGGCGCAGTCGACAATCAGCTGGCCCTGGACCTTGCGGCCTCGCAGCGCGCGCACAAAGGCCTCGGACAGCTTCTTGTAGTAGCCGGCCTCGCTGACCTCGCCGTAGGCCTTGGGGGTGCCCTCGGTGTTGACGCAGCGGGTCAGGTAGTGCAGCTGGGGCGTGGTGAGGATCTTGTAGTCGGTGTACTCGATGCCGGTAACCTCGAGGGCGTCAGCCAGGGCCGTAACCAGGCTGTGGCCCGAGGGGCGGGTGTCGCGGCCGTAGACGACGCGGCCAGGGCTGTTGAGGTCGATCTTGAGCTGCGAGGCCAGCTTCTTGTACGTCTCGAGCAGCTCCTCGTGGGTCGGGGCGTTGACCAGCAGCGTTGCGTGGGCCTCCCAGTCCTGCTCCAGCATCTCGCCCATGGGATCGACGATCTTGACGCCGTTGTCGGGAGCCGGGTTGTGGCTGGCGGTGACCATGACACCAATGGCCTGGCCGTTGAGCTTGCGGCTGCGCAGGCCGGCAATGAGGCCAACGCGGAACGAGACGCCGGGCAGCAGGTCGGCCTTCATGCGGAAGCCAGCGGTGCCATACTTGTAGACGTGGCCCTCGACGATGGGGTGCTTGGCCGAAACCTCGAGGAACTTGGCGTCATCCATGGCGGAGAAGAGATGCTGTGGGTTATGTCGAGAGGCGGTTGATGGAGGGGTATGGCGATATCTGTCAGGCACAGGCACAGACAGAGGTTGTGTAGGTGGTGGGTGGTGGAAGAAGATGGAAGGGATGGAGGGGTGAAAGGCGAGAGCAGGGAGGAAGAGGTGGCGGTTGAGAGGAGAGAAGACAAGGGGTAGAGAATACAGAGAAATAGAAGAAAAAGGGTCAAGGGTCTGGGGCGGAGAAAGGAGAGAAAAAAAAAAGGAGGATCAGGACACAAGGCGCGGCTCTGGCAGCTCAGCGAAGGCGGTGCGAGGGCGCAGAGGAAGCCAGAGAGAGGCCTTTATTTGGACGTCGCGGGTGGAGTCAGTTGGCGGCACAGCGGCCCCGTGGCCCAGAGGCTTGGATCCAGTCCTTGTTTGGCCGCTGCATCTGCTGGATTGACTCTAGTTCCGGGTCGTCAATGCAAACTCAGTTCAGTTGATTTACTCAATCCGGCTGTTCTGCTGCTGTCCATGGCCGCCGGATCGCCAAACGGACTCGGCTACTCCCATCGAGGCGGCGGCAGAGGGAAGCAATTCACAGGGCCCTCACTTGAGGCTTCAGCCATAATGCCGCAAAGACGCCTCTGTCTCGTGTTCATCTCGTCATCCTCGCAGCTGTCACAATCAGCTCGGGGTCACGCTGCCCATCCTCTGAGCTGTCACAGTCACTCGCGCGTGCCCAATCAGTTGTGCTGCTGCTAAATCCAAGCACCGACTGCTCACCTCCTCTTCCAGACGGGCTTCTCAATATTACATGCTGTACTATAAGGGGGGGCCAGACGCAGACCCCGCGTTGCTGCAACGGTAACAGCTGCGGCGCTGTAGGATGACACCCCACCCTCAGCTGTGTAGAGAGGGTGATTGATGCTATGACTTGACGCTGAAATGAGCTGAGGGCTGTGAATATTGGAACCCAAGGTAGACAATGGAGTACTCTGGCACTGCCATATCAGCATTTGTATATATCATTCGTGGCCAACTCAATGGCAGCCCCTCTTTGTATTACTGGCTGCTCACGCATCTGCAGTCCCTGAGCCGTGACATGCCAAATCAGACAAAACCCACCTTCTATAGCAGAACCAGCACCAACACCTCAGTCAAGCAGCGATCGGCCGTTGCTGAGCGGCATTAATGCCGACGTCCTCCTGCAGAGAGGACATGACAGACAGACCAGACCAGACGGAGTACCTAAGGCAAGGGAAAGGGGACGGACAAAAGTACTGGCCAACAGGTGCTGTGCATGCCAATACGAAGCCATCTGCACCACGGCCGCAGGTACCCCTGTCGCTGGCTGCTGCACGTCGCCTGCACGATGATGCAACACTTTCACGTGACCTCGCGCCTACAACGAGCCTCTGGCTTCTGGGCAAACGCGTGCCCGTTCACGATGCCGTGTATCAGCAAAGAACAACGAGACGCCTCTTCCTTGTGTCCATTCTGGAGTGCCAATTCTGGACTTTCTATGCCCTTGGATCCAGGCTTCACCGCTTCATCAGACGATCCCATGGCTCTCTGATATAGAGCCCTTGGTCCTTGGTTCGCTTCTCGATCCTCAGCATGGAAGACTCGGACTGTGCCAACCCCCAGTTCCTCGCCTGGGTCAAGGAGTGGCTGGACGTTGCCAGAGAACGCAACTCCAAAGGCATCACTGCGTACAAAAACGCCTATGAGTCGCTCAAAGCATGTCCCATTCCGTTTGAGCATCCCGCATCGCTTCAGCAACTCAGGGGGTTCGGCCCCAAGCTCTGCGAGCGCCTCGAGGACAAACTCAAGGTCTACTGCCAACAGAATGGACTGCCGATGCCGCGGCATCCTCGAGTGAGAAAAGCTAACGACAGATCTCTCAACGAGCAAGCCGGAGATGGTACAGAGTCACGACCCAAGAAAGCAAGGCAGCCCAAGGCATACGTCCCTGCGTTTCGATCGGGAGCCTACGCCCTGATAGTAGGCCTCTCCGATCTTCCAGAGGATGCATCGTCCAGCTTGACCAAAGCAGAGCTCATAGAGACCGCCCAGCCGCACTGTGACGCCTCATTCACTGCACCTAGTGACCCGACAAAATTCTACACCGCTTGGAGCTCGATGAAGACGCTGATGCAAAAAGAGCTGGTCTACGAAAGAGGACGGCCTCTACGCCGATATGCATTGACGGATGAAGGATGGGCCGTCGCAAAGCGAATCAAGGAGACATCTCTATGGCAGGAAGAAAATGCCGTCAATGAGCAATCAGAACCAAGACCTCGGCCGCAGCCGTCAGCCGCACCGGCAGTGGCAGATGCAGTCGTGATCTTAGACGAAGAAGACGATGCCCCACTCATCATCAACGAGCCTTCGTTCTATCATAACGTTGTCTCAGACGGCCCTATTGTGTTGGAGGGAGATGATCTGCCCAGCTTCACCCCGATCAGGATCCCACCTGGGTCCTTTACCGTTCAATTAGTCCTCGACGTTCGAGAGGTCAGAGCGAAAACAGATCGTGACTATATGCAGGAGGAATTGGTCAAGCAGGGGGTAAAGCCGATCATGAGGAGTCTAGAGCTTGGCGATGTCCAATGGGTTGCCAAATGCAACGATCCTACGCTTTTAACGAGGTACGGCGCCGAAGGAGATGAGATTGTCCTGGACTGGATCGTCGAAAGGAAACGCTTGGATGACTTGATCGGGAGTATAAAGGACGGCCGGTTCCACGAGCAAAAGTTTCGACTCAACAGATCTGGCGTGAGAAAAGTCATCTACCTCATCGAGGAAATCTCCATGGATCAGGCCGCATATCAGAGATACGAAGAAGCGGTGCAGTCAGCCATTGCGTCGACACAAGTGGTTAATGGCTACTTTGTAAAGCGAACACAGAAGATTGACGACACCATCAAGTACCTGGCGCGGCTGACTGCGATGCTCAAGCGCAAGTATGAGAACAAGCACCTCAATGTCATCCCGACGAGGGTCATCACTGCGCAGAATTACTCGCGCCTACTCCAGCATCTCCGCGAGAGAGAACCGTCAGTCGGATACCACGTTACTTATCCTGCGTTTGCGTCGCTGGCCTCCAAATCAGAGACAATGACGCTCAGGGACGTCTTCCTCAAAATGCTCATGACCACCAAAGGCCTCACAGGAGAGCGTGCGCTCGAGATTCAGCGCAAATGGAATACACCATACGACTTCGTCAAGGCATTCCACGCCTGTGGCACGGGCGAACAAGGCACAAAGCGAAAGAGGGAACTTGTAGCCAGCGAACTGAGCCACTTGGTCGGTCGAAGAAAGATCACCAAGCAGCTGAGTCACAAGATCGCCGAGGTCTGGGGGGACGCTTAGAGGCCATTGCGGAATGCTGAACACGCTTCAATTGGTCTGAACATCTGTATGAAATAACTGCAGCTCTTACCATCGCCATACTACGGCTTTGATCCCAGGCTCTTTGCAACGACACGCTCTACAATCTTCTCGAGAAGAGGGATGGACGCAGCTTCTCCGTCACCACCCAGGATGCCAGCCAGGGACTTTTCAGCATACTTGGCCATCATGTCCACTTCGATGTTGACCGTGTCCCCCTTGCCCTTCTTGGCCATAATAACCCGCTCCTGGGAGTAGGTAATGAGCATGATTTCCCACCAGCCTTCAGCATCGTTAACCTGGGTGACAGTCAAGCTGGTTCCATCGATGGCGATGAATCCCTTGTACACGATGTAGCGCAGAAACTCGCGCTTCTTGGGCTGGAACCGGAAAGTGAGGGCGTTGCCGTCTGGCGTCACGGAGAGGATCTCGGCGGTTGTGTCAACGTGGCCCTGGACAAAGTGGCCGCCCATGCGGGTGTCGGCGCGGACAGCCCGCTCCAGGTTGACCCTGCTTGACTCGACCAGGGTGCCGAGGTTGGTGATGCGCAGCGTCTCGGGTGCGACGCCAATGGTAAAGGTATCGCTGGTGAAGGAAGTCACGGTGAGGCAGCAGCCGTTGACAGCGATGGAGTCGCCCTCGTGGCAATCTGTAAGGAGGTTGGACCCGGAGGGAATGGTGACAGTCATGACGGAGCTGCCGGTGGCGGCATCATTCTGCAGCCGGGAGATGACTGGCGCATGTTAGTCGCTGTAGATGAATGCCGCTCATGATTCAACGCACCTCCGATCTCTTCGACAATTCCGGTGAACATGGTGATGCTGTCGTGACGGTGACTGGTGCCTTGGTTATTAGGACCTATTATTCTATCAAGGCGTCAAGGGTGAGATTCACTCACAGTTGACTTGCTGATGACTCGACGCGCGTTGATGAGCCGAAAATGGTTCGATGCGTGAAGGGCGGGCTCCGTTATACGCTGCACCAAGGCTCGATATCCAGTCAATTGGCAAGTCTTTCTTCTCTGAAGCTACCAAGATATAAATTGGCCAGAAAACAGAGATTAATAGAAGATGAGGCTCACCCGGCCTCAACAAAGGACAGCTGTAGGGAAACCTAAAGCCGCGTCTTACCAATCTTTAGCTCGACCGTCGATTTGATGCCAAAGCACGAGCCCCGCATTCGTGGTGGGCAGAAAAAGGCAAAAAAGGTGTCCAGGCTTATCGATAGCGGTCCCGCCAAAAATTCTCAAGTTTTCAAAGGTTGAATCGAGACAGGCGGTGCGACTGGCGCTGAGTTGCATTTTCATGTGAAATATCGACCCGACAAGATCTCTTTATCTTTCAACTAGAACTGCTTTTATTCATCGACTCAAACTCTTTGCTACTGCTCATTCAAAGTACTACATCTACGACGCCAACACAACAAAAGTCAACATGGCACCTCGTGCCGGGGCGAAGAAAGACACACCCAATATCAACAAGCTCATCGCCGATGCAGAGACGCAATACGAAGTGGGCAATCTAGACGAAGCCATTGCCCTGGCATCAAAAGCTCTGGAGCTCACCGGCGAGGGCGGTGACTTCGAACTCAAAGCCCTGAACCTGCTGGGCGTCTTGAGCGTGGAGGACGGCGAAGTCGAGGATGCGCGGGACTACTTCCTGCGAGCCGTCAAGCTGGACGAGGAGGGCACGCTGGACGACAAGATTGGCGGCGGGCCCGAGAAGTTCCTGTTCCTGGCCCAGCTGAGCGAGGAGGGCGGCCAGGACAGCGTGCAGTGGTTCGAGCGCGGCGCGGCGGCGCTGCGGAAGCAGATCCAGGCGCTCAACGACGCGACAGCGGCGGGCCGGCGGACGCCGGAGCAGCAGAGCCGGCTGGACGAGCTGCAGAGCAAGCTGGGCGGGGTGCTGTGCGCCGTGGCGGAGGTGTACATGACGGACCTGTCGTGGGAGGCGGACGCGGAGCAGCGGTGCGAGGCGCTCGTGACGGAGGCGATGCTCATCGCGCCCGACTGCGCCGAGACGTGGCAGACGGTGGCCAACGTGCGCATTTCGCAGCAGCGGCTGGACGAGGCGCGGGCCGCGCTCAAGCGGAGCCTGGAGCTGTGGCAGGACCTGCCGCCCGAGCACCCTTCCGTGCCCGAGTTCCCGACGAGGGTCAGCCTGGCGCGGCTGCTGATGGAGACGGAGATGGAGGAGCAGGCGCTCGGGGTGCTGGAGCGGCTGGTCACGGACGACGATTCCAGCGTCGAGGTGTGGTATCTGGGGGGCTGGTGCTTGTATGTCGCGGGCGAGAAGCTGCGCGAGGCGGCGGCGAAGCCCCAGCAGCAGCGGCAGCAGCAGCAGCAGAATGGCGAAGGGGGGGAGGAGGATGCTGAGAAGGAGTGGAAGGCCACGTGGGGGTATGCGAGGAAGTGGCTGTCTCAGTCGTTGAAGCTGTACGAGCTGCAGGAGTATGAGGATGACAGGCTGGGCGAGCACGCGAGGGAGTTGCTGGAGAGCATCAACAAGGAGCTTGGGGAGCCGCCGGAAGGGGAGGATGATGATGAGTGGTCCGGGATTAGCGATGATGAGGGTGATGAGGATGAGGATCACGAGCACGGTGAGGATTGCGATCACGATCATGAGATGCACGATTAGAATGGGGGATGAGGAAAAGGGATTTGGCGGATATGGATCTGATGGCGTTGGATGGGAGCAAAAAAAGAAAGACTTGGCTTTTTACATTAAGATGTGGATAATGAGATGTAGCTGATGAACAATTCTGGCGAATATTCCTAGATCCGACAGTCTATCTCTTGTTCTGTGGTATAAAGCTCTTATTTTTGTTACAGTATACCCAAAATGTTAGTCAAAGAAAAAAAAAACGCAATAGAAGCAGAATAACGCCGTATATGTTATATATACCCCCAAAAAACATGCCCTTCCCAACCTCACACAGCCTCCACCTTGAGCTGCTCAACACCATCCGCAAGCCCCTCCTCCTCATCCTCCAAGTCCTCACCCTTGCCTGCCAATCCCCTCTCCCAGAGCTGCCTCCCCGTCAGCTTGACGGGCTCCTTGATCCTGGCCTTCTTGAGCTCCGCCAGCCGCTCCTCCTCCTCGCGCTGCCTCTTCTCCTCCATCTCCTTGAGGAAGGCCTCGCGCCACTTCATAAACGTCTCGGGCGTGACGGGCGTGCCGTGGAACTTCTTGTTCTCCTCGCGCTCGGCGGCGAGCTGCTCCTCCTCGCGGGCGCGCTCGGCGGCGTCCTTGCGGTCCTGGACGAGCTGCTCGGCGGCCTCCTTGAGGGAGGAGTAGAGGGTGAAGACCATGGCCATGCCGAGGTTCTCGGTGACGGTGTCGGCGAGGTCAGCGAGCAGCTTGTCGCGGTCTTCGCCGACATTGAAGTGGGGGTGCGGCGGGCTGGACGGGGAGGAGAGGATGTCGAGGTGTGGCGCTGCGTCGGGGTAGTCGTCTGGGTAGCGGACGGAGAGGAGGAAATGGGGGGGTTCGTGGGAGGAGTCGTCGTCGGTGGGCTCTTCGCCGGGGATGTCGAGGGTGACTTTTATCCTGAACTCGGTTTCGGAGATGTCTGTTTTTTTCGTTCGATTCCGATGCGATTAGCGAGAACGAGCTTCTGGTGATACCAATATGTCGTTCTGGCGCTCTAAGAGGCCGGTGGGCGGATAGGAAGGGGGGATGGTACCTGTGATTTCGTCGGGAAAGATGGATTCGAGCACTTCACGCTCTTCAATCTGCTCTTCGCGACCCATTGTGGCGGCTGTATCTGGTGAATTTGGGTGCTTCTGGTTCTTTTTTTGGATTTGTATGAGACGTTGGTTGAGGTTGATGATGGAGCTTTTTTGGCGGTTCAGTTTTAGGTGGGGTTGGCGAGGGAAAGGCTGGATGGCCGTATGGCGGGGTTCGTGGGCCCTTTCCGTTGACAAGGCGGAACTCATGATTCAATCTTCAATTGCGATCAAATTCCGTCTTATTCAACGAACTGCATTCAATAGCATCACAGCCGTCTTTTTTTCTTCTCCAATGCAAACTACTGTCAGACGCGTAGTGTGGACATTGTTCAAGGCATCATGCACCTGCACTCGCCGTGTATAAGGTCGCCATCATGCACTTGATGAATGCATCGTTGTGAACCCAATGCAGGTTTATACAGCACAAGTGCATCGATGCCATCTTCAGCACCGATTCTCATGTCTCGAAGCGAGAAGGATCAGCAGCTCGCGTCGTTATCGAATGACAGGGGGCCTGTGGGATGCTCGGTGAGAAAGAAAGTTGACAGGTCGGCCATACTAATAAGGGGCCAGATCAGTGGGCACATTGAGGTTTGCGTCAGCGCAACATCGTCGAGCCGAGACATCACGGAAGATGCCCTGTTCCTTTTTGTTATTTTCCTCTGTTCTTTTCTTTCGGACCAGATAAAGCAAAAGGTGATGTGGTCGTGGCTTAATGGCATCGCCAGCTCAGCTTCACTTCCGCCCTGCTTTTGACACTATAAAGGCAACGACACAGATAAAGGGAGGCTTTGCGTGTATGTACAACCATCACCCGTCATGATGTCGCAAGGGAAAGTTGTCGCCGTCCAGGTCTCAGATGGCGACATCCGGGCTGTCGGATCCATTGGCGAGTGAGTAGTGACGCCCTTTGCTGTGCGACAGAAGTGCCACGTCGCGTTGGGGGCTATATATAGGCTGGCCCATGTGTTTTTGTACGGTGTTTGGATGTCGTTCGTTGGCATTTGTCTGAGACAACGTTGCTGTGACCGCTTCTCTGCGTCGAGCCGACAAGCTCCGATTGCCGATTGCAAGAGGCTTGATTGACCGACTTCATTTAGTAGTTACTGTATTTTATTCAGTGCCGGGCTGGGACAGATTCATGCCACAGCCTCTCCAGCTTGACGTGCAGTCGCACAGGAGCTGGAAGAAGCTGCGCATAATCTTTGTCTTTGTGTTGCTTGACCATCAAGGTTGGTCTTCATCCAATCACGACGCAGTCCCTTGGTTCCTCCAAGTCGGATCATATCATCCGCGATGCCAGCGATACAGCACAAAAGAGGCCAGAAGGGTCTCTCTCTTTGAGTGTGGCTGAAGGGATGACACTAGCTGAGCGCCGCGGGAAGCTAGCAATTGATTCCATCGTGCACCACCAACCTCAAAGCCAAGCACCTGACAGTGAACCTTGACAGCCCAGTACGGACACTGTCTTGCATGTCATCACACCGTATTGGAAGGCAGAGCTCCCAACAAAAAGGTACAGGTAAGCAACCCCAAATAGAGATGGGCAGCACTTTTGCGTGGAAACAGGGTCTCTGCAATTACGGAGCAGTCCTCCGTAATATTACGACGAAGCTGTCGAGATTCCAATCTGCATCATCGTGTTTCGCGGCAGTCTAGAATCCCGTAACACCGCACACGAAGTATTTGTGCTCTGTGCTCTGTATACCAAGGCTGGGTGCTTTATCCGATGCAATGCATCTCGCGGCGATAAAAGGAGGAACAGAGGACACACAGCAGACCGCCAGCCCGTCTTGCGCGTTGTTGCAGCTTGCGAGGATTTCCATGTGATTTGCTTACGTCTGAAGAAAACGTCTCCGGCAAGGCCCTGCGCGAGATGATACCGATCCCATCGCAGCAGTGGCTGCAAAGTCCGGTGTACTGTCCTCCCCTGTCGCTGTGTACCTCGACAGGCACCGGACCTGCTTAGGCATCCCATCCCTGAAGCTACCCTCAGAAGCGAATGGAATCCCAGCAACGAGAAAACGGCGAGTAAAGAGAACGCCAAAGAAGAATGAAGCAAGGCCCTGCCCGTCCAATCTGCTGGCCCTGCTGGCGTGCCTTGATTATGCAAGCCCGCATGCGAGATACTCGTAGTGCCCTGCAATGCGGCGCTGATGCAACGCTGCAGCCAGCAGGGGCCGCCTAGTGGCTCAATCCCTCAGGGCTTCGCAGCGCTTGGCTTTAGTGGTTGGAGCGGCCTCTGTGATGGCCCCGGCCGCCCACTGTGGGCACTGGACGCAGCGCCTAGAGGCCCCAGCAGCCCGTACCCGCGAGGATTGAGGTGAGGCCTGCTGTTCCAAGGCATGCAGCTCGTATGGGGCCCCTGTGGCCGAGCTGTGCAGCCTCGCGCAATCGCACGATTCGAGCTCCTCGATGGCTTCCAGCGCGTCCGATGTCCGCCTGTCTCTGTGTCCTCTGCTGCTGCGGCCCTGCTTTCGGTCAACCTTGTACCGCGCCTCCGTAGACACGCCAAGCTGTACCTGCGCCTCCAAGCATCCAACTGATAGTGGCCGTCTTTGTGCTTATCTGTCTGCTTGCAGAGCTGCCGCAAAGGAAAGAAAAAAAAATCAGTCTCCACCGCCCAGTTGCTCACCGGCCACATTTAATTTCGCACGAATTCAACACTAGCAACCTTTGGACCTCTTTTCGCACCTTGATACTAACTCATACTGTCCTCATCCCGGGCTGTGGCGACCCTTCGAGCTTCTTCCCGTCGTCATCATCGTTCCCGTCTGATCACCTTTGTTTCTTCGTCATTGCTCCAATCCACCCTCGTCATCTCTCTCCTTTATCCTCTCTTCCCCCAGACCGCGCCGACGAACCTCATCTACAACTCCAATCTCCCCCAATCGCGACCATGGGTAGCTACACGTTCAAGTGGTGAGTCTTGGCCATCGAACCTCTTGCGCCGCAAAAGGCCAACCCCCAGTCGAAAAAAAACCCGGTGCTCGCGCCCGCCACGAGCTTTGCGAGACCACGAGGGCGCAAAAGAACCTCCACCGCTTCTGGCGCCGGAAAAAAAAAAAGAATACTGTCACGAGCACTGGGAAAGCGCATTAGCCCAAGGTACCGACGGAAGCTGACGTTTGGGGGTCTTCTCGTTTCTAGGGAGCATCCCGCCGAAGAAGTGTTCGTCACGGGCACTTTCGACAACTGGACAAAGAGCGAGCAGCTGGTCAAGGTGGGCGATGTCTTCCAGAAGACGGTGCCTCTCAAGGATGCCTCGCAGAAGATATACTTCAAGGTAGGTCGAGAGCTTGTTATCGCGCTGCAGACGTCCTGCACCCGCCTCTGCCGTTGCCATCCATTCGGTCGTTTGCTGCGTTCTTCCCCCCCTTCCAATTATTCCCTTGACACATGCCATTGGCCATCATCGCCTGCTGTTGAATATGCGACCGTCGAGCGCATCTCTGCTCCAGCTTCAATGCGCTGTCCAGCCCATCATTTGCTTCGATCCACTGGAGGCCAGTGCCTCTTGTCATGTCACGGTTCACCGTGCATCAGAGCATAAAGCGCCCGCCCAATCACGCTGCGTCATCTCGTCTTCGGTCGCAATCCTGCGAGATGCAACGCCAGCCATCCACTGCGCGAACTGTCCGAGGCGGATCGGCGAGGCAGAGCTCGGCTGAGTCAGATCTGCGTCCAAGGCCTTCCATGGGCCGACAGACAGGCAGCCATCTCGTCGCCGGACTGGTTGTGCTTTGCGACGTCGCCTCTTTGCGCAAACCTGCCCAACAACCCCCCACGGCGCTTCCTGCTATCGTCTGGACCCGGGGGCTGTGACGCAACGCAGCGCGGCGCTCGCATCGCACCGGCTGGCCGCGGGGTTGGAATGTTGGTGCTGATAGCAGCCAGCGCTGGTCATCCGACTCACCACACCTCAGCCGTTTCCCCCATGGACTGCTAGCGCACCGCACCCCAACTCCCCGATTGTGACCACCACGGCTTGGTGTAGCGGTGAGAATCGAGGGAAGCTCGCGCCACGGCCGCCAGAGACTGGCGATCTGCTCGGGCTTTTCCTCGCGCTGCCAGCGTCCGCTGCTGGCCCAAGGGGTCTTAATCTACTTAAGTCGACCTACCTAATTCATCTGGACCATGATTCCCACTTAATTGGGGGATTCGGCCATGACCCCTTGTCCGAGGGCCAGACCAGCCCCCGCACCGGCCTGGCCAACCCCCTTCCAAGGCTGTTGTCGTGCATATATCACGTCACACGCACCTGGATAGTGGATTCAGCCTGTTACGCACTGCATCATAGTACATATATATTGCGATCCTCTCCAGCGAGGGGTGCTTCTTTGCTTTGTTTATCTGACAAAAACTGCTTTGCTGACCCTTCTCTTTGTTTCGCTGCATTTAGTACGTCGTCGACGGAAACTGGACGGTAAACGAATCCGCCCCCAAAGAGGCCGACCACGAGGGCAACATCAACAACTTCATCACGCCCGAGGACATCCTTCAGTCCGACCCCGCAGCTGCCTTGGTCAACACCGTTACTCCTCAGTCCACCACCGCCGCAATGGCCTCTGAACAGCCCATTGACAAGCCCGAGGGCGCCGCGACCCCTTCTGATGTTCCTGGCGGCTTCCCCGTGACCCCCAGCACCGAGCTGGACAAGCCCGTCGGCGTCAATCCTCTGCCCGCTGCTGCCGGCGCCGTCAACCCCTTCAAGCTCGAGCCTGGCGAGAAGGTCCCCGACGTCGGCATCGAGAGCACCAACGACCACGTCAAGCTGGACAAGGAGTCTTACGAGAAGAGCGACGCCCTTCCCGGCGTTGACGTCGCCGACCTGCCCCCTGTCACCAGCAACCTGATTCCCGAATCCAGCCTTCCTGTCACTGCCGCCGGGGACGTCAACATCAACACTGTCGGCTCCGGCGCCACAAGCCTCGGCCTGGCCGCCCAGGTCCCGCTCGAGGCCAAGATCCCCGATGCCACCAAGGTTCCCGAAGTCGTCAAGGAGAGCCAAGAAAAGGCCCACGTCGAGCCCGAGGCCGCAGCCGTCCCCGAAGAAGTCGCGGACAAGGCCAAGGTCGAGGAGGAGCTCAAGGAAAAGGTCCCCGAAGCTCCCGCCACCTCTGAGGGCACTGCCGGCGTCGGCACCGAGAAGTCGGAGTCGGATGTGGACCCCGCTGCTGCCATTGCTGCCGCTGCTGCCACGACCGGCGCCGCCGTCCTTGCTGCCGTCACTGCCGCCAAGGATAACATTGTCGAGACCGCCGCGCCCGTCGCCAACGATGCTGCTGCCGCTGCTTCTGCCGCCGCCAACGATGCTGTTGCGGCCGCTGCTGAAGTCGCCAGGCAGAACCTCCCCGACTCCGTCAAGGAGAAGCTGCCTGAGCCCGTCCAGGAGGTCCTGGCTCAGCAGGAGACCGCCGTCAAGGAGGAAACTCGCGAGGAAGTCTCCCCCGAGGTCCCCGCCGAGGTCAAGGAGTCCATCACTGAGGCCGGCAAGAGCCCCGAGGCTGCCGCCAACACTGTTGCTGTCGAGGAGAAGAAGGAGGTCGAGGCTGAACTGCTGAAGGAGGTCAAGCCCGTACCGCCTGTCGACGAGACCAAGACCGAGGAGACCAAGACCGAGGAGGTCAAGCCCGTCGAGGAGGCCAAGCCTGTCGCAGAGGTGCCCGTCACCTCGGCCACCATTACCGATGTTCAGGCCATCGATAGCCCTGTGACCGAGGTCAGCAACGTCCAGGTCACCAAGACCGAGGTTCCTGTCGAGGAGCTCACCGCCCCCGTCATCGAGGAGCCCAAGGCCGTCGAGGTGACCAAGGTTGAAGAGCCCCAGACCGTCGAGGCCAAGGTCGAGGCCCCCGCCGCCGAAGTAGCTGCTCCCGCTCCCATCGACACGACGGTTGCTTCGGAAGCCCCCAAGACTGACGGCCCCGCCGTCGATACCCCCGTGACCGAGACCGACAAAACCGAGGTGCCCCCTACCGAGACGGCCGCGGAGCCCACCAAGGCCGACGCCAACGGCAACGGCGCCAACGGCGCTCACTCCGATAAGGGGTCTGAGAAGAAAAAGAATCGTTTCAGCGCCTTCTTCAGCCGATTCACCAGGCACAAGCACACAGAGAAGAACTAGGAGTCGCGGTGGTGACAGGATAGAACGTCATCGTGTCGAAAACTCCTGGTTTACGTTTAACAGAGTGTCGGTTTTTTCTCTTGGGCTGCTGGAGTGGCTTTGTTTATATGTCTATGATTCCCCACTTTCGCAGAGAAGTGTGACTTGGGTCGAACAACTACGTCGGTTACCTGGATCACCATTTCATATACCTAAATTCATTCCGTTTTTACTTGTTTCTATCTAGCTATCTTGACTTTTCTCCCCGTTCATTCTTGTCTTGACATGTGCCCCTGGCTTCGTCACCTGAGCTTCTAGTTTTATTTTCTATTCGGTCTGCTGCATGTGCGGGATTTGTCTTTGTACGGGACTGTGTTGTTGTTTGAAAGGCAATGGGCCCTACTGAACCATCTGCTTTATCAGCGGCACGACATTTGGCGTGGAAGTCCCCTGGTTTGTCGATCATGCGGCACGGAATGATGTCTTCCATGTAGCTACATTTTGCCTTCTTAATCATGGTCATTATCTAGTAATCTATTTTCTCGTACTCCTGAAGCCTCTCTTTGCATCTCCTGACCGATTGAAAGCGCGGGCAGCCAGACCAGGTCTAGGAGGAGGAGCAGGAACCCGGCTTCTTCTGCGGGGATGGCTGAGTGCATCGCCGCATCTTATTGTGACTCACTGGCCGGGATATTGCCCGTATCTACAAAGTGCCCATGCAGCTATCGGTAGAATTATCTTTTGATGATGGAGTGCGCATGATGGATTCCTCTCGCTTTTACTGCACCTTATCAAATGCATTGCCCAGGTACGTGTAGGTAGCTCTCAATTGACAGCATCATCCTGACAGTCTACGCTCACATCACCAGTCACATGCAGCGTCACGTGCATCCGGAGCTTGTTTCCTGTCCGGCATTAGACGACTCCCGTGCCTTTTGCCCCGCCGCTGACTCGCCCATTTGCAAGTCAAGTCGTCCCGCTAGCAGCATCTTCGAACTTGTTGCATCTACTTCCTGCATCCTCCAACTGCCGGGGCCAGCCGGGTCCCTCTTGGAGAAGCTTCCATCAGCCCCATCCTCTCTTCTTCCTCTTCTTTCCTTCTTTGCTTCATCATTTTCCTTTGTTCGTCTCCATTGTTCCATCGTTCCATCGTATCCTTCGGAGTCCCTTGTGGCAACGATTACCAAGCCTTGACGGCAAGACGGGCTGCGAGTGACGTGCCGTTCGTGGGCATGCTGGACTTTGCGCCACCCGCTTCCGACGACGTGGGCGGCTGAGCAGTCCACCAGCATACCCCCAACCAGCAACAACACATCGACCGCCATCTCGGGCATCGCATCATGAACCCTTCGAACCCGAGCGCGGGCAAGTCCCTCCAGATCCAGCCCAGCTTCCCCGTGCCCGCACAGCCGGCTCCGGCGTCAGCGGGCTTCGAGACGGCTCGCCGCGCAAACCCGGCACCCGCAGCCTCGCTGCCGCAGCCCACGCCCCGGAAGGGACAGAGCTCGCGGAGACAGCATCGGACGCAGCGCCGGCCCAGCATGGCAGGGAGGCCGGTCGACGAGTACGACGCCATGGCGGAGATCAGGGCGCTGAGGAACCCGACGAGTCGGCGTGGGCAGACATCCATCACGCATCTGCTCAATTACTCAGCGCCGCTGCACCACCACGACGTCGGCCACCATCACCATGGAAACTCGAGGTCTTATCGGCGAAATCCAACCTGGGGCCCCGGCTCGGGATATCATGCCGTCGACAAGTCCCGATACGTCCACGCCAACTATCGCTTCGTCGTCTCTCCCGATGGAGACTACTCCAAGCATGCCGCGGATGCCGACCTCTCCCTCGACTGGTCCAATGTCCTGCAGGTCATTGTGTCTTCAGAATCGCAGGCTTCGTCGTGCCCAATATGCTTGTCGGAACCAGTTGCACCTCGGATGGCAAAGTGCGGACACATCTTCTGCCTTACATGCTTGCTTCGATTCATGAACTCGGCGCTGAGCGAGGACGAGGCGAAGCCGGGCAAGGCCGCCAAGTGGAGGAAGTGCCCCATCTGCGAAGACAACATCTACCTCCCTGACGTGCGGCCGGTGCGCTTCTACGCTGGCCAGGAGAGCCCTCTTCCCCGCGTTGGGGATGACGTTGTCCTGAGGCTCATGGTGCGGAACGCAGGCTCAACTCTTGCGCTTCCCCGCGCGAGCGGAGCCGAAGTCCTCAACTCAGAGGATAGCGTCCCGTGGTACTTTGCCGCCAACGTCCTCGACTACGCTCGTGTCATGAAGGGCACGGCAGACTACATGGCTGGTCAATATGACGAAGAGATTGAGACGATGCAACAACAGGCCGCGGAGGACGAAGCCTTGTTCGGGCAGGATCGCGAGTGGACTCAAAAGGCTGTCAATGCGGTCAATGCCGCCAAGGAAAAGGTGGCTACCCTTGGCGGCGCCGATGAAGCCAGCACAAGCTCGTTACCAGGCTCGGCGAAGCAGTCGACCGAGGCCGACTTTTATTTCTACAGCGCTTTGCCTCATTTATATCTTTCGCCACTAGACATTCGGATTTTAAAGACACAGTTTGGGTCTTTCTCAGCCTTTCCATCCACCTTGCTTCCCAGAGTCGAACACATCTCGACTGGCCACGTCGTCGATGACACTCTGCGGAAACGGGCAAAGTATCTAGGCCACCTTCCGCATGGTTGCGTTATCAGTTTTCTGGAGTGCGACTGGACCGACATCGTCCCTGCTGAGACGCTGGAGACGTTTGCTTCCGACATCGAGCGGAGACGGAGTCGCAACCGTGATAAGGCTGCGCAGGAAGAGCGAGAGCGCCTGCAGTCCGAAAGGATAGAGGCGGCTGCTCTGCGGAATCTTACCGGTTCCCGACGGTCTCATTCTCCGCCCATCCAGGGCGATTCCCCTCCTTTCGTGGACATGTCAGAGTTTCAGCCCCTGGCGGCGCCATCGGGTACGACACCTCCCGAAGCACGGTTAGGATTCTCCACGCTCGCCTCCATGTCAACCAGCCCCTCCACACAACGGACTGTCTGGGGCACACCAGCCATCTCAACAGGTCCTGGGATGGAAGAAGTTCCAGCGCCCCGCAATACTGACGACGGATGGCTCAAGGACGAAGATTTGTTTCTCAGCCCTAGCGAGCTCGCCAGGCAAATGGAAGCATTGAATGCCATGGATAAAGAGGAAAACGGACAGAGCAGCAGCACTCGTGGTGGTGGAGGTGGTGGTGGTGGTGGCGGAGGCAAGAAGAAGAAGAAGCAGAAGATCACACTTATGAGCACTGGTGGGCGTCGCGGCATTTGAAGAGGGACCTCGAGAGGGTTTCCAAGATAGATGATGATGTGTGAGGTCTTCCTTCTACGGAGTTGTGTGTTAATCCAAGCTGGAATTCGTTTTGGGGTTGCGCAAGGAGGCTCATCTCCTTATATATATGCATATAGCCAAGAATGGCACCACGATGGGGAGCAGTCGTACTTCCTGGCTTCTTCTCAAGCATACTGCCGAATTGCACGGCACGACGCAAGCGCTTCTCTTAAATGATACAATTAATGTAACAGAGTTACCAATCATCGTAACAACGAGTTCCTAATTCTGAGAAGACTCGGAATCGTCTTTGAGAATGCATGTCCATGCGTGGAGAGTCAATGGCGGTTGATCGCCAGCGCTGAGTTACAGCGGCTCAAGGCCTAAAGCTGGAGCGTGGGCGGGGCCAGTTGGTGTGGGGTGATTAGCTCACCTCGTCTTTATCGAACTGCAATCGATAGCCAGAAATTTTTTCCACTACCGCTGTTATCGCTCAAGCTTCTCCAGTCGAGGAAAAAAAGTTCATTGGAAAAGAGGATAACAACCGTCCTCTTCCGAATCACAACAAGAAAGGAAGAGCATGGCGGCAAACACATCGCCATCTCTAACGAGCTCGTCTCACACAATGACCGCATTGCCGCTCGTGTCGGTACCCCCGATCTCCTCCACAACCGCCAATGGCGCGAACAACAACCACAACAAGTCGCTGCTGAGTCTGCTCGAGAGCCTGCAGCCCGACAAGAGGCACGTCTTCCTGCAGCCGGACGAGTCCCTCCCCACGAGCGCGCTCAATGTAGCGAAGGAGACGCTGGAGGGGTTCGCGGCGGAGGTTGGCGAGGAGCAGGAGGCGAGGCTGAAGGAGAGCCGGAAGCGCAAGAGGGAAGCGGGACTGGGAGGGCGGAGGGATGAGATTGATGTGCTGAAGCTGAGGAGGGTGTATGTGGACGGGTTCGAGACGGAGCAGGTGTGGCAGCAGGCGAGGAGGATCGTTGCGAGCGTCTTGAAGTTTTCGGGGGGCTTGTTGGATGAGTTGGAGGAGAAGGGGGAGGTTGTTGCCGGGGACAAGGCCGACGGCCTCAATGACGGTGAAGCGGTTAACGGTGAGGAGGAGGAAGATGAAGAAGATTCCGAGGATGAAGACGAGCTTGATGCCGAATTGGATGAGGACGAGTTGGAGGAGGACGACCTGGAAGGCGAAGACGAAGAAGACATTGACGCGCTGGAGAATGGCTCCGACGAGGAACTCAATGGACTTGGCGTGGACGAGGACGAGGAAGAGGATGAAGATGAAGATGAGCAAGACGGCCAAGAATACGTCGAAGACCCCGACGGCCTCAACGACGGCTTCTTCAACATCGATGAGTTCAACCGGCAATCGCAGTACTTTGAAGAGCAAGACGCAAGAGGCGACCCCAACACCGACCGAGCAAGCGATGACGAAGAGATAGACTGGGATGCGGACCCCATGACACAATCCACCGCCGGCTCCAAAAGGGCCGGTCGTAACGGCAAGCAAGACGACGAGGAGCCACTACAAGGTGAAGACGACGAGGATGACGAAGAGGAGGATGGCCCAACTTTCGGCGATATGGCTCTTGATGCACCGGAAGGCGCGAGCGACGATGAATTTGACGACGAGGAGGCCGCGGATGACGAGGGCCTGGACCTCAACGCAAACGGCATCTACTACAAGGACTTCTTTGCGCCGCCGCCCCGCAAGAGCAAGGGCGGCAAGCCAAAGAAGAAGAGCGTCCACTTCAAGCCCGAGCAGCCCGCCCAAGAGGACGTTGACAGGGCCATGGCGGACGTGCGCCGGGATCTCTTCGACGACGAGTCAGACAACGACAACTCGGAAGATGCGCTGTCCGACGTCTCGGCCGGCGACCCCAAGTCCCGTCGATCCGCTCACGAGCGGAGACAAGCCAAGCTGGCCGAGGAGATTCGCAAGCTGGAGGCCGCGTCGGTGGCGAAGCGCGAATGGACGCTCTCCGGAGAAGCCGCGGCGGCCGATCGGCCCCTCAACTCGCTGCTGGAGGAGGACCTCGACTTCGAGCACGTCGGCAAGCCCGTGCCCGTCATCACGCCCGAGGTGACGGAGGGCATCGAGGACATGATCAAGCGGCGCATCCTGGCGCAGCAGTTCGACGAGGTGCTCCGGCGGCGGCCGAACGCGGAGGCGGTGCCGAGCGGGACGCGCCGCGGCATGGTGGAGCTGGACGACAGCAAGCCGAGCAAGGGGCTGGCGGAGGTGTACGAGGAGGAGCACGTCAAGAACGCGAACCCGGACGCGTACGTCAGCCAGTCGGACGAGAAGCTGCAGCGCGAGGAGCGCGAGATCGAGGCCCTGTGGAAGGACGTCTCGGCGCGGCTCGACGCCCTGAGCAGCTGGCACTACCGGCCCAAGCCCGCGGCGCCGAGCGTCTCCGTCGTGGCCGACGTGGCGGCCGTCGCCATGGAGGACGCCCAGCCGACGACCGCCTCGGCCATGGTCGGCGAGCAGAGCCGCATGGCGCCCCAGGAGGTGTACAAGGCCGGCGCGGACAACGCCGCGCCGGGGGAGATTGTCACGAGCGCGGGCCTGCCCGTCGCGAGGCAGGAGATGTCGCGCGAGGACAAGGTGCGCAGGCGGCGCCGCGCAAAGGAGCGCATGCGCAAGGCTGGCGCGGATGGTGCTGGCGCTGCTGCCCCTGGCTCTGGCTCAGGTGCTGGTGCTGCTGGCGCCGGTAAGAAGACGCTTTCGAACAAGGCCAAGATGCAGCGCGACACGATTGCCGAGCTGAAGAAGGGAGGCGTCAAGGTGATTAACCGCAAGGGTGAGATTACCGACGTCGAGGGCAAGAAGACCAAGGTTGCGGCCAAGATTGTTTCCGGAGGAAGCTTCAAGCTGTAAAAGGCGTGATGGGGGGGCTACATACAGGGGTTATAGACGGAGGAAGGCTATAAGGGGAGAAAGGCTGTTGATGGGATGCTTGAGTGCTGTATATATCTGGAGTGCATTTGTCTGGTTCAGACTTTGGCTTGGTAATTTCTCTCTTTTTTTGGCTTGGTGTGGCTGTTGTAATCAATGGGTTTGATTTGGCGAATACAGAAAAGTTCAGAATGGGATGAGAGCATGCATTTCATAGAGGCCAAGCTCATTATTCCAATCCCATGCGTATAAACTTTCTCTAAAATCCAGTCCGAAGGGGGTTCACGTCCCACCTAGTTTTCATAAACGCGATAACCGCAACGGGTATTTGTTTGTTTGTTCAGCTATTCTCATAGCAAGCTTTCTTTGCCTTCCCTTTCCTCCATACGCCCTGAACTCCTCTCCTTTCCCCCCTTAAGGGGGTATTCATGAAAACCCAAATACAGCGTCATCCGAGTCTCATCCTCGTATATTTAAACCAGCAGGGTGAATTTCAGATGCGTTTGATGAATTATTTCTCAGCCTCCGCAGTCTGCTCCTCCTCGACCTTGGCCTTCTTCGTTTCGAGCTCGGTAGTCTCGTCGTCGGCCTTGCGCTTACCATTGCCGTTGGCGGCTTCGGCATCGTCCACCTTGGCCTTCTTCTTGCGCACAAGGCCCGTCAGGTCCACGGCGTTCTTGGTAGCCTCCTCGACGCGCGCCTGCACGTCGGCAGCGGATTGGCCAAATGCAGCGCCGAGGATGCCGCCCAGGGGGTTGGCGCCATCACCCAGGAGGTCGTTTGCGCTCAGGGGGTCCTTGCGAAGGTCGACGAGCTGCGACTAGTTAGTAACGGAGGAGAAAAAGAAGAGTGGATAATTCAGAGTGCTATGACGCTCCGGCAAGTTCACATACCCTTTGCTCCAAGTCTACTATGACTTCCTTCATCTCTTCGACAGCCTTGCGCGAGAGCTCGTTATCCTCGGGCGACGCTGAGCTGGCGATTTCAACCTCTATGGCCTGCATCTTCGCCTTGAAGCTCTTGATGGCAAGCTCCATCTCCTTGATAGCCTCGTCACGCAGGCCCTGGTCAACCTCTTCGCGCTTGGTGTTCTTGCCTTCATCGTCGGCAACGGTCACGGAGGCAAACTCGAGAGCAAGGGAGAGCTTGTAGTGCGCCTCGGCAATGACTTCGGATTCTTCGGGGTACAGCTCAAGCTTGTAGTTGAGAGATGTGCGGCCATCCTCGATGGCATTGGGATACCTGCGCAAAAAGTCAATTAGGCGTCTCGTTTCACATCGGAGAAGAAGCTAGAGCAATCTCGGCATACCGCTCATTCTCTAGAGAGATTTCAGCAAGACAGTCGTGGGTCTCGGCGAGGCGCTCTTTGATGTGTCTGACGGCTGGAGAGTCTTCCTTGGCGACTTCCTTGCCCTTGCCCTTGTCGCCGTCGCCGTCGCTCTGCGCTTCCTCCTCTCGCAGCTTCTCCAGCTGCTTGAGGTAGCAGACGCGAGCGAGGTCGAGGATTTCAAAGGCAGTGGCAAGATCGTCGTCTTCTTCCTCTTCTTCGTCTCCTTCCTGGGCCTATTGGTTGAGCGATGGGTAATTAGACAGCGAACACAAGCTGGGTCAAGCTAGCACATAACCCACCTCGTCTTCGTCAGACTCGTCAAAGTTCTCATCGCCCGTGAACTGGAAAAAGACCTTCTTCCCCTCGGGAATGTCGGCCTTGTCATCGCCCTTCTTCTCCTTGCCTTCTTCAGACTCAGCCGCGCCCGGAGCCTCGCCCTCCTGTGTTACTTTTTCCTCCTTGACCGTCTTCTTCGAGGAGCTACCGTTCGCCTTGGGCTTCTTTTCGATGGGCGCCGAGCCGCCGAGGACGTCGCTCTTGCTCTGGCCGACCTTGAACAAGCTGCGGCCGTAGTGGAAGAGGATCTCGGCGTTCTCTGGGGCGGTCTCGCCGTTGATTTCGGCCTGGAGGATGCTCGCTCGGGAGAAGATGTCGGCGGCGGCCTCGTACTTTTTCTGCGCGTAGAGCGCGGTGCCCTTTGCGCTCAAGTCGGCGAGGGTGACCTTTTTGGACTTGATGTCGTCGTCGACCTCGTCGTCGGCTTCAGGCACGGGAGCTGCCTCTTCTTCATCTGCGTTTGCCTCTGCCTCCTCAGCAGCTGCGTCTTCAATGGTCTCGTCGGCAACCGGCTCTTCAACAGCAGGCGCAGTCTCCTCCACTGGTCGCGTCTCGGCGGTGGGTTCTGCCATTGTGAAGAGCTGCAGGCGACACGCGATAGGTGATGAGAGTGTGCTGGTGGCGGGCAGAGGATGCTATAGAGGAACGAATACGAATGTGTTTCGTCCAATGGCAGATTGAGAAGCTCACCAGAGATGAATTGATGATGCTGGACGGGAAATATCAAAATTGACACGATGGAACGATGGAAACGGAAAATGCAGAGGCAAGGGAGAAGCAGCTCTCGTGAGAGCGCAAACAGCTGATCTTTAGCAGCTCTGGAAGGCTTGCTGCAGTCGTGACGTGCGTCTGTGCTTTGGCGCGCCTGATTGGTTGAGAGGAGCGATTCTATGGGGCGGCCCTCGACACGGTGTGGCTGCGTGGGGCGCAGCTGGATTATGTAATGTCGTCACTTACGATGGAATACCTCTTACCTACCCTACACCTGCTTGATGGAACCATCAAGATTACAGTTTTGGCCATTGCTTCGAGCTGACTTCTGGATGCACAAAGATGGATTTCATCTCTCGGTTAGATAATCTCGGTGATGCTCGTAAAGCTGCCCGCCTCACCGAAGAGCTCCCCTCAGCCACTGATTCCAATAGACATTGTCCCAACCAAACCAGCTGAACAAGCCACAGCCGTTCAGGCGCCGGCAGAACCAAGCCGATCAGCGTCACGGTCATGATGAATATTCAGGTTTGGTGTCTTCTAGCTTTGCGCCACCTCCGCTTCCATTGGTGTTCTTTGGCACATGTGCGCTCCGTCATCACCAAGCAGGCCGGCTTTGAACGAAGAAAGTAATCGCTCGGATATAAGTATGCGTGAGCCCGTCATCTTACCTATTTCAAATCCAGATCCATAGCATCATTGGAAGCTCGAATTGTCTAGTCGTGTTACAAGTTCTTTCTATAGCAGTATATCCTCACCTATCAACTCTACTCATATCTTGAAGGAGCAACTTTCCATCATGCCGTCCACCGAGCCCATCGAACCGTCCACCGAGCCAATCATGCCGTCCACCGAGGTGAGAATAGACTATTGCTGATGCCCTTATTACATGTACTCGTGCTACCAATTCCTTGCACTCTCCGTCAGTCCAAACTCCGAAACTCACCCGTTCCGCAATAGGAACGTTACGGCCAAATGTGCTGGCTCGCCATCCCGGTCATAGACATTGAGCGGGCCAAGGCCTTTTACTCCCAAGTCTTTTCCTGGGACATCAGCCCCGACGGCGTCCCTCACCAGAGACCCGGCGTGAAAGAGCTGCACTTCTTCAACTGCGGCGATACGTTGCATGGCGCATTCTACGTGATGGAGGATGGATTCCACGTCATCAACCACTCGATAGATTTCCAGGACGGTCTGGCTGTACACCCGAGCTTCAACGTCAGGAACTGCAAAGAGACGCTTGAACTGGTGGAGACACTCGGCGGCAAAACGCAACTGTACGTTGGTTCACCTTTCGTAAATTACCCAGCGTGGAAGCACAAAGGTGATGGAAAGGAGGAGGATATTTGAGCTGACAACTTTCAGTCACAAGTCTGATCTTGGTGGCCACATGGGCCATTACGCCCGCTTCATCGATACCGAGGACAACATGATTGGGATCTGGTCCAAAATCTGACTTGAATTTCTCATGACAGCTGCTGCCCCTGCAAGTTCACGCAGCTAGTAGCACTCTGCCAAGTGACGTCGTTGCTATTCTTACCTATGTATATATCTCGCCGAGCAGAGTCATTCTTATGATAAGACAAGAGACGAGACCGATTTCATCATTTTGACTCATTCTGATTCGAGGCATATTAGTAGATGCCGTCGTACGTTCTATCTTATTTTCCCGTGGCGTAATATGTGATCAGTATGCTGGAAAGTCCGCTTCATCATGTTTCCTTTTCCGTTTCCCTTTTCCTTTTCCATCGAGGTACACCGGGATTAAGCGTCACGGACCAGCTGAAGCAGGGGCGAACACGATGATTGGAGGCACATCTCGTCTCAAGTTCTTCGACGGCCGATCTTTTGGAATCAATTTTCCAGCCCTGACACTCGTTCCATGATAATTTTCAGAAGGATATTCATTCTGCCGGTGTTAGAGGCTGGTGATGAAGCATCGCTCTTATCGTGACGGATCTGTATAGCGGAAGTTCCCGTCTCCAGTAACATAGATACCTTACACATGCATATACTGGTTGCTCACTTGAGTGCTCGGTTCTCGGCAGACCGTCTCAATGATGCTCAGTCAAGAAAAAGGTCACGGCTATCTAATGCTGACACATGTCTGTATATGCTTGAAAATCGCGGCTCTTGGCCACATGGTGCTGAAGTCAAGGATCAGAATGTGACACATGTACATGCATGCAGCTCACAGTCTAAAGTATCTTCAAGGCACTTCGCCGCTGACAAAACCAGAATGTGCTGTTGCATTTGGCGAAGATGGGATGAACGGCTGTTGCTAATTGGACGTTCATTTTGCCCTGCAGCCTCTCGGAGATATTTGTGCAATCAGATCCAGCTGTTTCGATGCCGAAACAACGGCGGTTGTCTATTCGTGGAATTAAATCCTCCTCACCTGGGCAGTGCTTTTATTCGTCAAGTATCTACAGCGATAACAAAGCACGTCCTTGCCAACAGCTCAGCGGAACTGCTTCAGACTGAATGCTACTGAGACAATTTGTTGTTGAGAAATGAAGAAACGCGGTGTTACTACGTACTGCGACTGACATCAACTTGCTACATGCAGATAGTTCGTTTGCTTAGCAAAGTGGGCACTATTACGACGCTGAGTAGGATCACTCTCCCAACGGTCCTCCACTCGGGCATATACTTTAGTAAATGGATCAAGTATCAGGGCCTTCTCTGCTCGGCAATACAAACTCCTCCGCGGGGGTCAAGTGCTTACGAGGCCGTGATACCGAATACAGGTACTACCTCTCATGCCAGCGTTGATGACTTAACATACAGCCCGTCTCACTCCGTCCTGGGGAAGTAGGAGGTCAAACCAAGCATTCACTCGGGCAAAGTCCACCTGTCTGCTCCGCTTCCCCTGGGTGCGTAAGGTTTCCCCCACAAGATCGGGAGCCGTTTCGGTCTTACTCCTCTTTAGTCGGGTTGCGGGGGGGATATTCAGGGTGATGGTAATACGCAGCAGGACCTGGGAGTGTTTTGTCTCGAGTCGAAAGAAGGAAGCTGTGTACGTTGGAAGGATCGATTAGGTAGGTTTTCACGACGGCATCAGGAGTGCTAGTCTAGATGGCTGGTACGATAATGGCAGGTACTTACAGGAACCGCGTCGGCTCCGAGAGAATGGAGGTACTTGTAGGGAGTTGTAGGGGTATGCAGTCTGCTGACGATATGACGATATGACTTTCGGGCAACTCTATTATCGGGGATAAGTTGACAGATGACCGGTGCGAGAGTTTGTCCGCTATATTGTCAATACCTTATTGATGTTGCGATAATGATGCTGGAAGGCCGCAATACTTTGAGAATCAGTATGAATGAATCAAAGCCGGCGTATAGCCTCTATGTCCCCAATAGGATGGCAGAACAACTGAAAGCAACGAGGCTGGTCCCGGTACACGAATAGTCTATTCATTTGCCAGACAGACTAAAGATCAACCGTCAATGCGCGCTAGCACTCTCCTCGTTTTGGGCAAGAAATTGAGATGCCTAGATTCCAGTCCAGTCCAGTCCACAGAGAGGCCCGGCCCGGCATGTCTTTTTCCGCTGGTCGCGATAGGAAGGATTACGATTCTCCTGATGGAGCGCGAGCGTTTGCCCGCAAGGGGGCGCCAAGCGGCAACCTACACGTACGGGGTACCTCTGCTTGACGTGGACTGGAGATTTCGTCTTGTTAGTCGAGGACGTGGTCGAGAATTCCTCCGTCTTCCAAGGGACCAAATGCCCAAAGAATCAGCAATGTGAGGCAAAAGTAGAGCCGTCAGAACCTGTTGCTTCCAAGAGAAACTGATTACGATGGCAAACGCAAGAATATGCGAGAGGCACTCGTTATCACTCGTACGAGACGTGGAGGCTCCTGTTCAATCCTCCAGAACCCCATGTCCACTCAACCTTTCCGACCCCGTACTACGGAGTACATACCCCGAGATTGCACTGCCCCGGTCTCAAGTACATATCACCGCCCGTCCAGTTCTTACTCCAGACAGCCAGGGCACACGGACGAGCACGGAGATCCAAAGAGGCAATTCCGGGTATCCTGTACTTCAGAGATGCAGAATCCAACCTGGAATGAAGGATTGATGATCAGTTGTTCTCATTGGGGGGTTAATCGTGCATCGGCAGCGGTGCGGGGCTTCGGCGCGTGATTGGCGGAGAATTGTCGCTGTTCAATATGGCCGGCAAATAGGGAGAATTTGGAGCTGCAGAGGCCTGCTGGATGAGTGGGGCCAGGCCAATCGACAGCAGGGCTGACTGGCCGGTTCAGCGCATTGTAGGGAAGTAGGGGACTGCTGGTCCCTGCTGGGCGACTCGCTAACGCCACATAGCCACAGGCCCGAGTGCGTCGTCGCCAGCAGGCGGAACAGCGCTAGAGCTTCCAGCGAGCTCCAGCGGCTCCCGCGCTGGGGTTTTTGCAGGCCTCCCCACCCAACAGCTTCCCATCTTCCCGCCAACCCCACGGCTGCTGAGCGGGAGCCTGGTGTACTGTACTTCTGCCAACGGCGGCCCCTCGCTGCGCGCGTATGTACTCACTACCAGTCGCAGCACCGGACCACCGTCGCACAAACTGCAGCATCCACTGCTCTGCACCGAACATCATCCTCCCGATACAAGTTCGCCAACTCTGGCCGTGCCGCGCATTGGCTGCCAGTCTCGCTTCGCCATCCCGCCGCTGCCTTGCGAGCTGCTTCTGCCTCTGTCGCTTCCGCTGCTGAAGGATTCACTTGCGCGCATCTCCTCGCGGGCAACCAGCGCCAAGCACTGCCAGGCGCACTCTCCAGGCTAGGCCGCCGCATCTTGTTGACCTTTTCGTATCGGCTGGGCTCCTCTCTCTCCATCGCCACAACCGTTGAGCCTCAGAATCAAGTCTCACCTTTTCTCACTGGTTTCCCGTCCTGCATCCTCCGCCTCCTTTTAAATCTCATCTACCCACGCTCGCCGCGGTGCTGGGGCGCCCAGGAAAAGGGATTGGCCACCTCGACTCCAAGGTCCTGACGTTCGGGAATCCAGTTTCGCCCGAGCGACAGCCGTCTCGGGGAAAAAAAAAGAGAACGGAAAAGAGAAGGGGAGGAAGAAAAAGGACAAAGACCGCCAACGCCGTCTGGGGAGGGAACATGGTCCTGATCTGCTTTCGCCTTCAGTCTCGCGCCACCCTCCGTTGAGCCAAGGTTCTGGATTTCCTGGGACCGAATATTAGCATCACACCCATCCGATAGACGTCCATCGCCGCCTCGCATCTGCTTTTTGTGCCTGCAAATCCCTCCGCCAACAACCGACGAGACCATACGATTTCGGGCCTCGCTTCTGACGTATAGGATCACTATTTTCTAACGCCTCCGCTTTGCGTAGAAGCTTCGGTCAAGCAGGTGCCGGGACCTGCGTTGTGCCTCGGGCGAGAAAGAGAGAAACGGAAAAGCCCCTTGCAACCTTCGGCACCTGTTCGCTCACAGAGCCATTGCGACGGCGTCCTATTAAGGGCAGCGAGTTGCCGTTTGTTTCGCCAGCGGTAAACAATATCCTGGCTGATCGGCTCTCCCGTCGCCGCTAACCTCGTGTCGTGGCGTCTTCTAGAGTAGATTTGGCGAACATTTCTTCGGCGACCCTACAACTATCTTGTTTCATCTGAGTCGAGTCGATTCGGAAGCCATCCGGCTCCTCTGCCACTAACCGGCTTACGGGGCGACAGAAGCCCGAGAGTGCATAGACCGCCGACTGTCGATAATCCAGGCCACCTCATTGCATTGACTTGCGTCCCCTCCTTACTGCAACCTGCCCTAATCGGGCCATTTCCACGGGGGCTATACTTGGGCACAACTGTATAGTCGGGACGACTCTCTGCGAGAGATCGCCGGGTACCTTATCTGACTCGACTCGGTTTTACCCGGTCTCGCGAAGTTGAGCTCGTCGCGCCCCCGAGTCATAGCTGGGTAGGAGGCCAACACGCCACCTCCGGAGCTGATCAGAATCCTTTCGCCAATCGCTGGCGCATCAGAGCCGCAGGTCGTCTCGTTCGAAGTCTTTGGGTCATCTATTTTCCGATTCCCCCTTGGCATGCAGCGCCGAGTTGGTGGAGGGTGCTAGGAGACACAGAGCCAGTGTTGCGTGTACCAAACGACGAGTCGCTTTTTGCCGGAGCGACAGCCTGAAAGCCCAGTCATCTTTGACCTCACAGCAGAGCGTGTGGTCCGAGTCCGAGTCCGAGCCCAATCAAATCCAGAACACTAATACAATGGCTGCTGTTCAGCAGTTGCTGGCGAGTCCGTCGCCCACGCCCGCGCCAGCACCATCACAACACATCAACAACGGTTCGGCGACCGCCAGCATGGAGGAACCTGGGACCACAGACAATGACCCGGTCGTGATTGACAGCGGGCTGATGAAGGGCGCGCCACAGCCGGGAGATTCCCGAATAGCGGTCATTGTCTATGGGCAGGGACAAGAGCATGTTGTATCCATA